AAATGCAAAATACAGGAACATCAGTCCTTAGAACAGTTATATCTTTTCACACGGATTCAAATTAACGCATAAAAAACCATGTATATTATCTATCCAGACTAATAAGTAAAGCCAAAGAGTTTGTTTGATTGCGCCAATCTCAGGAACTACTGATTCGAATTGAAAAATAATTTTTGTGATAGAGGATTTATCGAGTATGGTTAGATGTTGTCTGTATTAATCATCGCGGTGTAATTAATAGGAGCTAAGATACAGCGGGAAATGTCGAAAGAAACGTGCGTACGCTACGAAAACTGTTCAAGACTCCCAAAATATATGTACAAAAGAATGATTTCTCTTTAAATGATCTAAAAAAATGCGCGACGTGATGTCAATCTTTTAATATTAACTTGCAAGGACGACGGGATGCGACCGATGTCGTGGGTAATAGCTTAAATTTATAAAGATGAAGAGGAGGTATACAAAAACAAATGTAGATGCCCAAAACAACTATTCTTTGCGGATGACGTCGCCGACATAGTAAATAGATAAAACTGTCTGTCTGTTGGACAACAATAGACGGCCAATCAATCTTTCTGTAGTAGGCATGGAACTGAATACTCAAAACAAAAGAGATTTTTCGTGTTCTAAGCAATAACAACTATTCTACCCACGCACTTTCAAAGGGTAATTATATATATTATCGCGAGCATTTAATTATAATTAAAGCAATTGTACGTTCTAAATACGTATATTAGTTACTTCAAAAACTAGTTGACCTGACCAACGCTCATTTGTTATATGAAGTGTTTCGTCAAAATTTGATTATTATAAAAACGGCTCTTGTTAGTTGAACTTAAACGATAGACATATAATTAGGTGTGTATTGTTTATACCTACCTATATATTTTTTGGTTTCTTGAACTGTTTTCGCAGCGGAAGCCCTCACAGATTAACAATATTCCCCGGCTTTTTTTCACATTTTCCATTACTTCTTCGCATCTATTAGCCGTAGCTTAATGTTACATAGCCTAAATCCTTCCTCGATGAATGTTTTTTTTCAATTCGTACCTCTAGTTCCTGAGATGCGAACCAACAAACTCTTCCGCCTTTATAATATTAGCATAGATTATAAGACGGGTAAGTGACAGTTTCAAAACGGGACTAACGTCGCGTTTACTTAATAGTTTATATTTATAGTAATTTAGAGTTTTATTAGGAAGACAGATATTGTTTCAAGTTATCCAAAACACTTTTCCTTTATAACATACTAATTATTGATCTAAACCTACACAGAATGTATATTTTGCTTCTCGTGTGCCTACCTTTATGCCTCTTTTAAAAGCATTATTTATGACATTCTTTGAGGTTCTGCCTTCAACTCCCAGTCATATTAATAAGTTTGGCATGGCCAAGAGTCATATCAACTACTTGCTTGTAGATGTATATACATGGTCTGTGAAAAACAGAAACGCGTTTGCCCCCATAGCCCGCGTAATTGATTTGAGATTTTATTTATATAAAATGCATCTTGCATATATTGCAACATAATAACATGTTTCTCTGTTAAATATTAAATTGATAAGAAGAAATGTATGTCATCAAACAGAACTTAACATCGCAATATTGAATTTCATATAGTTAAAAAAAATGCAAAATGACTTGGGACTTAACTTATAAGCACTGTGTTCTCTTACTCTTCTAATTGAGCTATTTACTAGTTACAAAATTGTATTATATATTCATAATCGATGTGAAAATAATATCGATGTTTTGAGTATTTTACGAAAATATTGTAAAACAGACTATTTACCTGCAATGACTACTAAAACACTTAAAACAAATCACTTTTGTCAATTTCACAATTGTCTTCAATCTCTTTCGTCTGTTCACAACACTGGACACGCGCGAAGCAGCCACCCACTGCCACTGACTGATCGTCACTGAAATGAAAATTGCTCTTACTCCTTGAAGCTTTTCACCGAAAACCATAAGATTAAATGGGACTCTATATAATATGTTGATTACCATACAATTATACTATAGTTCACGCAGTAGAAACGTCGGGGGTAGATAAAATATTTTATAATTGGTTAAACTAATAAAATAATAATAAACGTGTTAACATGTAAACAAAAAACTTTTAACAGTTTTAATGCGAAATGTTTTGGTTGAACTTTTTACAATTTTTTAACCGTTAAAAGTGTTTTATATCATTGTTGATATATGTAAATATTTTTATTAATATTACTAGATGGAGAAATGTTCTTTATACAAGTACAATACAATATATAATATGATCTTGTACAATAAACGCTAATTTAAATTATTAATGTTGGATCTGGCGGGAATCAAACCCACGATAGGTTTGATTATTTGTATCGCTAATATTATACCAACGAGCCCGTCAACATAACTTATATGTTTAAATAAAACACTTTAACGGTTTAAAACGCGATATATTAGTTAAACTTATTTGAAAATGGTTTTTAACTTCGGCCCGACGATCCGACATAACTTATATGTATTTTTTATAATGTTACGGAATCCTTCGTAGGCAACTGATTTGCATACGGCTTATATTTGTTACTTTACAAAAAAATATATTGGCGCTGTAACTGAGAGATCCTGGTTCGAATCCCAGGGAAACAATAGATTGTTTCAGTCGGTCGAAGTAACCGATCAGTGAAATGGACACTGAAATCTGTAGGCCCCATGCCCCACGAGCGAAACGAAAATACCGTTTACACTTCACATGTAGGTAGACAGACAATCGTGATTTTCGCGACGAAAAGATTTTTTTTATGTTTTCTGTTTCTCTTGTAAAAGTAGGCTTTTAATATGTATGTTTCACTGCTGTGGCCTTACATAATTTAATATTTTATTAGAGATCTTCCTTCTAAAGTTTTTGCTCTTGAGACCGATCAATATAGAAAAATTTCCAAAGTGAATACTAGTGAGTATCATTGACAAACATAAATCAAAATTCGGTTCTTCTTTTTATTTAGAACCGAATATCCAGCCAAACAGAATAGGTCAAAGCGTTTTATGGAGGCTCGATATAAAATAAAAATAAAGCAATTTGTTTTCCTATAAAAAATAATCATAAATCTCTAAATTACGCTTAAAAAAATCATGTTTTATTTTTATCTAACTGCGCGTATAACACCAATTTTATAAACAATAATTAAATAACCCTAATGAAAACACCATCACATTCTTCAGCAACTTTTTTTTGCTTGAGACTTTAAGGAATTCCTTCAATAAAAGCCTAACGTTGTTGGTAACATTAAATAAGTGACTACTCTTAGTTTGGTTGTAAGGTACTTCTTAACTAATTTGTGTACAGAGTTGTACTACATGACGTGTACATTACATTTGAGACAATATACAACTAATGATAGTAAATGTGCTTTTAACTCCCTTCTTTTTCAATCTTATTTAGTTGTGTTAACATGTGAATAGATTAAAAATACTTAGTAGCTATATAAGGAATATTTTAATAAATTTTATCTTAACCATTGACGATATTTTTGTAACTTAGTAAAGATCGTATTAAATGTTTAATAAAATAAATTAAGAAATTAATAGTAATTAAAAAGCCTACTGTAAGCCTAAATTTTGTGACGTTAAGAATCTCATGTCAAGAACATCCTTCATAAAACTTAACTCTAACATCATTCGTGAAACTAAATAAGAAGAAACAGGGGTTTTTCTTATAAATAGTAATAAGAAAAGAGATTGAGTCGATGCCGAGTGAAATGTTCTCAATCCACAGTCTCAGGGGATGCACATTGAGACCCACGAACAAATAAGAATTATATAAATGCGGTTTTGTACTTTCATTTGTGGGTTAGCCAGGAATATAATTATAGAACGAAAGCCAGGAAATGTGGCTTAGTCTATAAAATACGTTATGATACCAATTATTACCAATGTAAAAATGAATAGGGTATTCTTATTATACATCACTTATTAATATAAATGAAACTAAAGAAAATAAGCACTTAAGACCACACGCGGAAAGTAGACACTCAGGTAATTGAATTGAAATCAAAATTATTAGCAAACGAAAACAGAACTGTGTTTAATTGTGAAACAATAAATTTAACTCAACGGCTAAAAAAATTGTTTGTTTAAATAAAATACTTTAACGGTTTAAAACGCGATATATTAGTTAAACTTCGGCCCGACGTTTCGGATGTTTTGCAGCAGCCGTGGTCACGGGGAGACATCCGAAACGTCGGACCGAAGTTAAAAATCATTTTCAAATAAGTTTAACTAATATATCACGTTTTAAGCCGTTAAAGTGTTTTATTTAAATGTGTACTACTTGCGTAAACAGTGTTTAAATTGTTTGTTGTTTGAAAATGTTTCATGAATTGTCGAAAATTATGAGTTTTTTTTTGTGACAAGCATGCGTTTGACTTGATGGTAGGTGAGATACCCGCTATAAAACTTTTAAACAAAAAGCTTTGGCATTGAATATTTGGATATTCAAGGACTGAAACCGAACCGGGTTAAACTAGCTTTTTCGTATGTGGACAGTGGTGCGTAATTCGGACGGAATGTTGATATTCCTACTACTTATTTAATATCTATATTTCCACACGAAGTCCAACATGTTTTAGAAAAGGTATAATTTATTAAAAAAATGTCGGACACGGTTGGGATCGAAACTACGGCCCCCGTTAATTCAGCAGACAGCAAATCCGTCATATCTTCCCTTTAAAAGTAATTCACTTAATTAAAAAACGTAAATTAGTCGTAATTGAACTATATTCGTCGAACTCTCGTTCCGCGTATTCGCAAATCAAAGAACACCTAACAGTCAATAAACGTATTTTTTGTTATAAATAAAACCAATGTTATTTGTTTAATCTCGATATATCTACTGTTATACTCTTAATATTCTTGTTATAACTATTGTAAATATGGAGTAACATTTATTTATCTTCGTCAAATATTTGCATTTATTTCTCGTGTTTAATAATCTTCATTTATGCAATAGTCATTTGGGATTAGGGGTTGTGTGTTTTTTGTATCTTCTGGTCGCGTAGTTGTCTTGCGAGCCACGCTATTCCCTCTGGTACTCCGGCACCTGTTATTGCACTGGTCGCGCAGATGTGCCACGCTTTGTCTGTGATTCGTTCCAGGCCCAACGCTGTAGAAATTATAATAGCGTTTTAGAAGTATTTTAACAAAAACGAGTTAAAATAAAAATATAACAGTCAGTTGTCGTTGTATTAAGAGTCCAATAACCATTTGTGTCCTTGTTCTTTCATAGGGTTTATAAATTATTTTGGTCGGTATTTACCACTTTTAAATGTATATTTCTAAGAATATATTAAAAAGCAACTGCAAAAAGCGTTAGTAATTCGAAAACTTTAATATTTTTCACATGTTATTAGTCATGATGGCACTATATAAATTAACAGGACTTACTATATATAAACAAACACTTCATACAAACGCTTTATGACATTGGTTAGATACACAACTATAGTAAAAAGTTTTTTTAATTGATTATGATTATTAAACTTCGCCTTACCTGCTGCCAACTGCGTAGGCGACAACGCATTCTGTAGATCTGTCTTGTTAGCAAGCACGAGGAGCGGTGGTGGTGGCCGGCGTGCGCATAGAGATGGATGAGCCATGGCCAACTGGAGCTCGTCCCTTGCCACGGCCAGTCTGAGTCGGTCTGCTGCATCCACCACCCACACCAGTGCTTCAGCGTGCGCGTACTCACGCTCCCATAGAGCCCGCATCCTCGCAGCACCACGCAGTTCACACGCGTTGAATGACACGCCACCACCTTGAAATATGTTCACAATTTAACATTGTTCAATTGAAAATATCATTCATTTTTTTTTGTCTCGGGCAGGACTTAAACCGGCATTGCCAGCGTTCCGTGCTGTTGCTCTACCAATTGAGCTACCGAGTCCTACACCTGATCGTGGAATTTTTCAACTTATTATACTTCTTATAGTGCTATCATGTCCAATAACATGTGAAAAATATTAAAGTTTTCAAACATATTTCAATTGATTTAAAAATCGATAATAATTTGAAACAAATTTTCGACTCGGGCAGGAATTTCCTGGAAAGGTTCCGTGCTCTTTGGTGACTCGGTAGCTCAATTGGTAGAGCAACAGCACGGAACGCTGACGATGCCGGTTCAAGTCCTGCCCGAGTCGATTTTTTTTTTCAATTTATTTATCACTCCACCTATCACAATATATAAGATCAAAATTATAAAGAAGTTGGATAGAATAATTCGTCGTCACACTTCTCAAAACTCACTTTGAAACACTTCTTGGTTCTGTAAACCAGTAGGCGTTGTAGGCTTAGAGTTGCGCTGGTCTGGTTGTCTAAAAGCTTGCAGTAGAGCGGTCTTTCCGCTATTGTCAAGCCCTAAAACCAGCACAGTAGCTGGTGTGCCACCACCGCCGAACCATTCAGATAACTTCTCCAAGAGACCCATTTTACTGAAACTTCAACATAAATATTTGCCTTTACTTTCCTTACTATTGAATTATCTGTACAAATAGGTAATAAAACTCACAACACTTAAGTAGGGGAAACGAAAATAGCGGTTTTCTTCAATTTTTAATCTTTGTCTTGCACATTGTTTTTCATGGTCTATATATTGTTTTGTTGTTAATGTATGCATACAATTATAAGTGAAGCTTTAATCCAACACAAATTAATTTTTCGTGATCTATTTTAAATAAAACACTTTAACGGTTTAAAACGCGATATATTAGTTAAACTGATTTGAAACATGTGCAATGACCACGGCTGTTGCAAAGCATCCGAAACGCCGGGCCGAAATTAAAAATCATTTTCAAATCAGTTTAACTAATATATCGCGTTTTAAACCGTTAAAGTGTTTTATTTAAATGTGTACTACTCGCGTAAACTATAGACAGTATTTTCGTTATCTAGATACGACAATAAAAGTATACAAATGCCAGAGTCATACTACACTAGGAAATGCAAATAAAATAATCAAATGGTACTCACTTTTTTATTAAATTTAGATTTTTTTTTTCTAGTGCTCGTAGAATTAATACCTGAGAATATATTTTCAATTTACGAAAGTTAGTTACTGCGGTGTTTGTTAACAATGGAGTTAGTTGCCATGGAAACGTGAGCTGCACACACCGCAGCTATACGTAGCGTTTATAAGGATTTATTGAAAGTTTGTTACTAGAGTTGCCTTAAAATAACTTATCTTGAGAGAAAAATAAGGAAAAAACGAATATGCAAATGCAACGCTTCTTAAGTTTTCAAATTATTTCGCCGTCGCCATAGAAAGAAACTGCAATATTTAGGTATAATTCATAAATTTTATTCTTGATAATTGACTTTGTACGATTGGAAATAAACAAAAACAACGGCTCTTCCATTTTTGTTATAATGCATTTTTACAGGCCGACATAACTTAATTGACTATAAAGTAAATTAAAACTATCATCACCTACTCTTCTCCCTATTCGGATTTAGGCCTCCTATCCTCCTTACCCTGTATCGGTAACGAGGTTTCCTCGTGTTACATAAATATAGCGATAAACTCCATCTATTGGCTTGAGTGAGTACTTTTATTGACTTGTCGTCTGTCAAACAGGTGACAAATGACGATGAAACGTCACACAATTGTTTGAAACGAGACCCGAGCGGCGGTGAGAATTGGAACTTTTAAAAACGTGTAAATTTAATGAAATCTATTTATTTTCACCGTCAGATATGAATAATAACTGTGACGACGGCTGCAAAGCATCCGAAACGTCAGTAAGTAACATATTTCGCCTTTTAAATCGTTAAAAATGTTATATATAAATGCGTAAATTACGGCAGGATATATTCCACACTGTAAATATTTAATTAGAATAAATATCTTAAACTAGCATACTTAAAACCTAGTGCACATAGTCTGTTTACTTTCTATAGTCCTACAATCCAGATCACTATTAACCTTGACACTATCGCAAGTACCCTGCACAACACTCATTCTCTCAGGACATAATTCTTGGTAAATTTCTTCTGGTGTCTTCAAACGTGTTTCAGGTACCGCACAGGTGGCGAACACTGCGTAGAGTGATGTGAGCATAGCTGCTAGAGTGAGTGCCGCTGCTACTCCTCCTCGAGCCACCACAGCCGGGAAGACGCCCACTTCTAAAGCATTGCCCGCGCAAGCTGCTACTGTTACCAGCATCAACGCACAGCCACGGTACTGTAAAATTATTCATTCAAATATAAATATATATATCATATATAAATATATCATGTCAAAAGTGTTATGAATTAGTTACATTACTCAATAAAAGATGGCGCCTTTCTCAATTTTAAGGAACGTTTATATTTCAAATATCAGAATAATTTTAAGTAGGTACATAGTTCAGATTATTAAAAAAAATAGTTTAGATTTTCTGTATAATATACCTCATAATGGAACATATCAGCAAGAAGTGCGTAAGGAGCTGGCTGAAGTCCTGCAGCATCAGCGGCTACTGCTAAAGCTATAGCAAGAGCCGCGCCTTCAGGCTGTTGCCACCAAAGAGCTGCTGCAGCCGCTGCTAACGCCCCACCAGCTAACCACGCGCACCATACTATCAACGGCTGTGAGCACATAAAATATAATTAAACAGTCTATACTAATATGTAAAACTGACGAGTTTGTTTTTTTGTTATATCTCAGGCTAATCTCAGGAACTAAATGTGGAAAAAACGGGTGAAAATTTTTCATCTTTGTGGGTTTCCAATGCGTACGCTGCGAAAACGGTTTACGATACCCAAAAAATATGTTTGAAAGAATGATTTATCTATATATGATCTTAAAGCAGGTTCCACAGTGCAGGACAGTTTATTAAGATAAACTTGCTAGATTGACGAGGCGCGTCCGAGGTCGTGTGTAATAGCTTTAATTTATAAAGATGACAGTTTTGGTTTCGGATGGTTTAGTTTTACGTTTTCAAATATTTTGGATGCCCAAAATGACTATTCTACGCGAAAAAAAGGAAAAGAAAACAAACATTGAGCTATAGACGGAAATGTAGATATTTCTTATTTTTCAATTACCCTGCGGCCCAACCTCTCGACAAGGTATAGGGAGAGAGCCGAGGCAGCTAGCTGTGCGGCGCCGACCAATAAAGCAAGACGCGCTGGTGTGGCGATCTGCATCCCGCTACCTGAACTTCCTTCACGGGCAAGCACAAACAAACGTTCAGCGTACTGCAGAATGGCCAGGACACCGCAAGCCTCCTGCCCAACTACTGCTAAACCACCGATGATGAGAGCAACTCGTCGCTGGCGATCTCTCCCTGGAAGCAAAAGTTCTAAAATTACCTACGTTGTAGAAGATAATACTCTACATCGACTGACGTTATAAATCGTTGCGTAACAAAGCGGGTTTGTTCTAACCTAAGAAGTTATCATTTCATAAACTGTCAGCTCACACAACAACAATAATTATAATTATTGTTAGCCTACAATCCGTTTTTTTTTACATTTGGGATTTGATATGCGGTACTTGCACTACCGCTGTACTGTACTGAACTGTATTTATGTAAGAACATTTTAAATTATTGTAAAATGTAAGTTCAGATTGTCAAAACAAACATTCAAATTGTTTCAGACAAAAGTTTCATTGTTCTAGCTTCAAAAACGACGAATTTCCATACAAATTTTCATCACCTTTTTCAACCTCTATCAACCCTTTTTTGGCATCAAAATGGCCTCTGTCCTTTCTCAGGCTCTTAAACATCTGTGTACCAAATTTCATTTAAATCAGTTCAGTAGTTTCGGAGTTAAACCCGGACAGACAGACAAAGTTACTTTCGCATTTATAATATTAGTATAGATTATGATCAAAACTACAAAGAAAACAGATCTATTTATCTAGACAAGTAAACAGTAAAAAAGACAGTTCGTTAGACGCTTTTTACATACACATTTCCTTTACGAGTGCTAGAGAAGACTGGTCATGGGTCTCGGCTGGTGGCAGTGTCTTCAATTCAGCATCAAGTTCTGGAGCATGTACAGGCTGACCTCGCAGCCAAGCCAGAGACATGCGCGCTTCCTGATTACCAAAGATATCAAATCAAGAACGTACAGTAACTAACGTAAAGCTACGAACATTACAAACCTCATCCTTTCCCTTAGCCGCAAGGAATGATGGGGACTCTGGTACCAGCATAAATATGAATAAATGACCCACAGACAGTCCTAAGCACCACCACATCACCGTTCTGGAAATATAAATGTAATTTGAAATTGCAACTTGCATAAATTAAACTAGTTTTAAAATATCAAATGTTATAAATTATTACAATTTTAGATTTCTTAGGCAGTAGAGAACTTACCAAAGTTAACAAAAAAAAATAGAAAGATGATATTTTCAATATATACAGCAAAATGTAAATAATAGATCGAACAGACGGTAAATAAAACTCCGTTGGAATCTACCTCAAATGTAACTTAGCATCTGCAGCAAGATACATAAGCAGCACGCCTACGTTGTGAGCCAGTGGCAATGCTGATACGGCTGCTCCGCGCCATTTTGCGCTGCACATCTGAAAGTATAAGAGTTTTCTATGTTTAAATTGCTTAGCGGTTTGGGTAGTTATGATTAAGTCTCTGTTATGATTTTCCTCTTTATAATTTGTCTCTTTTATGTTATTACCGCCTCTGTAGCCAAATGGTTAATTGCTTAGCATTGCGTTAAGCGCGAGAGGTCCTGAGTTCGAATCCTAGAAACATAAAATTGTTTCGATCGGGCAGGGCACAGAAGTCTGATCAACTACTTGCCCGTTAAAAGAACGGATCAGTGAAACGGACGCAGAAATGTGTTCGCCCCATGCCCCACGAGGGTTAAACGGGCTTTCACACTTTTTTATGATATTTCTAAATTTAAATAACATTTTAAATTAATACAAGTTAACAGGTGTATGACATTTATTACTTTTTATTTGAGACACTGGTGGAAGACAGTTTATATACTATCTGTAGTTTACGCGAGTATTAAACATTTAAATAAAACATTTCAACGATTTAAAACACGATATATATTAAACTTAATTGAAAAGTATTTTAACTGCGGGCTTTCTAGCAGCCGTGATTTCCCCGTGACCACGGCTGTCTTTTATTTAAGTAAATTATTTTTTAACACTAGTATAATAAAGAAGGGTGTTGGAAGCTTTGGTGTCGTACAAACGTGTTTCCAAAGCACCGTAGCAGGCTGGTAGTATAATTAGTGGTTCTGTTCGGCTATTGTCTCCGAGGCGGTTGTAGTACGATTTTCCACACTCCCCACGTCCCTTTCGCCCGACATGGGCGTGCATTCACACCATCAGTTTAAGAAAAGGGATAATAAAGAAGATTTATTTATTACTTCACGCGCAAGCAATGGTGCTAGTGCCCAAGCAGCAGCGCCGCCCAGACCAGCAGCAACGCGTCCTGCTACCAACCACCATCCGCTGCCCTTCAGCGATATCAACTTGAAAGACCAGCACACCTGTAAATCGAAGGCAATGGGAGTCAGGTTATGTTACACAGTATCAAAAAAAAAACTGTCGTTTACGCGAGTAGTGCACATTTAAATAAATCACCTATAACGGTTTAAAACGCTGAATTTATTTGTTCAACTTTTACAAAGCAAAGTATACTAATCGTTAGGGTCGTAGTTGTAATATTTAAATAAATAAAACACTTTAACGGTTTAAAACGCGATAAATTAGTTAAACTTATTTGAAAATGATTTTTAACTTCGGCCCGACGTTTCGGATGCTTTGCAGCAGTGGTCACGGGGAGTCTCCCCGTGACCACGGCTGCTGTACGCGGTATCGCGTTTTAAACCGTTAAAGTGTTTTATTTAAATGTGTACTACTCGCGTAAACTATAGACAGTATATTTAAATAAGTTTAACTAATATGTTTCTCGTTTAAAACCTTTACAAGTGTTTTATTAAAATAAATATTCAAACTTTAAGCAAAAATTTATAAAATTAAAAGTTCCATTATATCGTTGATTAACTTATTACAAAGAATCATTAATTTAATAATTTCCTTTATACACAGCGCTACGATGTTAATGTCAAATATTAAACATATTCAATTGTTTTTAAATTATTAAATTGTTTTGAATTTTGTTCAGTATAATTAAAGCAACATTTTTGGGAATAATAACTTTTACCCCTTTCTTAATTCTACAATGCTTCACTCTTACGCCTTTGTATTGGCATTTAATCGGCACCGTTCAACCAACGTGTATCGCATTAAAAGGTAAAAATAAATTTAAGGACTGACCACAAAGCAAGCGGACGCGGCTATAACAGCGATTTTCCTGCCATATGTTATCGCTTTAGCGCTAAGCGGAACACCAATGAAGCAGGCCACGAACATGATGACAGCGGCTATGACAGCGCCACTCTCGTCTTGTTTACCACCATCAGCTGATCCTGCCTCGCCACTCGCCAGTGACACCCAACCCAAGGCCAGACCAAACGATATTGCTGGTACATTAACTGAAAGGAAATATTATATCAATACTAACATATAAAGCTGAAGAGTTGTTTGTTTTTCTAAACGCGCTAATCTCAGGAACTACTCGGTTTTATTCAAAAAAATATTTATGTGTTGTTAGAGCATATATCAAAGCGGGCTATAGGCTATCAAACATCGCGCTGTGACTAATAGGAGCAAAGGAACAGCGGGGAATGTGAAAAATGCGGGGGAAATTATACATCTCCATTAAGGGTTTGACGCGTACGCTGTGACAACGGTTCAATGATACCTAAGAAATGTGTATGAAAGAATGATTCCTCTTTAAGTTCTCTAAACAATTGTTCGCGACACTATACTCGTGTATGTCTATCTTTTAAGATTAACTTGCAAGAACAACGGGACCCGTACGACGTTTTGTGAGCGCAGGGATGCGACCGACATCGTTGGTAACAGTTTCATTTTATAAAGATGAAGAGAACATTTGCGATAACAAATTTGGATGCCTGGACTTTTGCATTGCTACGCGGAGAACCTCGCTGTCACAGCTAGTATATAATATGACACATCTACAGACAATATAAAAACAATTAAGTACACAAAGTGTGTAATTGTAAGTGTGTATTTTATTTAAGTGAGTACTATTCGCGTCAACTACGGACAATAGTTAGTAGTCCGTAATAACTTATTTAAAATAGGTATCGTAAATCAGATAGGTAACTGTCCTTTGATAATGTTTGTTTAATGGAAAATGAGCACCTATATCAAGTATAGCGACGTCATAATAGGATTATAAATATGCCCAAAAATAGATCAATCACACACATAATGCTAGTAAAACAACAATGCAAAATAATTTATTTAAGAATATGAATAAACAATGGTCATTATGAATGAAAAATTAAAAGTACAGAACCGGTTACCGAGTACGGCAAATCCCAATACAAACAAAACTCGCTTCATCGATAAATTATGAGATTTATCGCTTCGCAGAATTCAAACTCTGTACGTTGTTGACTAGCTGTGGTCGCGACTTCGTCCGCGTAGCATAGTAATTTCGATCATCAAGATTTGTTTTTGCGAACGCCGTCATTTTATAAATTGTATCTGTTACCTACGACGTCATCCGCGTCCCGTCGTTCTTATTCGTTAATCTTAAAGATAGATATATATTGCTGTGTCATTTTTAGTTTTTGCACACACGCAGCGGAAGCCCTCCACGATGATAAGTTTTTTTCAACATTTTTCACTAATTTCTTAGCATTTTAAACGTTTTATGTGTCGCCTAAACTAAAGGTAATGCTTAACCATACAAGTGTTACCTTCAATATTGTTCTATTGACTCAAAACTGACCAATATTCTTTTGAAATCTGCCCAAAGCTCACAATTATGGCAAGTAAACAAAATCAACCTCCAAGTGACCACGAACCGTGACCCGGGTCTATGGCTGCGACCCCGACGCGATATTAAATATTGATCATCGGAACTCAGCTAACATATCTGTGAGGAAATTTCAACATAGCTTTAAACCCGATTTTTGACGCGCCTTAAGTCACTTTTCTTTTCTTTATTTCATTACTGATTTACTACAGTGTAGTGTCGCAGATAATTTTTTAGATCATGAAAAGAGGAATCATTCTTTCATAAAAATTTTTTAGATCTCTTGAACCGTTTTCGCAGTTTATGTATCGGAAACCCACAGGGATGAAGAATTTTTCCCGTTTTTTCACATTTACCGCTGTTACTTTGATCGTATTAGTCACAGCGCTATGTTTAGCTTTTTTCGATAAATGCTCTAACCAATACAAAAAGTATGTTTCATTTTAAACCAGTAGTTCCTGAGATTAGCGCCTTCAAACAAACAGACATACTCTTCAGATTTATATATGAGTATAGATTATTGTCATACTAATAAACAGTTAAAAAGTACATAAAAATCGGAATTTAAAATGCCTAGAAAACAGTTGTAGACAGCTTATAAGATATAGATGTAAAATAAATACCCGTAAATAAGAATACTATACGAAAAAGTTACTGTTCCTTCAAATAGTATAAATAGATATAATGAAATATCGCGTGAACATGTTGTTGTAAACACATAGTTGTGAAATAGATTAAAATCATTCTCAAGAAATCTTTAAGTACCGTAGTCAGTTTCCTTTACCCAATAATAACCGTCCATAAATAAGGAGTTATAAAGTTTCGATTCTAGTCTGTCTTTCCAAATATCCAAAACCAAAAAAAGGTCGACGGCGCATCTAGGTGTTATATATGGCTGGGGAATTTCATAGTTCCGGAACCCTATGGTTGTCTGTCTTCCTCTATCGTGAAAGAAGAACAACTCAAACGTTTGGTATAACATACGCAAAAACATGGAGTATTTGCCTGTTTTATACCTAATATTAAAAGCGTCGTCATTAATGAAATTGCGGGTATACGAGGAATTTTATTAATGACAACGCTTCTATATATATATATATATAGACGCACTATATCAAGAAGAAAAGAAGAAAACTATAAAAAAATAAAATATTAAATTTAAATTCATAAAAAACAATATACTTACACCTCACAATAAAAAGTATTCCAAGCTGATAAATAAACATTAATTACTTTTTTTGCTTTTGAGAATATCGCATACATCAACGCATTGAAATATTATAAAAAGCAATTAATATTGTTAGTTAATTCTACGCCAGTTTTAATTTGTAAGTTAAAAAAATAGGAAATTGGTTTTTGTCTTGTACTGCACCTAAAAAATTACCTTAATAATGAAACGTCGTATTGTGAATTACCAATTATAAAACTCCAGGAATGCTAAACATTATATGGGATTATAATATTTTATTGAGATTATTTTAAAAATCGAAGATAAATTGAAAAAAAGAACATTTATTTTCGACTCGGGCAGGACTTGAACCGGCATCGTCAGCGTTCCGTGCTGTTGCTCTACCAATTGAGGTACCGAGTCCTAAACCTTGTTGTCGAATTTTTTCAACTTATTGATACATTATTTACTAAATATAGCCTTTATTATTCGTTGTTCTAGCAAACAAACACCTTATTTAACGAATAGGTCTGTGAAAGAGATCCCTCACTTAATAAAAATAATAAGTCAATTTGTAAAGGCAAAAAAAGTATTTTAAAATATTAAATTGGTATTCGTTGCATGGCTTATATAAATTGAAAAAAATAAACAAATTGTAATAAATTTTTTTAATTAATTTTTTTCTTCACTTGGACTAACCTGTCGTATTGTATATAAGCAATCTATAAGGCCTAGCTCAGGTTATTTAAAAAAAATGTTTAATTTAGTATTATATAAGCCTGTTCAATCGAAATAAATAAATAAATATTTTTTAAAGTACTTACACGTATTAGGTATGCACTACTAACAAAATTATTGGAAATGCTAATGTTAATATTTAATTTGCATTTCTAATAATTTAAAACATTTGTTTAACATTAATAATGCCCAAAAAAAACTTGAATAAAAACAATAGTAATACAATATCAAAAAGCCCGGGCCAAAGCCTTCATAGTAAAGCACAAAATCTTTCGCGGATTAGAGCCGCGCCATAATCAAGATTTAATTTTATTTTTATCGATATCACTTACTAAGTATAACCATGAGAGTCTGATTAAAAGCGCTGCGAACGTTAACGCACACCCATCCAGCTGGTGCCCGCATCCTTAGCTACTTAACTTTCAGCTACACAAAATTTATATCAAATTCACCACCACTCAAAACAAAATTTGTTTTTTTACTAACAAATAATAACAGAAGCACAAAATTTCGGCCACAGAGTACAATATATAACGTTAATTTACAGCTTATTAAAGCGTAATGAAATAAAAACTATTTTAATTGGCATATCGCAGTTAATGACTGCAGTCGCGTAAGTTGACACGGTCTGCAGTAGCGCACAAGAGTATGGCTCTGACAGTTATCCTAAGGCTCAGGTATATTATATGCTGAGGTACATGCAACACAGTAACCGATATTACCAAATAGATCACGCTCGGTTTACGTATATAATTGAGATCGGCATATTTATTTTTTTATCGTCGGCTTGTTAACTCACTATGTGTCACGTTGTGTGCTATACCTGGATCCAAATCAGATTACCCTTACCTGGGACATAAGGTCATATTTCTGTGACCGTTTCTCTAATCGATTTAATTTACAGGATAGTTAATCAGCATGTGCCCTTCTCGACCGAAACCTATGTTTTGTATTGTTAGTCTGGGATTTTTTAATGATACAACGCAATAGCTGGCAACTTAAGTAACTGTAGAAGTGTGGAGCTCCGTGAAATTACTTTTATCGCAAAGAAGACACTAGTGGGATCGGAGATCTACAGGTAACAATTTTTGACTAATGAGGGTCATGAGTTCGATCCCCACCGGGTTCCAACATGTTTCTAATCAATTCGAGGATTTAAAGGCTAAAACACTTTACTGTTTAAAACGTCGAGACGATTAGTTAAAAATCATTTGAAAATGGTAAAATGAAGTTGCGCTGAGCTGCTGCAAAGTATCGCGTTTTAAACCGTTAAAGTGTTTTATTTAAATGTGTACTACTCGCGTAAACTATAGAAAGTATTCAATTCAAGGATTTAAAATAAATTAAATAAACTTTGGAAATTTTCGTTGCAAATTAGTAATTGCACGATACGATCGTGGGTTCAAACCTTAAATTTTTCGAAAATATTTTTTTTACTTATAAACCCTAATAATTAACAACGGTTACTTAAACGATAATTATGTACATATTAATCAAGAATGTGTCGATATATTATAGATATAAACATAGTTTAGGAGCTCAAGGAAGGACTTACGTTGTTACTTCAGAACCTGATATCCACTATACTTTGTCTTTTATAACATAATAAGTTGGACAATAATATGTTACGTTTTAAATACACAAAAGAACTATATAAAGTTAAGTAAATTACCTATTACAACTCGACTCTATACTAGTAATCTACTACTAATTAATTAAAAAAAAAAGAAAATCTTATGTAAATTTTCACGTTACATCAGTTAGTTACAATGTAGATCGATCAATATTATATATATTAGTCGATAGTTACTTTTTAAATTACTAACTTGTAGAACATTTTCAATATAATCAATACTTCACTTTTTGGGCTCGTTGGTGTAACGGTAGCAATCAAAAGCAAACTAATAAATTCATAATTTTTCTGAAACACGTTGGACTTCGTCTGGAAATCTGGATATTGAATGGGCGGTAGGAATATGAAAAAGCCTTCAAGTTTAATCGCATTTCGGTTTCAGTCCATGGATTTCCGAATTTCCAAACCCAAAATAGGTCGACAGTACATCAAGCTTAGACGTTATATTATGGCTTGGATTTCACCCACCATGAAGTGGACCCCATGTTTGCACCTCTATCATAAAAAAACTTTATATTCAAAATAATGTTCTCATTTTTATAACGCTTGGGTTCAAATAAAATAACAAGGGCTCTTGTACTTATACTTGGGGATAAGACAGGCGATAATATGAAAAAAAAAATCATATTAATAGCATTTTTAAGGCTTCTTTTATATTACATAATTTTCAATTGTTATCCTTATATTATTGTGAGTCTTGATACCTAATTTAGTAAATTCCCCTGGTAAGAGGAAAACGTTTAAAACTAAAGCGTGTGTACGACTACGCGACGTGCATCCTAATGATGTTAATGGCACTGGTGAGGGTTTTATACTAGTGTATTATTTCTGCCATTTTGTTGAATGACACATTTATATGGTTCCGTACAAAAAAAAACAGTTTAACAAGAGGCCTATTTTTTTTTAACATCTCTGGTCGGCATCATACTTAATTTATATTTAAGTGGGCCTCGTCACTAAAACATTCACTCGTGGTAATAACGGCAACAGGAAGACGCTCAGAATATTTAAAAAAACATTCAGTTATCTTATACTCTTATATTAACAAGCTGAAGAGCTTGTTTGCTTGTTTGGACGCTCAGGAAGTAATGGTTGAATTGAAAAAAATATTTTTGTGTTGGTAAGACTATTTATCGAGAAAGGCTTTAGGCTATAAAACATCAATTTAAGAATTTTTGAACAAACTTAAAAAAAAAATTCCCCCTACAGTATATGTTTATCTTTTAAGATTAACTTGCAGAATCACGGGACGCGAGCGACATTCTGGGTAACAACTCTGGGTAATGTATGAAGATGAGGTGGAGGTTTGCAAAACAAATTTTGATGCCTTTCTACGCAGACGCAGTCACTAGTACAGCTAGTAAAATAATAATATAAATTGACCAGTTTACTTACCGCTAAAGAAACATGCAGTATAATAATAATACATACAATAAGGGTTGCCAGAAGAGGTGACTCTAAAAGAATATTGGCTTCCAAAACGAGAACACCACTTCTATCAACTCTCCTATACATAACACGATAATATCATTAATACACCATAAGTATTATTAAGTACAGTATTACATTAAAATCAAAAATCGATTTTAATGTAAAAATTCTACCTAAAAAAAGTAATGTATTAATAAAGGGATCCATACTAATTTCAAATGTGCGAAATAATATAACAAGGAAAACTATAAATATCATTGTTATATGGTCGACGAAGATGTATATAATGAATTACATGCAACACTATATTTTGCATTCAATTTAATACGATATTATCATTGCAGCGATTTCCCGAGATAAGGAAAATCCAATTAATAGGTAGATACTTATTTACTCTTCGTTTTCCGCACACTTTTAAATAATTTACATTATATTCAATATAACATTTGTGTATTTTTTATTTTATAATTTAGTTTTTGTCTAGTTGAGTCAGCGACTTCGTCCGCGTAGAATAGTTATTTTGTGAATTTTTTTTTTTGCAAACTGCTTCTACGTCATTGGACGTGTCCCATCGCCTGATGGCGCCGATCCGTCGTTCTTGCGAGTTCATCTTAAGAGATAGACATATATACCGTCGCGGAAATTTTTTTTTGAAAAAAAGAAGAATATATTTTTTTGTGTATCTGGAAACATTTTCACAGTGTACATCGGAAACCTACAACGATGATTAATTTTCCCGGTTTTTACCGCATTTTCCGCTGTTTCTTCGCTCCTATTAGTCACAGAGAAATGTTTTATAGCTTATACCCTTCCTCGATAATTGCTCTAACAACACAAAAATAAAATACTGTCTATAGTACACGCACAGTAGTATAGTATACACAAAAATAATTTTTCAATTCGAACCAGTGGTTCCTGAGATTAGCGCGTTCAAACAAATAAACATGTCTGTTTTAAATATTAGTATAGATTGTATTACGCATTTACAAATTTAGTTTACTAGTTACAAGTATATTGAGAAAGATCAATAAAAGTTTTTAAAATTGAGAAAAAATCTTATGTTTGAATCTAATTTTTACTTTCGGCCCATTTCAGAAATCTTCTTCCATTTTTAATGAAAAGACTCTATGGCAGTTTCATAGTACTCTGTGACATTTGACGTAATGACAAGCAGTCAAAATGACGCTATTTCAAGTGTCAACGATTCACAATAATTGTGATTTGTGCTTGTTTTAAAATGTAACACAGTTATAATTATTTTAGAGAACTTACGGAAATGTGTCGTTATTGATAGGAACATTAATCCTATCCTGATAAATGTTATCATTATTACTCTTATAGTGCAGAAATTGATAAGTATACTTTCTGAAGCAACAGGTGTAGTCTTAGCTAATACTAATATTAGGTATATTCAAAATGTTATCGCGTTATGTTGTGTCGCAAGTGAAGCACAACTCGTATTTTCTAGTAGGAGTTGCGTTAGGTCTATGGGTGTCATTGGTACTGGTCCCTTTCGATGAAGACACGGCTCCGTGTGTTGCTGGCAGAGAACCCGTGGCAAATAACCTTGAGGGAGCACAAAAAGATGATTGGGAGCCCCACCGAGAAGAAAGACCATTAGGGCCAGCAGGACAACCTGCGAGGGCTGTGCAAAGGCCACGCTATTACTCTACAGAGTTGGGAATGCGTGCCCCACTTCTTGCTGGTTTGTGAATTTTCCTTTTTTCTATAAGCTAAACATGATTTATGTAGCACTATGACTAAGATATGTTTTATTAAAGTTGTTATATATATATCATATTTTAAGTTTATCACGTCCTGTATGTATTTCATTAATTAAACATCTTTTTTGTGGATTGTCTGGAAGAGATCATTAATAGCTATAAGGCTACACATTGCATTCCGTAGCTTATAAGTTTTTTGCTTCAAATTAGTATAGCAATGCAAAATACTTATTTAATTAGAATAAATGCCATACATGGATTCCTTAGTGAATAAAATGTGTGAATCCTTTTATAACTTATTGTTATGCCAGAATTACTATTTAAATGTATTGTTTTATTGCAATTATGTTATAGTTTTAGTCCTATACCTCACGATGTACATGTATGTATGTATGTTATTTTAGTGCCTTTGAAAAAAAGTTGACTATTAGTTGTATATTAGCAACCAATTATTGACATACAAATATTTTTGAACCTTGAATATGTTCTATCTCAAATGTCCTATTATTTTTTAAATATAATAAACAGTGGAAGATTTAGATTTTATAATTAATTATAATATTGTGTTTAAATATTCAGGAGTGCTGAGCTCTGAAGAAATGTTGGAGAGCCGTGCATCTGCTATTAATAAAACCGCTGCTGGATTACTGCCAGCTCTACGGTTCTTCATCACTGCTAGCTCTTTACAAGTGAAGCCGGGCAGAGCCAATGTAGTTGGCTTCACAGATACTAGAGAAATGTTGAAGCCCTTTCATGCCCTGAAATATCTAGCAGATAACTATTTGGAGGAATATAATTTCTTCTTCCTCGTCTCAGATATGACATATGTGAATGCCCGCAAATTAAATGAGCTGGTTTCCAAATTGAGTGTTAGTCAAGATGTGTATATGGGTGAGGTGGCAGAAGACGATACACACTACTGCACACTCGGTAAATATTATTTTTATTATGTGCATAGCTATTTATTTTTCTTGGTAACAAATATTTTCCTTTATAGAGGGTGGAATCTTGCTATCGAATTCTGTGCTGCGCGCAGTACACACATCATTAGACTGGTGTGTACGCAACTCATACTCAGCTCGCCACCATGAAAACATCGGCCGCTGTATCTTGCATGCTGCACATGTTCCTTGTACGGCAGCTCTACACTCTCACCGCTACCAGTCTTCACGTGATGCCCCTCTAGAAACACCTCTGGCCGCCGCGGTAACAGCATACCCACTACTGGAGCCGCAGCAGTTCTACCAAGTGCATGCATACGTTTCGCGTGTACATTTGGAAGATGCACATAACGAAATAAATGGAGTGCGCGCAGCTGCCGCAGCCAGTTTGAGGAAACATCCGCGTGGTTATCGGAATGCCACTTGGCCACCTGCGTTGCGTGCTGATGCTGGTCTTGCTCCCCCTCCACCACCAACTAGGTATGTATGGCAAATCTTTATTTATATAAATAAAGATGGTTTTTAAAGGATTGTAAATGTAGTAGATCTTTTGATCTATATTTTCGTTTTTAGGTTTGATCATATGCGTTGGACACGATTTAATGCCACACATGCACTGATGCCTGACGAGCAAACAGTAGTGGGTGCACTGAGTGGGGCAACACTGCAGGCTGTGGAGTTAATTGTGGAAGAGGCCACAGCTTGGGCTCGTGAACGATGGCGTGTCCCAAATGCACAGCTTGTGGAGGGCGCCTGGTGTTGGGAACCGCCCTACGCCCTGCGGTACCGGTTACTGTTAAGGCTGAGTGGTACAGATTCGGGTGACACTGTAAGGCAAGTCGAAGCAGTGCGGCCGCTTGGTGCAGCTCGTTTGGCCCCCGCTCGCTACGTCACGGAGAGCAGTCGCGTCACTATAGTTTTAGGAGTGGCACCCCTATTATCCCATGAGCGTCAAGCTCTCGATATGCTACGACGCTACGAAAGTTCGTGTCTCGAGCGAGATGCGAATACAGCGCTAGTTCTAGTCCTAATAGGCACAGGAGATTGGGAACAGTTGCACGTGGCAGCGACGGCTCTCGGTGAACGGCACCGCGCTGCTCACATCGATGTATTGGATAGCGTATTGCCAGAGGAGTACAGCAATATGACCAGTAGCGCCAGTGATGAATTGTGGCGAGAGTGGGTAGCTCGCTTGGCGTTAGAATCGGCAGCAGCACGCCTCCCGAAGGATGCACTGATGTTGTTACTCCCAACAGACGCAGACTTTTCAGAGGACTTTCTTAATAGGGTAAGTGTATTATCACGGCAAACTGGGACTCAAGAATTTTTTAATAAATAAAGGTTAACAATGAAGTAAATGTATGCTTTCTTAACTTAATTACCTACATTATATAGAGCATCTTAAGAAAAACGGTTATCAGCGTTAGACTTCTATATTTTCATAAGTATCTTTTATCTACTCAATTTATATTGCCCTCATTTATTTATTTTTGAGATATTTGTCTCGTTAGTTTTTCTAGTAGCTGAAAAATAATGGCTTTTCTTAAATTATTAATCCTTCTGTAGTTATTTTTCTTGACTTTTTATGACACAGTAGTAAGAAAAAAACGTGAAATTCCCAGCCAGCCAAATATTGCCAGTTTTTATTTCTTTTCTTTTAGTGATGTAAAGTACGGATGTTTTACTACGCTTGTGCTTATCTATGCAGGTCCGTATGAACACCATAGCTGGCGAACAGTGGTATCTAGCGAGTGGCTTCTGGCGTTACGCGCACTACTCACATCCGCGTTGGATAGAACCGGACGGTACTCGTCCGCAGCTCGGAACTGGTCGCTTTGCGCGGGTGCCCCTTGTGTTGGCCGCGTACCGTGCTGACTGGAGTGCAGCGCGAGACGCTTGGCAGGGGGAGAAAGATGCCGCGCCGGCTGCTATACTAGCTGCTGCGCCGCTACGCGCTCTGCATGCGCCTGACCCGGCATTGTTGCGTTCACCGCATCCTCCCCCGTGTCCATATGAAAGCGGTACGGCGGATTTTCCTTTTTTCGTTTCCTACGTATTAACTTGAGGGAGTAAAAACAAGATTTTGTACTTAATAATATATAAATATCTTTTAACGGTTTAAAAGCGCAAAATATGTTAGCTAAATTGCTTATTTTAATTACGACCGGACTACGTTTCGCATTTTCAGTAGGTATGGTTCTGTGACCACTTGTATTTCTATCAAACTATATTTTGTATTTATTTTAGATTTTCTGTTTACAGCTGCCGAGGCTTCAGCGTGTTTACAGGGCGAGCGCGACGCGGACTTTATGCGTTTGAATTTAGGTGCGCGTCATACACTCGCCAAGTTGCTGCTGCAGGAACAAGCTTCCCTTGTCTGACATCAACCTAATGTAGAATGTTATGATAAGTCATTAATAATAAATACATATATTAATTTGGAATTTTTTGTCTGTAATAAAAACAACATTAATGGTAAAATAACTATATTTAGTATTCCATAAAATAAAAATAGGAAACATATCCAATGGAAGAAAATTTTTCGCAAGCCTGTTTGTAGTCGGCATATTGAAAAAGAATAACACAACATATTTACAAACAAAAAAATATTCACGACGAAACGATCTAATAACACAATTCATTATTTAAATACTGAACAGAGAAATAAAACCTAACTAACAAGGACAGCTTATGACAATAAAGTTAGTTAAGCCAGTGTATTCATTGTAAATATGTATTGACATACATGATGAGTGATAACGTCAAATGTAACGAAAGGGAAGGAAGGGTATCCATGAAAGGTCACATAAAACTTGAATTTCTAGTACAATTATAAAACAAGTCACGTCAAGCAATGACGGGAAATTGATCAAAAATCATTAAAGCCGTGGCTTCATTTGTGATTGGCCGATTCGATCACAACATGCAGGTTCACGTATCAATTATTTACAATGGATACATTTATTGTAGTATTATAACTGACTTTAACGTCAAAAACTGTACAACTGTACTAATTACATAACAATACTTAACCTCAGCATATCATTGTCTTTCGGGCTGTTCGGCCGACGTGAGCGACGAGAGGTACTCGACGTTTCACCATCACGTGTGACGGCATCACCAGGAGATGTTATCTCTGAAACGTCGAGAACCTCTTCTCGCTCACGTCGTCCGAACAGCCCGAAAGACAATGATAAGCTGAACGATGGCCGTGAAAGCCTTACGCAATTTAATATTTAACCTATTAGTTACCGATTCCATTCAAATCCATATAAAACCTGCTTCTTAGAAAAGAAATGCATAGTTCATATAAGTATAAAACGTGTTAAAATGCATAATTATATTGGAACGTTCGAAGTATAACGCGTCCCATACCAATGGGATTTGTAAAATTACCTATTATAATAAACTTAACAAGATTTACTGTCATGTAAAAAATACTTAGTAGTTTCTCGAAGTAGTCATCAGTTGTAAACATTCTGCAAATGAAAAGCTCAACTACATTAGAGTAGTTTTGTGACAACAACAAGACATTATTTCTTTATATATTTAGAGCTTAGTAAATTAATATGCTGAGCTGTGACCACTCCGAGAAACTAAACTACTCCAATATGTATACCAAAATTAAAGTGACATCAAAACATTTAAGGCATTTTTAAGAAAGGCTCTAACGATCTGAGCCCAGGCGATGAGGTAGTTTTACCAAAGCAATTCGATATTTAAACAAGTTTTTCGTAATAATATATCAGCAGAACCAGAATGTCTTTCATGATTAGGTTATCACTTTTGGAATACTGGTTTTGCTAACAGAATATTGTTCTTAGTCTGTATACTTGTATTAGTCTTACTTATAGCAGTGTGCTCGAAATAAATAGTCCGTTGATCAAGCTTGCTATTTGCGTCATACATGTTTAGTAAGCTACACAGCTTGATTCCCGGTCACATCTCGTTGCTCTCCTTCATTTACTGCCTCTAGAGTGTCTGTTATGGCAAGTTTGGTTACATCCGGAGAGTCTAGCAACGTTGTCCATTCGCCATCTAGTTGTTGCAGGCATTCAACACACGCCAAGAACTGTTTTCCTGAGTATCCGCCTGCAGCATAAAGTGCTTCTCCCACCGGTGCAAGAGCTGGTGCTGCGCGTGGACGCCGCAATGAAGGTCCGCTACACCATGCTGTAGCGCCCACAGTTAGTATTTCCGTACAGCGCAAGGAGGCCGCGCCAGCCGATCCACCAGCAGCAACCAGAGCGCCACGCCACACAGCCGCACCCACTGAACGTCGCGCCGTAGGCAGAGGTGGGCCGGCTCGCCATGCGGTAGCATCTCCCTCCAATGACAGCGTCTCGGTCGAAGCGAGACAGCGCCACTCATCGCAGCCGCCGATCGCCCACAACGCTCCTTGCCATACAGCAGCGGCGCACTGGGAACGCCCCGTAGAGAGAGCAGGTGCATCGCTCCACGAGTTGTCGGCAGCTGAATACCGATGTACGTCGCGTAACGAGCGTCCACCGGCCCAACCACCTACTACATATAGCTGACCTTGCGAGTCGTTTGCTGCGGCAGCTGCGTATTGGCGTGCAACAGGTAATGGTGCAACAGCGGTCCAGGTTTTCGCTCCATCAGCGAGCACATCAACTGAATCGAGCTCGGTGTATCCATCTGAACCACCTAGTACATAGAGTCGGGAGGCTAGTCGTGCCGCAGCTAGACGAGCGCGTGCACGTCGCATGTCGGGCAACGGTGTCCATGTGTCATTTTCAGGGTCATAAGCTTCGGCGGAACGCAGGACGCGGGCGCGGTCATACCCTCCACATACCACCAACCGCCCACCGACCTCGGCAGCACCCATGGCGCACCTTCCCACCGACATATGCGCGCGGCATGAACCGTCCTGTAAATTATAAAGTGTACTTATTAAACACAAAGTTGCCAAATACCCCAAATGATTTATTTAACTACTTTTCAATCTTTTTCAAATCATTTTTGTTCCTCAATCGTTTATTATAAATGTTGTTGTGAAGTTTTAGATTGTTTTCAGCACAAAGCATATAATGTAGCAAATGTTAATCTTAAAGGTAAATCTTGTTAAAGGTTGTCCTATTTAAAATAAAAAATTACTTACTATTTTGTATTACATTTGATGCGTTGTGATACATTATTTATTATCTTGGTTTTTATCGAAGCTTTTAGTGGAGCAAAAAAGATATGTAACGTATTATTATTACCTCTTGATCTGCTTGTGGCTGGTCATCAGCGGCTACGCCAAGGCGGCCTCCGCGCGGTGTATCCGATGCGCTGGCTGCACGCCACGAAACCTGCGCAGCAATCAAGGTGCCTCGCACATACAGCAGTGTGCGTGTCTCAGTGCCCCCGGCAACTCGCCGCGCTGCCACCACTCCATTCTCCTCGTCAACCACTCCACTTGCGGTTCGTCTTGCTGCCTCCCGTTCTCGTCCCACTTCTCGCTCTCGCTCGCGCGCCTCACGCTTGTATTCTGAAAGGTAGGGGGCGTCACCGCGCGCAGCTGGTAACTCGCCACAGTCCCGCAGGGCACCACCGGCATCAACATATAGTAAATGGGTGCGCGCCATTAAATTTTGCAGGTCTATTGGCACCGCCCGGAGCCACGCCAGTGCAGCCCCCGCTAGTGTAGCCGGCGACTCCTCGCATCGCTCTGCGCTGGTCTCCCGCAGCAGTTCTAAACGAACTAACGGTAAAGCAGTAAGCGCGCTCGAACCCCAAACCTCGTCAAAGTGTTGCGCTATATACGCGTCAAGTTGAGCTCGATGCGCAGGCGTAAGTTCTGGTAGCGTGCGCTGCGACAGGCAGTCGGTTGGAGTGAGACGTCGCAATAAACGGTCAGCGAGGTGCTGACGAGCGGGCTCAATTCGTAGCATTGCTGCCGCGCGATACAAACGGCGCGCAGCGGCTGCGTCGCGCACGCGAAGACGACCCGTGTACGCGTAGTCCACGAGATCTCTTAACGCTTCTGGCTCAAGATCATCCATGCGGTGCGGCTGTAGATCACCGGCGGGAGGCAACGCGGCCAGCAGTGCAGGCGATACAGCAGCGAGCACGGCGCGATGTGCAGGAATCTCAGCTCCTCGTGCGACCAGTAAAACATCGTAATGTTGACGCGCTTTACGTAGGGCATTCAATGCTTGGAGCGAACGTGCTGCAGCCGTTTCGTCTGTCAAAGACAGCTCCGCCTCGAGAGCTCCTATTCCCTCCTCATCCGAGCTCTCGTCTGACAGGGAGGCGCCCGAAGCACCGCTACACACTGTAACGAACATACGTACACATTGTATTTTGAGTTATTGCAACATTCACAATACACAATCTGAATAACATTTGAATATGTAGTTTAATTCAATTAGGGATAATTTAATCCAATAACACTGGATCAACTACTATTATCCATTACACTTATTACTTCTAATCTGTAGTTTTCCAGATGTGCTTACATTCATATCGGCATAATAATATAAGTTATTATATACTACGATGTTAAGCGTCGTTGATTGAACGAAACGAACACCATAATTGGATCAATTTATTCTGTAATGCTGCATAACTTATTAATCAGTGCGGGCGCAGCTTGTCTTACGTATTATTATATCAATATTTGTACCATATAACTAAGGTCTGTTCTCCGTAATTTACACGTATTTAACGGTATTTATTCTTTGCCGACAGAGAATATTTTATCATGTGCATATGCTAAGAGATCACTTTAAATAATTTTCCGCTATTTCGACGTCACTAATGATAAGCAAGTGTTTGTAATCCTCATCACACTTTATATTATACATACTATACATTTATGTTGGTTGTAAACAGTTTATTGAGGAATCGAGCGCAATACCGCGTGCCTAGTACAACGTGACACCACCTTGAGGCCAGGTTTCAAATTTTCGCTGCATCATTGGTATGCAATTACTGGTATGTAAAGGGATTATTCAATTAGATTTCAAATTATTAATAATATTAACTAGAGAAAATTTCAATCTTGTGAACTTATTTTTATGCTTAATTTCGTACTATAAGATATACAGCCTAGGTAAAATAAAAAATCTGTCATAAACTACCGATGATGTCCACCATGGTATAAACAGAAAAAAATATAAGTTCATTGGAAAAATATGGGACCTACTAGGGATCCAACCCACAGCTCATTGATTATTAGCATAACTTTGCTGCCATTAGACCAACTAGGCTTTCAAAACATATGTAGTTTGTTTTTAATTTCAATTATGTCTATCGTGAAGATGCTTTACTCTACTATTCTTCTGCTAACAAATTATAGCAGCCAAGGCTTCTTTTTCTACAATAAACATTTAGTTTAAGCTTGGTTTAAATAGAAGAATATTATAAAATAATACTCAACTCACTTCAATATTCATATATCAAATATAATACTTATATTTAGTTTTGGGATAAATTTCCATTTATTACAATGATTTGTGTTCAAGGTAACGTTTGAAATACATATTCAAATATTAGTAAGCAAAGCGATGCTTCTCATTTACTAACAAAAACTTAGTTGAAGTGAAGTAAAAACAATATTCATAGTCACCAATATTTAACTGACAACCAATGATGTAATATTCATACAAAGAAACTACAAAAATCTATTAGTGAGACAGTATATTCCTTTATAATAATTCATTTCAATGTCACAAAAACAATCAATTCTAAATCTTATCACTAAATAAGACAATTGTGCTATGTAGCTATGAATATATAGATAATTATGCTTACTTTATTATTATGAGACATTTAAGGTATAAGCTATATAATACTCACTATCTCCATTCCTATATTCGTCGCTGGGCGTCATCTTTAGGCTGTTGAAGGGAATTCAGCCACAACTGATGCGCCACCAGATACGTCCAGCACTAGTTTAACACTGCACCGACTTCAAATTAACTTCGCTAACCGGATTACGCCGCTGAAGGCCGAAACGCAATAGCGCACATGTCACATGGCCCAAAGTACTGTTTACTAATTTAATCAAGTTATTTACGAGAGGCCTACGCCGTGTCGCGTGCTAAGTGACGTCCAGTCTTTGCTGTTAGAGCGGTATCGCTAGCAGCACTAGCAAGAATATATATTTTTGTTAATAAATTCAATTTAATAAGTTTATTGGTGCTCGTGGTATAAAAACTACAATACAACAAATAACTTGTTGTGCTTGTAGAATACCACTACAAAAATTACTGTAAATGCTAGTGAACCGGAGAAACAAAGTAAATCTGACGCAACATTGTTATATCGTGTATAAGTAACAAAAAAAAAATTATTATTTTCGAATGTTCACTATAAACAATTATGGCGAGTTTAAAAATTGAAACTTCAAACTCGAGCATAGACAAAATCAGCGCTTATAGAGCTATGAGTAGTGTTGTGTTAAGTGCTCTACATAAGGATTTCATTTTTTGTTTTTACTCTGTATTATCTTTGTTTACTTAGTTGATACAGAATTGGCTGAAAGGTCTCGTTACCAGGCCATTAAATAATTTTAATGATACAGAATAATAAAATAGTGTAAATATAACGTACTTTCTCATCTTGCTTAGAACTTTAGACTTACCTAATTTAAAGAGTAGATGTAATTAAAACAAAAAGTGTTAATAGGTATCTTATATATTATTTCAATTTGTTTTTTATTTTTATTATGTCGACTTTACTTTTTGTATTTTAATTTTATACATAATATATTCCCATCACATCTCATATTAAGGCTTTTAATTATGTAGAAATTTGCTAAAATTGCATTACAACGATCTTTTCAAAATTTAAAAGTTATCTTATACACCAAGATGAATGTGAATAACCTGCTTATATATAAAAAAAATCCATGACTGACTATGTTCCATGACTAATGGAATAAAATTCATTTACTTCTTTGTTTTATTACATACAAGACGTACAAACACAAGAAATAAATTATTATAGACGAGCTCGGAGCCAGCTGGTGAAAGATGACACACGAGCGAAACCAGCTGGAAGACCAGCTTGGCATCCACGGCCCGCAACAAACGACGTCACACCGATCTGTAATAATATTTATTACATATTATGAACATAAAGCTAAGGTAATGATAGAGAAAAATATGTACTGAAATTACGAACCAGGTTACGAACGCCTTGGAAGGCAAAGTCGAGTGGACCACCGGAGTCTCCTGTACAGGTACCAACACGGCCCGTTCCACTCGTGCACAGAGTGGAATCGATGATAACATTTGGTCCATAAATATCGGTACACACGAAGTTCTCAATGACTATGAGCGAAACCTGGTGTAGAGCATCATTATTGTTGGCACCGCCTATAATGAGAAATTGTAGATATTATGTTACAGAACGGATATATGATATTATTGTACAGGATACATATTTTCTAGACAAATATGATTTTTTTTATCACCATAACACACATTTCTTAAATGGAATCATGTTTTAGGTCCATACATAAGTATGGACCTAAAACATTCCATTCCATAAATTAAATGCACTTATGAAAAAAGTCTTGATGACCTCCTGCTTACCGTCTTGCAACCTGCCGTAACCAACAGCTGTAGCACGGTTTCCAACAAATGTCATGTGTTCCAGCAGACCCGACGGCAGAGCGATTGACTGTATGTTATCTGCAATGTAAAAATTTTCAATTAACTTGCACATTTTCAATAGTTTGTATATTTTTACTTTGTAGTTTTGTGTACTATAAACTTGTGAATGAATTTTATTTATTAATTTGTGATGATTGTGATTAAAGTGATGATTATGGAAACAGTTACTTATATAAAAAATCTTACTGTTGAAAGCAACTCGGTTGATTCTGATAATAGCAATGTCATTATTAAGGTAGGCCTGGTTGTAGCCTGAATGCAGTTCAATGTCCCTTGTTGTTATACGTGTTCCACCGGAGAAGAGACGAGTGGACCCGAGGACGACAGTGATGGAAACACCTTGGAAGTCTCTGGTGCGCCAGCAATGAGCCGCCGTTACTAAGCGCGTGTTTGATAGAATGGATGAACCACACATCGAAGTTTGTCCAGATGACAGCGCAACCAGGATCCCCGCCTTAACAAAATATAAGTATTTTAAACCTTAGTTACATATTAGAAGTAAAAAGATGGAAATTAGAAATAAAAGGATTACTCCAATATTTAATAAAAATTTTAGCAATAAACGCATTCTTATCTGCTTATCACATTATGCGCAGGTGGTTTTATATAGATTAAAAAATACCCATAATAACTACAATTACTCACAATATGTGGGTGAGCCCCAAGGGCGGCTGGTTGCCCTCCAACGATGCGTCCACCATCAAAGTCTTCGGCAAGTTCAGCTTGACGAATGAGTGTGGCGCGGGGAATACCTACAGAACCATGGTAGTCCGTCACAATGGGCTCATATCGAGACCGAGGAAGTGCTATTGCGCTTCCAAGACAGGCGACCAAAACTAATGATATAACCTTCATTTTTATTGCCTCAGCCCTAATTAGCGAATTTTGTTGATTGTATTGCCTACTTATAAGTTTTTATTATCAATACAGGTTATTAAATTTATCATTTTGATCGATTTAAATTCATAATTATTCATGATGATTATATTTTTTACGTATGGGTTTACACGATTATAAACCAGGTATTATTAATTTCCGCTATGATAAGGGTTTTAATTAATCATAATTTCATAGTGCTAGGAACAATGTAAAGACATGAGCTTTGATAATCACTTACCGCTAAAATCAAGTTAAATAAAAAGAGCTAGTAACGCTTAGGTAATTTATATGAATAGTGTCCATAGTCATAGGCAGACCACCCCGGCTTTACACGGGTATTAAATAAATATTTCAAAAGTTATAAATTGCTAAACACAATCCCAAAGACAATATTTAGAAAGAAAAACAATCCTTACTAATATTATAAAGCTGAAGAGTTTGAACGCGCTTATATCAGATTCGAACTTAAAAAATAATCTCCCGTTGGTTGGTCAATTTGACGAGAGAGGGTTTAGGCTATAAAACATCAGGCCGCGATCAATAGTAGCAAAGAAACTACGGGAAATGTGTAAAAAAAACAGAAAAAATATTCATCTTTGAGGAATTCCGTTGCGTGCACTGCGCTGCAAGATACCGTAAAAATATATGTAAAGAATCTGATATTCTGCAAAATCGTGGTACATTATTTTGTCTATAATAGTTTTTGCAACTTATGCGATCTATGGAATTTTTTTATAGATATTTTATTAAAATCGATCAAACGCCCCGTCTTTATAATATTAGTATAGATTATGCATTATTAGTATGATAAGAAAATGATGGGTCGTTATTTGTTTGTGAGGCGGATTATCTATCGTAGGATTCATAAGAACGTCTAATTACATAATAATCAAAGATAAAATAAAACACTAACCTAAACCGATAAGGAAAGCGATTTATTATTTGATACTTTATTTTATAGTTATCAATATACATTGAAAAGGATTATACACAAATGATAGGTATATAATATGTTATCCCTAAAGTATACCCTGACGGGCATAGCACTCCTAAAAAAAGATTCCATCCTAACAATATATGGCTAATACTCAACACGTCGTGGGTTCGTTCCCCACCGGGTCCAACATTATTCTAACCAATTTATAATTTTTCTGACACATGCTAGCTTTCGTCTGGAAATCTGAATATTAAATGGATGGTAGGAGCACCGAAATTCCTTCAGGGTCACAAATCACCGTCCACAATGGAAAAAGCCGTGAAGTTTCAGTCTGTTATTGCCAAATATCCAAAGCCAAAATAAGTCGACTGCGCATTTTGTTTAGTTACTATAGGCTACCTACCATTAAGTGAACCCCATGCTCCCATTTAAAAAAAATCGTTTACATTATGTATTTGAGGTACGAAAACTTAAGTATCAGATCGATATTGATTATTTATTTATATTGATAGCTTTTTGGTATTTTAAATTCAGAATCGTTTGCTCCATATTTAGTATATAGTCTGTTATTAGTGATGTATGAAACATACAAGTTCTCCTTGTACGTAGTTGTCACTGTCAAGTAACCTTCAAATCATTTTATGTCAAATAAATATTGTCAATTTGTCAGTTTTAGGCTGTGATTAGGTTTGACTAAGGTAAAGGCGCCTTTTTTTGTATTTGTAATTTAAATATAACAATACAGCGTACTTCTACACCAAGTAAACTTTAGTTTTTATAAATAAGAAAATACTATAGTGTATATACATATTTTTTAAATATTATTGTTTGTTCAGAAATGTCTTTTTAAAACAAGTAAATTCCAAATGTTTTCTGACATGCAACTTTATATCTTTTCTTTTCGATTGCATCTACCTGTATCACTCAAAACAGACTGAGATACCTATTTAGTCTTATTATCATTTTTTACATCTAAGTTTCTTATGTTATGAATAAAAATCGTGATAAAATCCATTGTTGACTGTTTCAGGTAGCTGATGTTGATATATCAATAACACAATCTGTCTGGAGAACTACACATAAACATTGTAATAAGATATGATGGACCATTGGGACAAAATGCCCCTTTATGAAAAGAAATTGCATGAACAATTGGCTACATATACTTTGGCTATCACTGATGATTTGGTAAGTACAATTTTATGTAAAAGTCTATTGTTTGATTACTTATACAAATAAATATTGCTTTTAACTATTAAGAATAGCAGAAAAACTGATTAACTATAGGCTTAGTCATTTTTTTTTATAAATTATGGCATTAGGACAGTGTTTTCTATAAATACATATATAGAAAACACTGTTCTTATTCAATAAAAATATTCTCAAAAATTTTTTACCATGTTTATTATCATAATATGCTGAAGGTTAGACTTGCTTGTAGTTCAACTGATAAAGGAATCATGATGATAATTCTAAATAAATTTTGTGTTCTGTCAGGGTCTACAATTGATGGGTAATCAGTACAAATAATATACTGTCAATTTTACCGAATTCTCCATTACCTCTCTGCGGGTGATGTTAAGTAATCCAGCTCTCACTATGTCCAAACATACTGTTTCAAACCTTCCTCTTTTTCATATTATTATCTATTTAACCTTTAATTCCTCAATGTCTAATAACTATTTAACTAAAATTTAAGCTTCATTACTCAACTTTTCAGGAAGGCAGATCTGGTGTTTGGGGTGAACATTCCTATGCCCGTGAACGAGGTACTGCATCACACCCTCACGTCTGCACGTTGTTATTCCCGCGCGTTCAACAGACAATACAATCATCTGCAGCAAATGGACTAACCCTGATAGATGTAGACACGCCTCCGCCACATCCAAGTGTACCACCTTTAGATGATCTTAGCGAAGGAGAAGCCAGTGAAGAGATAGAATTAGGGCCAGAGGCTGATCAGGAAGAGACAGATTGGGAGCAGAGTATTTTACAAACAGCTGTCACTAATGGGCAACGTCGCCTGGCTCGAACCGTTCTTACAATCCTGACAAATATGCGATTGCGTAGGCTCGCTCATGAACGGTAAGATTTCATCGAAATAAATCAGTGTACTATTCCTTGGATTCTAATATCCCATATTGTCTCTAAATTGTCAATATATATGTGGTATAAGGCAAGCTTTCAGAAATATTGACCTTTTCAATTACTGAGCGACTATTATGAAACATATTTTTTTGTGTCAGTCAGAATGAATACATCAGAACCTAATGGAATATTTATTGTATAAATTATTTTTTTTGTAAAATTTGTTACATTACATTACTACATTAGCTTGGTAGCATTGACAAAAGTAATATCCGTCAATCAAATCATTAGTTCCACGTACAAATCAATAAAAAAATATTACAAAAATACAATACTTAAAAAAAATAAGATGTATGTACAAAAACACCACTCTGTACCTGGAAGTAGTCACAATACCAATTCTTAGTGATGTCCCATTACTATACCTACCATTTAGTTAAAACCTACAAATTTCTTATTGCAGCAGTCGATGGCACTGCATGGAGACAACGCGTGAGGCTGGCACGCGGCTACGTTTGGCTTTAGCAGTAAATTGGTCATCAGCAGGTTGGCTCCATAACACCCTACTCTCCTTTCTGCCCCAACCATTGCGAGGCCTATATGAAGAGGTGGCTGGAGAGTTGCGACGTACAGTACCTCGCCTGGCTGCAAGACTCGCGCCAAGACCACCAGCACCGATTCAAGATCCCTTGGATGCTGTTGACACGCTCTGTAGTAGTGATTCTACTCCATGGTTTGGCTGGGTTAGTAGCGGTTGCGAGAAGCTTGATGCACGATGGCGTCGCCGCCTATCACCGTTAATGTATGTTCGTGAATTATCTGGCCCAACACATCGAATTGTACCGGGACCACCCGACCGGTGGTGCGCTGCGCGGGCGCAAGCTGTACGTTCAGCGCTCACGCAGCTAATACATGAGGCGGGGTAAGTGCAATAGATGATTTTTATTATTATTAATAAACCGATATTGCGCACATTAATTTAAACTATTATAAAGTTGAATAAGTTTGTTTTTTGAACATACTAATCTCAGGTACTACTGGTTCTTTAAAAGTCAATTCTTTTTTGATTGGACCTGTTATAGACGAAGGCTTTAGGCTATAAAAACATCAGGTTGCGACTATATATATAAATATAAAGTTTGCGTTCGATGCGCTGCGCGAAAGGTTTAAGATACCTATAAAACTATAAAAGGTACTTTTTTGAGTGTTAAAAACATTCCGTGACAGTGTATCTTTTAAGATTAACTCACAAATATTTCATATAGCAAAAGGACGTTACCAGGTCAACTAACAATTAAATTAAAGCCTCAGTTATTCCGGGAATGATTTTAATAATTCTTATTATATTTCTTTCTTTTATATTCTATAGTTTCAGTTTCGTCAGAGTCGTTATTAATTACTTACCTTTGTTAAGTAAACGAAAGAACTTAATAGCAAAAGCACAGTGGACTAAGACTGTCGAGATATTTAATGTGTTATATAAAGATGCAGATATTTACTACAGTTCTTGGGGTGAACTCACAAATACATAAATTTTTATTTCGAGTTACGAAATCTAGTATTGTTTTAGTTCGGGTTAGTATTTTAGTTCTATTATATATTATATTATTTTGGTTTTGCGATTTTAAGTCACTGTCGCATTGGATCCCGTCTGTTATGACAGTGGATATATGTAGAAATTGAATATATCCACACACACAATAAAAAAACCTATAAGAATTGTCTATTACTTAACCGTTTCTTGTTCCAGAGACCGTGGTGTGGTGGTGGGCGGATGCGGCGCTGGTGCTGCACTAGCAGCGTTTGTGTCAGGAGGCGGCGGTGCTGTCGGCCGTGGCGTACGAGCCCTAATCCTCTTAGCTCCTCCTTTACTCACCGCGGAGGGGGCACGGGACTTTAATCACTTGACGGCACCCATGCTGCTCGTGGCTGGAGGGAGTGCAGCTACATGCTGGCGCGGTGCTGCCCATGAGATAGCGAGCGCAGAGGCACGCCGGCTGCTGCTTATAGGCGGTGCGGATGATGCGTTGCGCCTACCGCGTCGACACCGTCTGAGGTTGCGCGTGCCGCAGCAGGCCCTGGACTCTGCTATAGCGGTAATTTAAATTATAACTTTATACCAATCCAAAAATAAAAGAAAACTTGTTGAGCTTTTTGTGCTAGTAAAACGATAAATAATTCATAAAAAAAAAGTTTTATAATATAACGAAAAAGAAGATTTGACATATCATTTATTTCATGGTCTTTCGGGCTGTTCCGTCGATGTGTGCGAGAAGAGGTTCCCGACATTTTCATTCTTCGAGCAATCGACGAATCAACATCCTGATGATGCCGTCCGCACATGATGGCGAAACGTCGAGAACCTCTTCTCGCTCACGTCGGCCGAACAGCCCGAAAGACAATGATTTGCTGAACGATGGCCGTGAAAGCCTTACACAATTTATTTAAGAAGATTCGAGTTGTAATTAAATACATTAAAAACGAAATTATAATATATATAGAAGTGGGCTATATGGATGTCAGGAATCATAGCGAAAGATAAAATAACTAAAACATAAAACTTTTCTTGAAATTTTAAATTCTCTCTTAATTTTTAAGAGCAATTAAAATGCTATCTAATGTTTTAACCTTTATTGTCATAGAAGATAAATTTATCTATAGTGTACTTATACTCTAGATATTTATCTATAGTTAAACACTACATAATAGTGTTTTATTTCTTTAAATTAAAACCTGAAATCCTTACTAATATTATAAATGCGAAAGTAACACTGTCTGTCTGTCTGTTACTCTTTCACGCCAAAATTACTGAACGGATTTGAATGAATGATTTTGGTATACAGACGGTCTAGACCCTGAGAAAGGGCATAGGTTTTTTATTGCGAAATGGGGGTTGTTAGGGGTTAAAAGGGGGGGTGAAAAGTTGTATGGAAATTCGTGGTTTTTGAAGATAGAACAATGTAACTTTCTTCTTTGGCTTTTTGGAAATAGGAGTGGGAGTGGGAAATTTAATAAAAAAAAATATTTTTTCAGGAAGAATGTGCACGTTGGGCGCGTGAAGTAACAGAACCACAAGATAATGAGGCGATACAAATGATAGAATCTATAGAACTCAGTGATCATATTCCAGTTCAGAACTCCCTTGGGGATACTATCCTTACTGAGAATAGTATTAGTGATAATGGACCATCCAGGAGAGGCAAGAAACTATCCTAACTTTTTTTAGTAACGTTATTAGTATCTTACTAATTTGGAGTTCATTGCGGAGCAATGAGCAAGTTTATTGTAAAATTAGTTGTTCTTATTGCTTCCGAAGTTGAAGATATGTGAATTCATTCATTGCAGACAAAATATACAAAGGAATATTTAGAAATCTATATAAAAAATATTTAAAATACCGTTTCAGGGCATAAAACATCTAGTTTATTATTTTTGTCAACGTCTTGAAATAAAATAAATAATATTGCAGTTGATGACTCAGTATTATTTGAATTGAGATAGATCATTTTAATAGATTTTAAAACAAGAATGACTCAGGTTTCTACCTATTGAACAAGCGTGTTACGCTCGTGTGCATTATAAAAACGCTTATTAGCACAATCAAACAACTTTTTTTCTATTTAAATAAAACACTTTAACGGTTTAAAACGCGATATATTAGTTAAACTTATTTGAAAATGATTTTTAACTTCGGCCCGACTCTGGATCCCAATAAACAGCATACCAGCAAACGCGAAGACACCGTTAGTCAATTCTGTAAGGACCCGGCCAGTTTCGCCAAATACCAACTTCGACGGAACAGATGGCGCTAGCGTAGCAATTTTTTACTTTGACGTCAGACATCTTCCATCTTTAGTCTTCCCGTGACCACGGCTGCTGCAAAGCATCCGACACGTCGGGCCGAAGTTAAAAATCATTTTCAAATAAGTTTAACTAATATATCGCGTTTTAAACCGTTAAAGTGTTTTATTTAAATGTGTATTACTCGCGTAAACTATAGACAGTATTTAACTTTTTTTCTATCTAAAATCGATTTTTAATTTAAACTCTTCTTATTTTCTTACATATTATAGACTATACGTATAGATTGAGTTCACGTTGTCGTTTATATTACATTTTACAATAACCATAAATGTAAGGGTAGTAAAAGCCTCCTGCGTTCCCTTCCACTCGGTTCTTTCCTCGCTTTTTATGATAAGCTGGAACCAACAATTTTCCTTGTGCCACAATAGTTGCCCATTTAACATGTGAAAATGAATCGTGTCACATAAAATGTGCATGTGAAACGTAATTTAAATTAAGAAATAACAATGTTACAGCAGCCCAATCTGTGTCCACCGCAACGCCAGTGCTCAACGCTGCGTCTCCTCATTCAACGCCACCGTAAGCATTTTATATATACTACAGTTGTCTTACAAGTTTATTTTGCCGCCGTAATTTTACTTTAATGTGGGGCAAGTAAAGTATCATAATATGATACTTTACTCGCCCCACATTAAATTAATATTATTATACTTGCTCAAAACTAGAATGTAATAGTTCAATGTCTAAAAATATAAAATTTAGATTGTCTCAAAAGGCGTATTATTGTCTGAACGATTTATTTAATGACAAGACCGCCTGGCAGTCATATGAATTGCTCCTTAGGTTAATAAATTCACAACAATGTATTAGTTCACAAGATATGTTAAAAAAGCCAGAGTGAGTTTCTTGGGTGTTCTTCTCAGTTACATTGCTCTTTTGAACACTCTGTAGAATCACGACAAACAGACGGACAAACAAAAAAATTTTGACGATCTAAATAATTTTTTAAATTTCAAAGAGAATAACATATATTTTATTTTATTTTAAAGGTGATTTGCTTATAAACTTAATTTTAATAATTTCAGAGATACTTTTCTTAATCATTGTAAGTATTATATTTATTTTTCAGAGGGAATAGAAGCATTGAAATCGTAGGTATGTATCTTTTGTTATTTTTACCGGAAATCAACATTTAATACGACATACCTATCAGCTACGTAAAATTTATTAACAACAAAAATATCTATTGCTTTATTATCATCTGATTAATCTGATTATAAGAACGAATATTCTCGAATAAATTTCAAACTCATTTCATATTTACATCGTTTACTTCAAATTTATGACTTGTATGAGACAAGTCATAAATTTGAAATTAAAAATTACTGTCATATCAAAAGTGTTATTTATTGTTGCCCACTTGTCTTGTAAACTTGTCCCTGGGATTCGAACCCAGAACTTTAACTCAATGCTAAGCAACACGTTTGATCCATTAGCTATAGAAGAGGTATTTATGGGGTATACTTATTTTGAGTACTACATAAATATTCTTATTACATTTAATTAAACCCCCAGAAAGTGTATCAACAATATTACTTACGATAGTTTTATTGAATGCTTAGATATTGTAAAGGTGAAATCTCGTTTCCCCCTCGTGGGGCATGGGGCGAACTCATTTTTGTGTTCCTTTCACTGATCCGTTCTTTAACAGGCTAGTAGTTTATCAGACTTCTGTGCCCTGCCCGACCTAAACAATTTTTCGTTTCCCTGGGATTCGAACCCAGGACGTCTTGCGCTTAACGCAATGCAATACGTTTAACCATTTGGCTACAGAGGTCTAGATATTGCGATATTAAATTATTAATTGGTTAAAATAGATACTTTATCTATATCCTATTTCTTATTGTTTGTGTAGAAGGTTGTGTGGTGTCGCGGGTATCTGGCGGAACGCCCCTGGCCTTGGGTCCACCAAGACGCGCTGAGTTACAGCCGGACGACATCATGCGGCTGCCGATTGTGTTTGCTGATGACGCTGCTGTATCCATAGACACGAACCAGGTCTCGCCAGCACCACTGCTTCGGAGGAGCCAAGGTTGATACACTTATTACGCCGTAAAATCAATTACTAAATACTTATTTATACTAAAAATGTTACTTAATGCACCGCTTAATGATGGTTGCTTTTAGAAAATATTAAATATTAATATTGCAATAATCAAAATCATAGACCAACAAGCCCCTCAAGTCTACATATGTATATATTTTTGTTATTATTTACTTAAAAGATAAGAAAAGGATGTGAAATGTATATTAAAAGTCTATTATAAAAAAATTACCTGCTAATAAGTACCTTAATTAACAATGTTTAAGTGAATTAAAGTACGATACATATAATATTTTGTAGATTAAACTATCAATAATAATGAATCGTCCACTTCCCATAGTATCCCAGGCCAAAGTGGACAACCAATTATTGAATTGTCCTGTAAAATGTATTACTCTCCTTTTTATTGTTTTTAAAATATCCCATAACTGTACATGACAGTTTTTTTAAAGAAAATAAAGTATTTTATAATAATATTTATTATTATTACTCGTAAGTACAGTAGGGGTTACTTAAATATTTCATTATATTTTGTTACAACACCATAAAAAAAATAAACAAAATACAATTTATTTTGTTTTTTGTCCATTGTAGAAAGGAAAACAAAAGAAGAAAGAATGACAGTACGCTCGGGTGGGAGTGTTGGTGTGGGGCGAGGTCGTACTTCGGGGGCAGCTCGTGGGGCACCTGTGCGGTATGCACGAGTGATTGTGGCTAAGCGCGGAGGTAGTACACCATACGTGCGACGCCGAGGTGACCCTAGTGGTGACACCACAACTCCGTAACACTAAAAGCAAAGACATAAGAAAAGCAAGACTTGATTCTGGATCTAATAAACAGCACCAGTAAACGGAGCCCTAAGTCTTGAACATTTATGTAAGAATTCCAGTAGGTCACGGTGCAGCCCAGGAAAGCAAAGGAGTTTTTATTATGTAAAAAAATATTAAAGATATATAATAAATGTTTTTTGATATGTTCTGTCTTTACATATTAACCTTTTAATGTTCGTATTATTAACGAAATACTAGATGTAATGTATGAACGTGTTTTCAAAATTAATATGATACAAATTTTTCTAGTAATGTTTCTCAAAAGTCATCTGTGTGTTACAGGTAAAGATATGAGACTTCGTTTAAATAAAACACTAACGATTTAAAACGCATTATGTTAGTTAAACTTATTTGAAAACGATTTTTAACTTGGGCCCGACGTTTCGGATGCTTTTGCAGCAGCCATGGTCACGAGGAGACATTTTATTTAAATGTGTACTACTCGCGTAAACTATAGACAGTGTTTATGAGACTTCAATCAATTATTTCAATGTATTCGTGGTCGTTATGAGTTTTGTGTGTATGTTCGATTTCCAATAACACAAATGTTCACACTGAAGATTATTCATATGAAAATATTGCAAAACAGTCATGGCTGCGTGTTGATGTTGGTCTCACGAGCTAGTCTAATTTTATTATAAAACATGGAAAAGTGATAATCAAATGTTAGACTTTGAAAAAGGCCTAAAGAAAGTTAGCGATGAAGTACCTAGATGTCGAAAACAATAACAAAACCCAGGTGGTAAAGAGGGTTTCGGCACTACGATATGGTCAATAAAGCGGTAAGCATTAGTGAGTAAGCCCTTGAAATGACTACAAGTTATATCAACACGTCACAAGACAAAGCGCGCTCAGCTAGCCGCAAGGTGCAACCGAACGGTTTACAAGTGTAAAAACGTATTCGTAACGATATGGTTTCGTTGAGATTATAGGCTAGGACACGTCACGGCCTGTCAAACCGCGAAAGTCAATAGGGAAGAAGCCGCGGGGCGCGTGCGTAGAACGTGGGACGGGGCGCGAGGGACGGCAGTTGCGCTCCAGGCGAGTACCGCGGCGGGATGCGAACCCGCTACAACTGCCGCTCGGCTCTGTCCACGTTCCGTGCTGTGCGAACGGCGACCGAGGCCGGGAACGGCGCGTCACCACACACCATTGGGCTGTGACAGCGCTGGTCTGCTGCTGAAACGATATCGATCCCGCGTGACGAGCCGCTGCATCTCGAACCATGAAAACACTTTTGTTTCCGGGCGCGCCAGGACTCGACTGCAACTCACTCGATCGATTCGAGCACGAAGCGAACGGACGCGTGAAGAGCGCTATTCTCTCATGTCCGCTACTATGTAAGCCCCTAATTAAGTTACGTAAGTGAGCAACTCGGGCTTACCAGCTCCTGTAAACAAACGACTGGACGTCCAGTATGTTTACCAGATGTCGCGTAGCGTAGACGCTGTAGTGAGCACTTGGTCTACATATATAGTTTCCTTCACCGAGGTGGTTATTCATATAGTTGAGTAGTTTGTAGGAGTACGTCAGTAAGCAGTGATTTGACGTCTCTCTGACAAGTTTCGCCAGTATATATGATTACAAAGAACCTATCTGTTATATTATGTTGTTTCTAAGTTACATATTCTTAAGTATATAAGTTCCTGATCTGACAGTTGAACCCTATCCCAAAATATTTTGATATCGATGTCTGCTGGAGGCACAAATTATACACCCTCATTCGGAATATTCTAATGAGATTATTTGGCGCAATGCCACCAGTAACGTCTGACCCAGAAAAATAAATCTCTTATTTTTGATAAGCTAACAGAATAAACTCTTACTTACATCGGCCACTTTGATTAGATATTACGTAGTAATTCAATCTCATTTCGATTGCTGCACTTAAAATAAATTATTCGTACGGCGGGCTCGTGTAGGTCGCAGTAAATTAGGTAGGAATATTAATGGAAGCTTCTAATAAATAATTGCAAGTTTCAGTGGGATTAATATAGCCATGTTATTATGACATTTTGTGACAGAGGTAAGAAGAACATGGGGCTTGTTGGATGAAATATCCCAGTCATATAATATCTAACGAAAATGCGCTGTCGATCTATGTCTTTGGACGTTTAGAAAGCACAGAGTGAAACCGAAACGCGATTACACGTCACAGCATTTCATATTTGGACAATGATTTGAGTCAGAATTTCAATATTCCAATGTTTCCACAAAGATTAAATGCCTTTTAAACACATATTTGACTTGGTGGGAATCGAATCCACGACTCGATCGTTAGTCATGATTGCTAACATTACACCAACGAGCCCATCTGAACGTTATAGAATGATGGTGATTAAGATTTTTTTTAAGCTCGAGGCGACAGACTTTAGTCTTTGAGTCTTGATGGATAGGTACTTGTAGTGACAACCTAGTTACCTGTTGCATAGTCTTTTATTAAAGAAGGCGGGAAATTTAAATATTTATCCAAGTGACAATTGTTATAATACGAAGATTCCTTACAATATAATTGGATAGTTACAATAATACAAGTGAAAGGCGCTATAAAGTTATTCAGGTAGTCTTAATTAGTTCAAATCAAAAGTATATTACTTATAACATTAAACCACCCGCAGCGGTTTCAAACGCTACAAAATATTTATTGATTTATTTTTAACTACGACCTGACCACAGCAGCTTTAAAGTATCCGAAGCGTCGGGTCATAGTTAAAAATTAGGTAACTAGTATATATATATCGTTTGAAATTGTTAAAAGTGTATTATTGAAATATAATTTAGTAACTAAAATATTATTCTGATTATCTTGAGACTGCCAAAAATACTATACCTACTGTGTGGTTTATAGTGAATTTGCTTAGAACACCGTCACTAAATGGCGTTGAAACACAAATTTTCTGTTTCTACCTATAATTGTATTTCCCATACATATTTGTAAAGGATATCAAGTTTTTAACAAATAATTACTGACTTTAACGAGTAAACCAAATAGGAAAATTGGTTAATAAGCGTTTATTTTTCGCAGGATGGTAAAGAGAGCGTGAAGCGGAAGTGTAAGCGGAAGCGGGAGCGGGTGCGGCGGGATGCCGGGCGGGCGACGGGGGCTTGTAGCCCCTCAGAACACCTTCCTCGAGAACATCATCCGCCGCTCCTCCTCACAGCGTCAGTACCCCATCATCATATTTAACTAGAGCCAGCACTGTTATCCAAGAAATGTTTTATTTAGTTTTAGTATATTATTATATCATGCGTTAGTAACAATTTTCCCTATTAAATATATTTCAATACTTATTAGAATAATCTATAGTAATAATATATTATATGCATTGATACGTCAATACAGGGCAGACAACTATGATATTAACGAAAAGTAAGTTCAGATTGTTTCAGATACAATCAAGGAATTAGCTTGTCGCACATCAAATACTGTCTATAGTTTACGCGAGTAGTACACATTTAAATAAAACACTTTAACGGTTTAAAACTCGATATATTAGTTAAACTTATTTGAAAATGATTTTTAACTTTGGCCCGACGTTTCGGATGCTTTTAGCCGTGGTCACGAGGAGACTGAAGATGGAGGATGTCTCTGACTACTGATAATTTGAAAACAATTGTAACTAATATATTTCGCGTTTCAAACCATTAATGTGTTTTATTGAAACGATAATTAATATTAATTTAAAACGCTAATCCTTCCCTCCTGATAGTCGTACTGTGTTTCATACAGCAGACAGCAGCTTCCTGCTGGCGAATGCGCAAATAGTCGATTACCCCATCGTGTATTGTAACGAGACATTCTGCAAAATGAGCGGTTACAACCGCGCGGAAGTCATGCAGAAATCGTGCAGGTATTTATGACCACCAATTACTTATGAGGACTTATAGGCACCAACAAACTGCCAGGTTTAAGAAGAGCACCCGGTATGGACCCAACGGCGGATCTTGAGGGGGGGGCTCATGGGGGTCATGACCACCTCCCCTCCCCATAGCCAAATACAGTACTTAGTAGAAGTTGTTATGTGTTGAGTTCTTGAAGTGTACAAACAAAAAATGTTGTTTTAAGTACAGCATTTACGTAATTATAAAATACCTACTTCGACCTGCAGGCTGCATCTATCGTTATCAAAATTAACTCGATTAAACTTCACGGCTTTTTCATCTGTGGATTGTTCGTGACGCGGACGTAATTTCGATTTTCCCACCGCCCATTTATTATCCAGATTTCCAGGCAAAGTCCGACATGTTCCAGAAAAATTATAAATCAATTAAAACCATGTTGGACCCAGTGGGGGTAGAACCCACGACCCGTTAATTAAGAGTGCGCTAAAAACAGTAAAGAACATTTATTTATTACAATTGCAAATGTATTGTCATATTGTATGTTTGTCCTTGGTACTATAAAATAAAACAATATTTATGAAGAAAGCTTATATACAGTTTTAATTATATAATAGACCGTAACAAGTAAATATTGTTTATCGTTTATAGATGTAGCTGGATGTACGGCGAGCTGACAGAGAAAGAGGCGGTGGAACGCGTAGACAGAGCGCTCGATCATCATCTCGCCGACCAGTTCGAAATCTTACTCTACAAAAAGAATCGTAAGTATTTACTTTATGTGTGAGCAGTATTGTGTTCTTACTAGCTGCGCCCGCGCCTTCGTCAGCGTGGAACATATTAATTTGTTTATATAGGGCTGCTGCTTTGCACCTTTAATGAAGTGAAGCCCGTGAATGACTCCTCTGTTTTGAAAACAAACAAAAGAGGAGTCATTCCCAATAACTAAAAATATATTATTAAATAGCTGTATCAGCGACTTCGTCCGCATGGACGATATTTTGGGTTTCATCTGTATTTTTGCAAAGAACCTCCTCATCTTTATAATATGTATTATAAGTTATGGCTATTAAACACGACTGCGCCCCGTTGCGTCGTTCTTGCGAGTTACTTAAACTAATACACTGTCGTGGTATTTTTTAGATCATTCTTATATGTATAATTACTTGGTTTCTTCAATCGTTGTGCTGCAACACAAGGAACGGAGAGTCAATGACACTAATTATTTTCCCCGTATTTTTTCCACATTGTCTCATTTTTCCATTTTTCCATTTCTCTCATTACTTTATTTGTCGCAGCGTGATGTTTTATAGCCTTAATACTATCTTGATAAATGCTTCAACCTACACATAATTTTTTAATACCTACGTTACGTACCAGTAGAAGGTCCGCCTTCAAAAAAAAACTGTTCAGCTTGATAATGTTAGTATAGATAAATCGATTAGATTTTTTGAGCACGGTGGTAGGTATATTAATTTTGGGTTACTTTCTTTTTTGTTTTTCTATTAAAATACAGAACCTATCGTAATCGTTTCAATCCACTTTCGAGCTGTTAAAACGAAAATAAATAAGCGTTCTGCACACGAAAAAAATGCAATATTGCAGCCCGTTTGTGGTAAAGATACAAATAAAGGATATTCAGTTACATGTTAACAATGTTTGCGGCAATAACACGAACATTAAAAGGTACCAGGCCCTGCTCAAACGCAGGAAGGAACCTTAATTAAAATTTTTAAATGTTCTCACACCCCACGACAATAATTGATAACTTGTACTCATAAAAAGTAACGAGGCCATTTACGAAAACACATCCAGGACCCATTTAGACGAAAATATTTTTTCCCGCGTTGTACTGTAGTTTACATTAGTAGAAAACATTTGATAGAACTACTTTAAACGATTAAAATAAAATACTTTTAACGGTTTAAAACGCAAAATGTATTAGACAACTTATTTCAAATACGAACCAACGTTTTGAATGCTTTGCTACAGTCGTGGTCTCCCCGGGCATTTGCGTTCTAAACCATTAAAAGTGTTTTATTTAAATGTGTACTACTGGCATAAACTACAGACATTATAGATTCGTTGGTTAATAGTAGCAATGTTTGGGAAATAATCAACGGTTCGTGGATTGGGTCATATTGGGCTTCGTTTGGAAATCTGGATAATAAACGAGTGATAGGACTATTAAAATCTGGATCAAGAACCACCGTCCACAAATAAAGAAGCTGTGAAGTATGATCGTGTTTTGGTCTCAGTCTGTGGAGTTACGTACATCTAAAGCTAAAATAGGACATGGCATCTTGTTTAGGCGTTATAAGGCTGGAGTATATCATCATCACCATCATCAACATGGTGTTCGCTTGATGGCTGTCCGTCAGCAACCCTTGTCTAGAAGAAAATAAATTGTGTTTCAATTAGTTTTACTTAATACTTTGGTTGATAATTATTTCATTTGTTCAGGCACGCCGCTGTGGTTATTGGTACACGTTGCCCCAATACGCAATGAGCGCGAACTAGTGGTGCTATTCTTGCTCACATTTCGCGACATTACGGCACTGAAACAACCCATTGACGCTGATGACCCTAAGGGAGGTGAGTTTTGTCACATGATCTATAATTTATTTTAGTCACGTCAAAACTATACAGATCTTATACATAGGGTTAGTTATAGAAGTAGTAAGAAAATAAGCTTTGTGAAAATGACCCCATACCCCACGGTATTCAATAGACTGTGTGAAATCTTGTGGGGCGTGGGGCGAATACATTTCTGTGTCCGTTTCACTGATCGGTTTTATTTACAAGCGAGCGGTTGCAATATAAAGTATCTCTGGCAAACGTTAAAGATAGATTTGTTTAAAATGAGTATATAATTGGAAATCATGAAATTAATTTTACTTTTATTTAAAAGGTGCAAAACTAAGCTTTAATTTACGGAATATATCATAATAAATCATATTGTCCAGGTCTATCGAAGTTCGCAAAGCTCGCCAGATCGGTGACGCGTTCGCGGTCGGTGCTGGTTTCAGCGCTGCCAGCTCTGAAGGAACCGGCGCGCCAGAGCCACCTCGCGCATGTCAGTACCGCCGCCCCGCATGTAAACACGCTCTTTCTGCACCTAGCACCGGCCCATGGGTCCCGCCCGGACACACATCGCTCGACTGGTCCATTCGCACCGAACTTCTCATTAACATCATCAGATTTTCCTCCTTCTGTTTCTTGAGCTGTTCGGGTATCGTCTTTTAGAATTTCATATAATATAAAAGCCGCACACACTACAAGCAGCCGATATGCAACCGGGTCGAAATACGTATACACTAAGATCGCGGCAGGCCAATATACCGTCTTCAAGTAATCGTGAGACCAGGCCCGCCCGATCCGATCCGCGCCAGTCAGAGTATATATAATCTGAGACCGCGGTTGGCAAAAACAGTCTTCAAGCAATCAAGGAGCTAACAACATCTCCTGGTGATGCCATCCGCTCGTGATAGCCAAACGTCCAGAACTTCTTCTCGTTTACGCCGGCCCAAAAAACAATGATATGGTAATAAAAGCCGTAGTGTCCATTCGCATTTCGATTACAGGCTAGATTTTTAAAGCTAATAATATAGCTAGACAACGCACTTCACTTATCAAGTGGACCCCACGCTCGTCTATGCAACATCGAAGAATAAAAACGGTTAAATAGTTAAAAATATTAAGAACTTCTAAAGAACGACGCCTGAACGGCACCAAAACTTCCTTCAAAGACATTTTTTTTTGTATCTAACTGAGAATGTCCAGCTATGTATGATCCGTGCTAGTTTAAGTATTTTTTGTCTTATTCATAATCGAGTTAAATATAGCTTAGGTTGAATATAGGTTATCTGGTGAAAATGTTGATGTCTTAAAAGATAAACGGTTATGAGTAAGACACACACTGTTTTGTGAGCCAGTTTCTAATTTAGCAAATGTCTGTTTAAATTATTTTTTTACCCACGATCGAGAAGCTAATTCTTTTTTCCTCCTCTAACACTTTTTTGAATGATGGATAGGATTTTTAAAAACTTTTTCTCTTCCTTTCGAACTATATAGCTATATAAACAAATAATTTTACATGCCTGCAAACTAAACTCCTACCAATATTTGTACAGTTAAAAATAGTGTTAAATTAAGTTTTTCACTTCTAACCTGTTCACTATCTTCTGATCTATTTAAATGCACTTGCTTCTGAAGCAAAAGTATTTTTACGTTTATTAAATCGGAAATAGGCGCTCTATCTATACTTGCATTACTATCTTTACATTATATGCAAATATTTTATACTTTGGCAAAGCTATCGCCATATCGCCCACCCAGTAAGCTCGCAAGTCGCACCTTCAGAATGTACCAGGCTCTTCAACTTTTCGCACTCTTATTAACGCTAATATAAAGGAAGTTCATATGAGAAGGATGTAATGCGGTATCTCCACTGCATGATGCAGGTGATGTCTCTATCTGGTGACGTGCTACCACAGTACCGGCAAGAGGCACCGAAAACCCCACCACACATCCTGCTGCACTACTGCGCGTTCAAAGCGATTTGGGACTGGATTATTCTGTGCCTGACGTTCTACACGGCTATCATGGTGCCCTACAATGTGGCATTTAAGAATAAGACGAGTGAAGACGTGTCTCTTCTCGTTATAGACTCAATTGTGGATGTGGTGTTTTTTATCGACATCGTGCTAAACTTTCATACCACGTTCGTCGGGCCAGGCGGTGAGGTGGTTAGCGATCCGAAAATTATCCGCAAGAACTACTTCAAGTCTTGGTTCTTGATCGACCTACTCTCTTGCCTGCCCTACGACGTCTTCAACGCGTTCGACCACGACGAGGACGTGAGTAATGACCCTGTAAACGGTATTTTTTGTTATATTATTATTTTAACATTATGTTATATTGTTTATGTATTGGTCACATTTATAAAACATTGGGGAACAATCATTGTATACAAGCACAAATTTATTTATTTTAATATTTAAGTTCAATTTTGTTATTGTGGGTACACTAACCTCTACTAAGTTGGCACTACAAATAACCACATACATGATACTAGGCATTCTCAAATCATTACACGTATCAATAAATATACAACATTGTAGTGGTTAGATGTAGTGAGCAGATAACGATATGTATGCTTTCAGGGTATCGGCAGCCTATTCAGCGCGTTGAAGGTGGTACGATTGCTACGATTAGGGCGCGTGGTGCGAAAGCTGGACAGGTATCTGGAGTATGGTGCGGCCATGCTTATCCTGCTGCTCTGCTTCTATATGCTGGTCGCTCACTGGCTCGCCTGCGTGTGGTACAGCATCGGTCGGTCAGACGCGGACTCCGGCCTTCAGTATTCATGGTTGTGGAAGCTGGCTAACGTGACGCAGAGCCCGTATTCTTATGTTTGGTCAAACGAGTCGGATGGGCCCGAGCTGGTGAACGGGCCCTCGCGCAAGACAATGTACGTGACCGCGCTCTACTTCACCATGACGTGCATGACCTCCGTGGGCTTCGGCAACGTCGCCGCCGAGACCGATAACGAGAAGATCTTCACCATCTGCATGATGATTGTCGCAGGTGCCGGAATTCTTCTCTTATTAGCCGGAGCACAGTGTGGCCCCCGCGCAGCTCCTCTTTGGGTGCTGTCCTGGGGGCCGCTTTCCTACCTATCCACCTTCCTTTACAGCTATTGGCAACTCTTCTGTCTTTGCTATACTTGTTTACGTCAGTGTGGCAACTGCCGTAATTTGGGACTATTATTTGCTATTTACATATTAAAAACATCACATGTACGAACTTTTAAACATTTATCAATTGATAAGAAATCGAATACATTCCTGTAAATTAAACAGGAACTGGCAAAAAACACGCTGCCACTCTCTTTACCGCCAAAATAACGTTTCATATATATAATAGTCTGAAGTTATGCAAACAGCGTGAATTCTGTGAATTATTTCATGACACTAAATTCAGCAACCATTTCAGTTGTAACCATTGTCCTGTGTATAAGAAATCCTCCCCCCTTCTCTCCCTCGTGCAAGCCCACGAAGCGTCGCATTGTTCTGTGTGACACCTCATCACATTGTTATTGCTACTCTCGGCTCAATGTTATTTGTATATCATTTTGCTCGAATACAACTGGAGGGCAGTTCGTCTAGCTTGTGTTCTTGTGAAATATATGTAGAATCACTCGAACGTTAAGCCAAGAGTTCTCTTTGCGGAGCGCTCCGCGGCACTAACAAAACAGTTACCTGCCGGCAGCCCTGTTGTACGCGACGATATTCGGGCATGTGACCACCATCATCCAGCAGATGACGTCAGCGACGGCCAAGTACCATGACATGCTAAACAACGTGCGTGAGTTCATGAAGCTGCACGAAGTGCCCAAGGCGCTTAGTGAACGCGTTATGGACTACGTAGTCTCTACTTGGGCAATGACTAAGGGACTTGACACAGATAAGGTGCTCTTTTACTATCAGAATAATTATTTTAATTCATACATACACAATTCTATCTGGAAATTTTTACCTGTTTTTAAAATAAATTTGTAAAATTTTTCAATTCCGGTTTCCTCCAAATGTCTCCCTTAACTGGAATTGAAAACATGAGGTATAAATGTAAACCACTGAAATCTCTGTATTTTTATTTGGTATATGAAATTCATATAAGAGAATAGAGAGAATAGCCTACTACTTCCACTCCAAATATTCCTTGTTAGAAATCTACCTTTTGCATATATAGGTCCGCATGGTACTTAAATTTTGCAATAATCTGATCAGCTTATCCTAGATCCCTCCAACAGCTCCATTTACTTCTTGCATTCTGAACACAGAAAACCTTTCCTTCTCCAGACGCATGGCACTTCCTTCCACCTTTTAAGAGATCCCTTTAGTAACATCTTCTATATGAAAAAATGTGAGTAAAGTTGTCACTATCTAATTATTTTACAATCCCTTATTCATCCTTGTTTATATAAGTAAATAAGTAAGCTTTTTAAGATTATACATATATTTTTGTGTTTATACAATTCGATCAGCAATCACATATCATTTTCTTTCATTAATTTTTTTCTTTAATTATGTGTTGCCTGGAAGAGATCGCTTGTTAGCGACAACTCAGCCATTACATTCTAGCATGTAAGTCTTATTTGTACCTACATTTTGTCTCTCGTTTGTGTGATAGTTGGTCTATAAATAAATAAAATCACTGAAAACACAGGTGCTGAATTACTGCCCGAAAGACATGAAGGCGGATATTTGCGTGCATTTAAATCGCAAAGTTTTCAACGAACATCCCGCGTTTCGGCTCGCGTCCGATGGGTGCTTAAGAGCGCTCGCCATGCACTTCCACATGTCTCACTCAGCACCAGGGGATCTTCTGTATCACACTGGCGAGTCCATAGATTCGCTCTGCTTTATCGTCACGGGCAGCCTTGAGGTCATTCAAGATGATGAGGTTGTCGCCATCCTTGGTAAGTGGTTCCTTTTTATGACAGATAGAACTTGGGTTAATTTGATGGAATGTTAAATAATCAATCCTCAGAACTGATCTAAATAAAATGCACTATCGATCTATTTACGCTTTGGATACTCAGAAATTGACAAAGTGAACCTGAAACGCGATAAAAGTTCAAGGCTTTTTCGAAATGAACGAAGTCAGTGAACGGTGGTTCGTGAGGGATTTACGATATTCATACCACTCGTTTAATATATGGATTTTTCAGGCGGAGTTTAAGATATATCAGAAAAATTATAACACTGTATACTATTTCTTAATAATAATAAGGACAACATGTCGAAAATAAAGGGCTCTAAATCAATATTGTATTTTATCATATAAAGTATAACATAAAGTAGTAGTTACACTAACCATTCCGAAATATCAAAAAATATTCGTAAATACTAAACTACCATAGTCCCGTAACTTAATTCTTCAGGCAAAGGCGACGTATTCGGAGACTCGTTCTGGAAGGACAGCGCGGTGGGCCAATCGGCAGCAAACGTTCGCGCTCTAACCTACTGCGACCTCCACACGATCAAACGAGACAGACTACTCGAAGTGCTGGACTTCTACCAGGCGTTTGCGAACAGCTTTGCGCGAAACCTCACCCTCACTTATAACCTTCGACATCGTCTTATTTTCCGCAAAGTAAGGGATTAGAAGCATATCATAAATATGAAATATTTATAAAGAAATTTTAATCTGTGCATTTGCGTAAATTTATTTTTAGGATTTTAATTAATTTTAGCATGAAATTGTGTTTAATATGTTATCCAGTGTCTCAAATTGTTTAAGATCGCGTTGTCATGTAAATTGTGTTTGTTTAAAAATGCCAAGTATCTCTCTAATCTCATTCTTTTATATATCTCACACCTGCTTATTCATTCTTAGTTAATGTTAGTCTCAACAAGATGTTCGAAAGTTTACACTATGCTAAAACTGGTTCTTAAAATAACTAAACGTCAAAGTCAAAAATAATTTATACATCTAAGTAAAATAGGTACACTTATGATCTGGCAAGAAAAGAGCACTACAGAAAGATACTATTGTACTTATAAAGAAAGGAAGAAGGGAAAAACATTACTGATTGAATGAATTATTTTATGCAGGTGGCCGATGTCCGACGGGAACGTGAACTTATGGAGCGACGGAAGCGTGAACCACAATTGGAACAGGCGCAAGATCATCTCGTGCGCAAGATATTTTCGCGGTTTCGCCGCGAGCGCAGCGTGGCCGCGGCGCCGCCGTCGCAACCAGCACAATCGGCCCATACTACAGATCCAGCACCTGAGGCGGACACTGCGCCCGAAAGTGCACAAGCGGGGTAAAGTCTCTTGCTATAATATGTGGCAATCACTTTTTTTTAAATCTCACACAAACAAATAGAATCCATCTTAAACAGTTTGAGAGTTTTTTAAAATCAAAAATTTACGCGAGTTTTATAATATATTAAACAAAACAAGAAGAACCTTCAAACAAACAGAGTGTAAGAAAAACGTGTACCATGTTCATATTAAAGGTGTTTGTAGAAATAAAATTATTTGAATGAATGGAACTGTCTTCAAAATGCACAAAACGTAAAGAACCTTGAACTTCAATTCGGAAAGTACCTTATTTATTTTTATTAATAAATACACAATTAATGTTTCAATCAAAGGAAACCTTTTTTGGAAATACACAGACTGAAACTAAAACGCGATCAGACTTCACGGCTTTTTCATCTGTTGATGGTGGTTCGTGACTCGGACGGGATTTTGATATTCCTACATTTCATTTACTATCCATATTTCCAGACAAGTCGAACGTGTTTCATGTTGCACATTATAATCGACTATAAACATTAACTTTACTCTATATTAGGAAATATGACAATCAACGGCGAAACCATGGGGGGGTCTTGGGTTCTTCGCCCGGGTGACATCGCCCACCCCCCGAGCTGGTTAAAGGCCTTGGGTAGACCACTAATTGTACATATTGATTTTATTTACAAATTATTACGCGTTGAAGGTAGATGCGCCATTGAATACAAGCCATATCTTTTACAGCAATGCGGGAAGTGCGAGCAGTGGTGAAAGCAGCAGTGTGTCAGCTGCGAGAGGTAAATGGGGCAGATTGGTAGCTAGCGGTGGTTCCCTCGACGCACCAGACCCACCGCGCGCCGCATTCACGCGTTCTCTCAGTACACGTGATCGAACTCCGACTTCTACTCCAGCTACTACCGCCCCGACTATTACAACGGTTGCGACTACCGCCAGCGAGGCAAATACGACGCTGGCACCAACACTTTCACTTAAGGTACCTTAATAAATTTGTATAATTCAAATAATAAAAAAATCTATGGATTTAAGAATCGTCCCCAAAAATGTTTAGGGATTGTATAATGAAATTACAGACAAAATACACAACTATATACTACACTGTATATAGAAGTAGTATTTGTGATAACACCAAGATAATTTATCTTTTAAAAGTCTTTTTCTTATCCATAGTGTACAATTAATATATCAAATATCTTATTTAGCAATTATAAAACACTAGCTGTGCCCGCGACTTCGTTCGCGTGGAATAGTGACTTGGGGTAGAATTTTTAATTATTTAGGCTGTTTATTAATTTATGTAATTGCGTATTTATCACAGCCAATCTATGTTGTAAGTGTTACTTTGACGCAACACTCTCACCTCACATCACTCCTACTTTAACTCCCACTCCCAATTCCAATCCCACTCCTATTCTCAAAAAGCCAAAGAAGAAAGTTTCAATGTTCTATTTTCAAATCCATACAAAATTTCACCCCCCCCCCCCCCCCCCCTTTTCACAATAAAAATGTGCCTATGTTCTTTCTCAGGGTCTAGAGTCTAGACCATATGTTTTTCAAATTTCACTCAAATCCGTTCAGTAGTTATGGCGTGAAAGAGTAAGACAGAGTAACTTTCGCATTTATAATATTAATAAGGATTAGACCTATCTATAATCTAGTAAAAATACCTTTGCCTAGTCAGAATTAGGTAATAACTTTGACTTTTCATTTATTATTGTGCGTTCATAAATCTATGAATACATTCAGAATACGTCACAGTAACAATTACCTAATAAACTACAAACTACTAAATTTTATTAATTTTGTCAGGCGGCATTTGGGCGCGGCCGAGCGAGTAGTGTTCTAAGCGGGGCAGCTAGACGCGAGCCGATCCACGAAGAAGCAAGCCCAACCACCACGGCACCAGCAACGACGACATCCACAAACACCACGAGTACTGTCGCGAGCATAAATACAGTAACAGTCAGCACGGCGGCAGCACTAACAGCTCATGATGCAGCTTTGGCGGAGCTAAGACGTGACGTGCGGAACGAGGTCCAGAGGTTGCAGCATAAAGTACGTATTTGGGATTACATTATCCAAATAATACGGGCTCGTTGGTCTAATGATAACAATGTGTGGCTAATAATAATCCACGGGTTTCGGATTCCCACCCTCCTCATAAAGGCCAACATGATTCTAATCAATTTACAATTATCACAAACATGTTGGAGTTCATGTAGATACTAAATGGGTGGTAGGAACTAGGAATATGTATGTCGTGACCCGTGCTGAATTGCATCACTGAGAATAGATGAGAAACTTGAGATGTTAAACGGTTTAAAACGCGACATATTAGTTAAACTTATTGGAAAATGATTTTTAACGTTTGAAAACTTTATTATTTTTGTACATGTTATTGCACGTGAAGGCACTATATAATTTAAAAATCGAAAATAAATTGAAAAAAAAAACATTGCGCGAGAGGAGCATAGGACTCGGTAGCTCAGTTGGTAGAGAAACGGAACCCTGACGATGCCGGTTCAACTCCTGCCCGAGTCGAAAATTTTTTGACTATTTCGTATTGTGTTCCTGAGGAGCCACGAATACTAACCGGGCGTTTTGGGCGAGCGCGACAGCGCTCGCCGTGTTTTACGGTTAGACCAAGGGTGCCCCGAGGGGGGCACCGGCCTCGGCTTGGACCGCCGCAATGCGGGTGGGAGCTTGAGGAGCTGGACGGAAGCTCACCCGGGTGAGCGGTACGCGTAGCGAATGACCTCGGCCGATCGCATAGCGACGAGAAAATCGACGGCTTTCGTTAGATCGTCGTCGGGGTCGGTAAGAACGTTACGCGGCCTTCTCCAGCGTGTATTGACGGAGCCAATACTACAGTTATTTATTTAGCAAAAGGAAACAAACAGATACATTACATAAGTAGCTAAGGAATAACAATAAAAAAATAAGGTTAGAATACATCCTTAACAGTTTCACAAATAGTTAAATGTTATATACAATATGAAAAAACAAAATGTCGATAAAAATTACAGTTAGCTAGAGTTGAAGAGCTACTCACCTTGTTGGCGACGCGGCTTGGTGCAGACCCCAACGACTCTAGTCTCGAAGCTTCCGGGGATCGAGAGAGAGTCGAGAGATCAGATCGGTCAGAGAGGACAGACAGGCCAGATAGGTCAGACTCCGCATCAGCTGCCAGAAAACGTCGGTCAAAGGTATCATGAAAATAATATCTATTCAGCTAACAGACTTTATAACATCGATCTAGTTTTGATATGGAAACTGATGGCAGGGTTTCCAGCTCTTTCATATCATTAAATTAAACATGCATATTATTTTTAAAGTAGGTGTTTGTGTGTATTAGTAGGTATGTGTGTGTGTGTGTGTGTCATGAACTCAAACATTACATTGTACACAAATCAATACTTGTTCCGATTTCAACTGTAAACAGGGGCGTATTTGAAGGACAATAGATAGATTGGAGGCCCCGTGTCCCTAATGTCTTCCAAACAAAACAAGGAATGTTCATAGTCGAGCTGTTCCATAAATAGTTTATGTAAAACCAAATAGACTCTTTTAGAAATCTCTTCTCCAACTTCGAAGCTAAATTAATAACTCTAAATACTTTTAGGCAAGAAGCAAGGGCGCAGCGCCCCAAGTCCCAACGCCAACAACGCCAAGCGAAACCCCGAGCGATAGCGGAGCACCCACGACGGTGCGGCGTCGCGAGTTCGTGTAGCACCTCATTCGGTGTATTAAAACTCTTCAGACTACGCTATAACACATTATTCAATATCGTACACTATACATTATTATGGACACGTTCATATTATGTACTATAATATATTAGCTTAAACTGAAACAGTCTATAATAATATATATTGTGTTGTATTGTGAATTATTCACTATTATAATAAATTGTCTGAAAAGAGCCTATTGTAAATAGTCTACAATTAGTGAAAAGTAGTGTAGATACGCCGTTTTGCGTTATGGACGCTCGCATATTTTAATGGCGTATAGCTTGACACTGCATTCGCCTAAAATGCGAGGCAAAACTAGTGAGTACCAAAAAATAGTTCTATTATATCGCACCGCGCTCGCGTTGTTCTTGTATTCGTCACTCAATTGTACTTTTTAGTCTCACGTTTATATTAGTAAGATTGATAATGCTCTTGCGCATAAAATGTAGGATCTTGAACAATCTGAACGCCCTTCTGCTTTTAAGTCAAAAGTAAAAATATCGTAAGCCCAGGTGGTGAAGTGCACCGGGGCCCTAGAGCTTATAATTAAATAAATAATTTTGGAGGCTTGTATGAGTTCAAGCTACGCAGAAAGAGGGGATGAGGACCCGATTCTTTCTTTATGCATCGGGGCCCTTGTCCACCTAGCTACGCTACTAACCGCTAGGTGACCTTGTTTGGTTTGTAACATCAGTTACATCCATCTTTCTTATATACTTACAAATTTAATTAATGAAAGTATGTAATACTTTAGATAATTTTAAAAGGATTTTTTCGTCTCAATCAATAGAAACTATTAGTAGACCGTATAAAATTTGAGTGACGAATTACCAAGAGCCACGCTTCACCGAATTTGTACCGCTTTATCTTATAAATACTTATATATGTTTACACTACATACATCCATTAATAATTTATAACTAAGAATGTGTAAAAATAGTGTTAAGCTGTTTAATGGTTTTTATTAACGTAGTTTTGAAAAGCAATATTATCTATATAAATATCTACCTACGCATATTCTTGTATATTAGACACAACCGACCAAGTATTTTCTTATCGCTCAGAATTATTATTTTAATGATTCTCTTTGTAAATATTATACAGTATTGAGTATTGATAATGTAATATTTTTTACAGCACTCGACGGTAGGACTGTTCTGATATTATGTTTAATTCTAAAGAGATTTGTCGCGCTCGTGTTATGTACTTGTGTGGTTATACTCATATAAATTGTTACTGAATTTTAAAGTTTATTTGAACTCATCTAGTGTATTAGTATTTACGATACATATCTAGGTGAAAACGGCGCAATATTAACTAATTTATTGTTGTTATAAAATCGTTATACATAATATATTTAGTGAGAAAATAATACGCTTTATTGAGTTGGCGTGAGAGGCGAAACCGAATTGCCGTCCACTGCGCATCTCTCTTGACGTTTTCAACAAATAATACCCCAGTGAAATTCCTAAGAATTCAGAACTCATTAGTTCAAGCATATAAAGCAAGACACAAATAGTGAAAAACTCATGCGAAATGAGATACATAAAATGTGACTACGAATTTCATGCACAGGTTTGTATCCAGGGTCAAATATAATTCTTCCTCCTTAGACATTGGATGCTTTAGTCTTTTAACTAATTTTACTGGGGTAAAGAGATACTACGGTGTCTTAATATGAACTACGTGGCCGTCACCTAAAACAGAGTTTTATTTTGTACCTAATTCGCAAAAACTATAACTATTTATCGTGTTAGTTTATAGCAGAACTAAAGCTTTTGAGCTTTTTGCACAGGTTAAGGTTATGTTTAAGTTTGTTAATGGGGTGAAATTTGTACTGTGCCATGCCTTATTTTACTGGGATGCTTACACACTGTGATCCACTACTATATACAATTAATTTCAGTCAATATGCGTAATAAAGTTGTATGTTTTTGTTTGTAACCAGCAAAAGTTCGTATCCATGACGCAAATGTTGCAAAGACTGAGTTACGTGTGTAAGTTGTTCATCGAAAAGCACGTCAAATATTGGATCTAGTATAGCACGTCATAATAATAGCCTTTTTACCATCATATCCATTGAAATGACAGTGTGTAAGCAGTGCCTAAAAACGATTCAGTATTTGCGCGACGCCAAGCGGCAACTCCTATTCTTTTCTAAAATATACTTGAACGAAAATCATGAGTTGTTTTTTTTTCTACTCAAACATTTATTATATAGAAATTGCATTATATTTTGAGAACACCAATTGAAGAAGATCAGCTGATTCTACCTCTCTCAAAATTTTTAACTCTTCAGGGGATTTAAGGTTGTCTGACTTAAGTGAATATGCTAAGTACATGGAGAATCGGATCTCCACATACTGATATTTATATGCAAAAGTACAAATATGGCCCTGAAAATAATATTCACTTTGGTAACTAATTAAACAATGTTGTGTTTGATTTGTATCTTTGGGTTTAGAGCAGCCAAATAAAAATACCATATCGATTTTTACCCTAACTTTATTATAATTATAATATATACAAAAAATAGAGGGATAAACCCCTGAATACAACATAAAGCATGACGTTTCCATTTAATGATACACAATTCATATAATACAATGTCGGTCTAACTTCGACCTGAGATTTACGGGTTTGATTAACTCGACGGGTGCAATAGCGAGTCTATAGTTTACGCAAGTATACAGAAAAATCAAACATTAACGGGTTGAATCAATATTTTATTCCTTAAGGTTTAAAAAATCTGTTGAAATTGTTACTTCGTTCGAAAACTAGTAACAGCATATTTATTGCTTAAGTAATTTGAAAAAATAAAAAAACCAATTGAAAAATGAAGAAATAAGAGGGTGTTGCACTCTTTAGAAATAATTTCTTCAAAAAGAAATTATAATAAAAAGTATTTAGGTTCTTGCACGTAGTTTCGGGCTATTGGGCCGACGTCTGTAAGACAAGGTTTTCGATATTTCGCCATCTTTAGGAGCTGACGAAGATCGTCTTACCCGGCTGATCGGATAGCGGCCTATCAACTAATAAAGTGCTAGAGGATATTGCCTCGAAAGCCTTTTACAATTTATATTAACGTTATTCACCTTATGCATATTCCATATCAGCGCATGCACTTTCTTAAAACTAGCGGCAGTCGAGCGCCCGAGAGCAGAGGCAAGTCGATACAATTCTCAGCCTCACAGCTCCGTCTAGTAAATGCTGAACCGTGCATATTCTCCATAGATTGGCGATGTGAGTAAACGAAACTCCAGGTGAAATCTCTCTTACCTACTAGGCTTCAAATATAATTAATATGTTTCCTAATCAAAACAAATTCAACATTTTATCAATTACATTCTAACAGTATACGAGTTTGAAAGAAAATGTTATCGCTATAGAAAATCCGAAACGCTAACGAAAAACCGGTACCAAATTTACGTAAAACGATACCTACACGCCGTACTATTTCACACAAATCAAAACGTGATCCCAATAAAGCAATTAGCTCTATATCATTACCTTTAACAGATATCATTACTCCAAAACCCAGTCTATGGAGTATACCTGAAGGACCTTACTGGACCGCAAACACTAGCTATCCTACTCGAACTCGTAACCATAAACCTAAACATGCACTTGATACATTCTCCTTAGACAATGCACTGTATAATGGACCGAGCATGCGCAAGCGACGCCACTTGGCACTACAACTGTTGTTAATCACATGCGGGTAATAATCATAAGTAACATAAAATTTGATTAGAATAATTAAATTACATTAAAATAGGTCGCAAGATGGCGTCGCTCCGCAATCTTCGAGTACGTAACTCAAAGCCACGTGAACACGAACATTCTATATATTACTATCACTAGTGATAAGCAGAACGCGGCCGCTTTTTCAGCCTCAAATGTCCTCTTAATAAATAATGGCTGAATACAAAAAACGGCGAAATTACGTCGCTGTTACGAATGCGAGTAGAGATGTAGAACTGCGGGTACTCGAGCGGGCAGTGTGGGGGATGATGGGGGAGATGGGCTAGTGGCGTCGATCGGGCAGCAGAGAGTGGTGCGACGCATGCGAAAGGGTCGAATGCGCGGAGGAGCAAATGTCCTGGTAAGAGAACTGCGGGAACTCCAACGGATTCCTCGTCAAGGACTCACTTTCGGGCGGAGTCAGCTCGACCGACTCGCCGGTGAACTCCGAGTCGAAGTAGCGCGTGTCCGTATCCGAATCTACCTGGGGTTTGAAGGGCGGCGGAATCTTCTTTGCTAGTAGATCCGCCCAGTTGATGGTCGCGAAGAACGGGTGGTTCATGATCTCGAGCGCGTCTTGGGGGCCCGCACCGAGGCGACGCGAGGGTTCCTTGGTCAATAGCGCTGCTAGTAGCGCACGGCACGCTGAGGACACTGTGCGGGGGAAGCGCACCTCCTCCTCAAGAATCAGAGAGAACAGCACGTCGTGATCGCGGTTATAGAACGGCAGTCGACCGCAAGCCATCTCGTAGAGCACCACCCCAGTGCCCCACCAATCCACGGCTGGGCCGTAGTCCGTGTCCTCCAGTACCTCAGGCGCGAGGTACTCGGGCGTGCCGCAGAACGTCTTAGTAGTGCGACCGTAGGTGATGTTCACCTTGCATAGTCCAAAATCAGCGATCTTGATGTGGCCATCCTTGTCGAGTAGTAAATTCTCCAGTTTTAGATCGCGGTAGATGATGCCCTCCGAGTGTAAGTATCCCAAAGCGGAGACAATCTCGGCGCCGTAGAATCGTGTCCGCTCTTCGCTGAACGAGCGCTCATGCGAGAGGTGGAAGAATAGTTCTCCACCGTTAGCATATTCCATCACAAAGCAGACTCGGTCCGCCGTTTGAAAGGAGTAGCGAAGCGACGTCAGGAACGGGTGTTTGGTCTTCTTTAAGACGTGGTTCTCCGTTATTGTGTGCGCAAGCTGTGAACAAAATACAAAATAACTATATATTTATAACATAGTTTGCTTGTGAAAACAAAAGTATTAATAATATTCGTAAGTTGGAAATTCTAGTAGTCTCCACCTTAATTTGTTATTTCAACTTCTCACCTCATCTTTTTTCAAAATAAGGTTCTTTTTCAAGATTTTCATTGCATACAGCTTTCCTGTTCCCTTCTCTCTACTGAGCACCACTTTTCCAAAAGTGCCCTTGCCCAGCACCTTCACAAACTCAAACTTCTCTAGGGTCTGAAACATAAAAGACATATTTAATTTTAAAAACAATTTATAAATTTTAAAGACTGATTTAATCCTACCTCCCTAATTATTCTACTTAAGACAAACTGACTTATTGTTTCTTTTACTAACTACTTATACACATTTACTAGACAACAAATAATTTATTTTTTGGCTAATGTTTAACCTATAATCTCATTAAGCTTTATTATGTTACACATAAGAAGTATCAAAATAGTATTTCATTTAGTAGTAGTAATATGGTTTTAAGGCCAGTCCACATATGTGAGATACAGACAATACGACGAGGATCCCTGAAGCTGGTGCCTAGCTGTGCTATGTCACGATCATCTCCCTCCCCTAATCCCGGTCCACCAGCGCCCGCTTCATCTCCACTTCCTGTGCTCATGCCACCACTCAGTTGAGACGAGACATAGCGGATAGCTGCAACCCACTCCTCACTGGAATTTGACAAGATTAAAGTTATAGAGTTAAGAGTATGTAATCACATTTCTCTTAGGTATGACTGTAGAGTCTTTATCTACTTATTCTTTTATTAAGAACTTATCACTAATGTTGTAGAAAGGTACATTACATCATCTTCTATACTGTTCAAATTACACATCCTTTTTTAAAATATTTGTATTATTATGAAAGTATAAATTATTTGAAAACTTTAATATTTTTCAAATGTTATTACTAACTAAACTAAAACTAGCTCCTACTACTACTTGTAGAACTTGGTAGCTCAATTGGTTAGAGAAACAGCTCGGAAGCTGTGGATGCCAGTTCAAGTCCTGCCCGAGTCAAAAAACTTTTTCAATTTTTTAATAAAAAATTGTATGTACAGATATTTTAATTTGAAATGGATATTTTAGTTTTAAGTACAGAATTAGTAATAACAGGTCTGGATTCCATTGGTAGTAAAAATAAACATCACTTTAGTTTTGAGAGATATTGGTAAGTTGCCTTAAAATATTTCTTTTAAGCTCCAGTATTTGTTCCAGGAGTGTTGCACCCTTTTTTTTTTCAACAAAGTTGCTGTTTTGCTTATTCTTTTTCCTAAATAAATATAATTTTGTACGTATTCTCTTTAGAATACGTACAAAATACATTATTTTTATAGGATATTTCTTGTCATTGTATTAGTCTTTGTTAATTTTATTTCCAACCCCACTTTTGCGCTGTATTGTTTAAGGGACTCTATCATTGTTTGCATCTCGTTAGCTGTTTCTGACAAGAGAATCAGGTCATTGGCAAACCTTAGATACACATACAACATAGACACCTATTATGTATAGTCCTGTTTTACTCCAATCCAACTTGGTCATAATGTTTTTGAGAACGGCTATGAATAGAATAGATGAAAGCGGGTCCTCTTGTCTTACCCCTTTATCAATATCTTGTCAGTTTCCTGCTAATTTAATAAAAAACATTCTGCAGTGAACTACTTGTACTAGTCTAATTTAGGTGGAAATATGCTCAGAACTGGCCAAGATTTATTCGATTCAGATTAATGTGGCACACTGTTTATTTGAAAATAAAAGTCATTTATTAAAAATAACATATTGTCAGTGCAATATTTGAAAATTTCTTATCTTTTAGCTGCATAAATGCATCTAACAGCACACAATAGATCCGATTTATCTTACCAACTTCTTCTAGCTAATGACAAACATAAGTCTTATTTCCTAGAATCTACCCTATCATTTAACACTCGTGAAAACATAATACATTTATTTTAGTTTATTAATAAATAGCACTTTTTTTTAAATTTACGTAATAACTTTTAGTGTTATGTTATTTATAAAATTACACAGCAAAAACAACATTTCACAAGAGGGCACAAAATCTAAGCCGAGTCAGCCAAGTGCACTCAATGTAAACAAACAGAGCGTGGACTTTGGACTCTGTTACTTCCTGCAAAATAGCACTAAATATGAGACAGTTGACATACCTTTGGCTTCTGTTAATAATAGGAATAATCCTAGCTCACACCAATGATATAAATTTATAGATACAGTCTGTTGATTGACCTCATAACAATAAATGTTATTATTTATTAGAAATATATGGGAAAGTTGATTTAAAACAAAACAGAATTTTGGTATACACCAGACTTACCGTTCTTTTTCGGAGTCCACGGCGAAGTTGCGCTCTATGACTGTGGTCCATTGTAGCCCTCTGACGGTGAACACGTTAGGACGTGGCTTATCCACTGCCATGATCTGGCAGTCACGTACTGTGAACTTGTTTAGGGGATCTCGGTAGTTGTTGCGCTCGGGCTGCGCCTTGAACCCCATCAAGTCACCATTGTCGAAAAGGATGAAGTAACGGTCGCGCCAGTTGCGGATGTGCTCACCTCGCTTCAGCAACCAACCCTCTTTTACTATGTTCCCGGGCGCCGTCTCCGCCATCGTGCGGCCGCCCTTGAGGCTCTGTTTGCCAACAGTCCTAGACGGCTGTGCACTGACACCCTCTCACCACGTTTATGTTTCTACACTTCCCACGTGTATTTCACCTGTGCTGAATAACACTATGGATCCGAATAACAAGCATTTTTAAAAGTAGAAATGCGAATGGATACGGGTTAAAATGTTTTTTCCGCCTAGATAACAACACAATTTAGCGACGTAGCCCAGCAATAATAATCCGTATTAATGTACTATGAGTGCAATTAAAAAAATACACTATATTAACTGGTGTGCAAATCGGCAATCGCAATTGTATATGGAAAACTCAATGTGTGCGAGAGAGATGTAAAATTATTGTTTCACAACATACACAGCATTTCATTCAGGTAGCGCAATAACCTATTTTGACAAAATAGTTCGTTATTTCGCCACTGAAGCACTTATAGCGCTGACATCTTGTTATGCCGTTTTTACGTTCCGTTACTAGCATTAATTCATTATCAGATTCTCAAAACATATTCATATTTTAGTTATTAAATGTAAGATATTGTGTAAGAAAATATTCAATGTTAAATAAATATTATAAACAAAATTTTCACCACAGAGTAATCATTCTCCTACAGCATGGCATATGTTTAATCTGTGTAAGTTGCGCGAAAAAACCGGCAGGCGCAAATCGTAAGTTCTATTTTCGTCTTGTATTTTTTATTACATATACTCTTTATAAAATGCCACAACTTAAAACGTTATTAATAAATAATGTAAAAAATAGCTATGTTCTTATATAAGTCGGAAGTCCGTCAAATCCTCCACCAGTGAGATATCTAGGATAAATTTGTAGACATAAAAAAAATTAAAACATTTTAAGTTATAATATTTTATTTATTTTTTAGTCACATAAATCTAGAATTTATATCAAAAAGGTTATTATATAATAGAAATAACTATAATCCAGATATCGAATTTTTATTGAAGAAGGCTGGTTAATTATCATATCATTGTCTTTCGGGCTGTTAACTGAATCCTCCTGATGATGCCGTCCACACGTGATGGCGAAACGTCGAGGACTTGTTCTCGATCACATCGGCCGAACAGCCCGAAAAACAATGATATGCTGAACGAGGGCCGTGAAAGCCTTACACAATTTATTGCTCGTTAATTATGTTGGTTTAATTGTCTGCATAGAGAAAAGAAAGATTAGCTCTTAAATCTGTTATGCTATCTAGTTATTGTCGAAAACGATGAAACAAATAGGTAATTTCAAAGAAGTAAGTAATTATTATCACCAAGCTTTGATTGGTATGCATCTGTGTGAGAAAAAGATTTGATGATATTGTAATATATTGGGAAGTAATATAAGACTGTCCTGTTTGCTACATATTATATTTAAATAAAGTTAGTGATATAATATATGTACTCGTTTATCACCCATCGTAAGTTAACAGGTTGATCGATACTATATTTATAAAGATTAGGAAGATAACTGCTGGTTATGTAAGAGGCTATATTGGTGACACTTGAACTTCTCGGTAGGTACCACTCGCGGCGCGGCGCACAGCGGATAGCAAGAGGCGTGCTAGGCGCTTGCGCGAGTCAGATCGATACGACCCGCTGACTATCCGCGCGCCACCAGTTTCGAGCCAGACGCCCTGAACGGACCACTACCCGCTCTCGGCGTGTGTCTGTCTGTTGCGATGAAGGTATAGCCCTTTGTCCATAGCGCGATAGCGGTTAGGTGTAGCCCGGGCCGTGTAGGTCACCGAGGGCCCCGGTATGTTTCGTTGCTTGTCGCTTAACTCGCCGGACGACCCTCGGGAGATCACATCATCTCATTTCACTTTCGATCGATCATTTGATCCTGTTGAAGCAGGACTAGTTACAGCAGCTCATACATTTCCTTCATGTTTTATTCGCTACACCACTCTGTGTCGCATGAATTTGTCGATGTTTCTAGAAATACATTTACTTATTCTATTTTTAAAAATCGATCTCTGGTTAATACAGTAAATTTCTCAGATTACGTTTTCGGAAATATAATTACTTAAAACCGATTGAATAGTTTCGTAATATTTCACGTATACTGTTTCTAGCTATTCACAAAATCCAGCTCAATTGTGAAGACATCTGATTGGATAGAAAATGATGTAGGAGGATGCGCAGATGCCAACTCTTTTTATTTTGTGTAAACCATGTAATACGACCGAAATATTGACTTTTTTAACCTTGCCATGATCGTTACATCTATATACTAAAATACTTATGTTCAGTTTTATTTGAAAAATTAAAAAGCATATCTACCAAGAAATTCTATTAATATATTATTTATAAGGTACTATCACGTTTTATTTAAAATATTGTCGTTTCTTTCAGCAACACAAAGGACATTTTGTAATTACATATAATGCTAAAGTTACCCAAAGGCCTTAAAAAGAAGAAAAAGGGTAAAAAATCCAAGCGTAAGGGTGAAGAAGAACTTTTCACTGAAGAAGAACTAGAAAAGTATAGAAAAGAACACCAGCAAAAGGCTGAAAACGGAGAAACTTCTAAAGAAAATGAGGAGTGGTCGAAGTTTAAAGATTTGACTAGCGGCGTTGACTCTGTCTTAAAACAAACTCAGGGTGATTTAGATCGAATAAAATCGACTTCTTTTTTTCAACGTGTAACTATTAAGAATGAAATAGAACCCGTTGAGAAAGCGAAACCAGTAAGGCCTGTTGTAGAAGTTACTGAAGCTGATTTCCCTCATTTAGCCCAAACTGCTACAGATACTGAAGGAGACAAAAGTGAATACGGAGTTACTGACGACGAGTCTGAGGAAGAAGAAGAAGATGATGATATCTTCGACACTTCTTATATTGACGCTGTACAACGCGGAGAAGTAAAACTAGCATATGTTCCGGATTCTCCTGAAGAGAACAAAGACGACGACATATTTGATACGTCCTATGTTAATGCTATAATCAAAGGACAAGAAGGAAAGCCGTCAAAAGGTAAAAAAGAATTAGATATTGGAATTGCGGTAGAAGTACTGACTGGACGTATTGATAATGTTAAAGTTACATCTAAAAGGTCTAAACGAGTAATACCTGGAGACTTGCTCTTAGAAAATGACGACAATAGTGTACCAAATACAACAAGTATAGTTGTCGATGAACCGGTCGAGAAAAGTATATTAGATCTCGACACTGATATTCCCCTTACCACACCGATAGACTTAGAGAGTACATCTTTGATTGAGCATATCAAAAAAGAAGTACCAAAAGAAGCTGAGGAAATAACTATTATCGAAGATATTATCGATCCGCGTGAAGACGAATTCGACGAATTTACTTTACTCGCAGCAGAATCGCTTGAGTCAAAAGCCGAAGTTGTTAAGTTAAATGAAAACGAAATTAAAATCGGGCCAGTTATACAAGAATCGTGGTCAGCTTTCGAAGCTAATACACAAGAGTCTGTTTTTGCGGAAGGAATAGTCGAGGATCAACTTGATGTAGATCCCTATGCTGATCAAGACGATCCATTTGATACTAGTTTTGCCGAAGCTGTAGTACCGTCAAAAAAGGTAAACCCGCCACAAAAGGAAGCATTTGTTGTAGAAGAGGATGATGACTTTGACCCTCGTGCTGAAGAAGTACAAGTAAAGCTTAATAATAGGAGAAAGTCATCCGTGCGTATTCATTTGACGGATCCTTCAGGTATACGGGAATCTATAACGTCTGATGATATTATTGAAAATACTCAGATTCAACCAAGCCGGGACTTATTAGGTGGAAGTTCAACAGATTTAACACAATTAGCAGATTCTCCTCTTGACCCAGTTGAAGTTAACGATATCGATCCATTTGACACCACTATCGTTGATAAACTAGTAGCTCCTGGAAAGGTTGAGCTAAAGTTACTAGCGGAGGAGTTAATTGACTCTACTCCTACAAATATTTACAAAGTTCCAAGTGATCCAGACTTTGATCCTCGTGCGGACGAAATTTTAGAGAATAGAAGTGATAGAAGAGCTTCTCGGCCGGAAAATTTAACAGTAAGCAAAAGCGTTGTCTTTAACGTAGATTGTGCTGAAGAACTATTAAATTCTGAAAGTAAAGCCAAACCAGGAAAACCTTTGACACCGTATTATTCACGAGAAGTCTCGATTACAGAAGATAATAACGAAGACTCTGAATCTCGAGATAAAGTTTCTAATATCTTACATAGAACACGTTCAGACGAAGATTTATCAACCCATAATATCACCTTCAAAACTAAGCGGCGTCATTCTGAGTTTCCCCAGACAGGGAATAAGAATATACCGGCTAGCGACCTATTACATAGTGGGGAAATTGAAATTCAAACAAAAGTTTTAACTCCCTCTGGTGCACCAAATAACCAAAATACCACATCTACTAACGAAGTTGAAGATCCTTTTGATACCTCTTTTGCTAGTGATATCAAGCCTTGTAAAACAGAATTGCGTTTATTAGCTAAAGAATTTTCCTGCGAAGATTCCTCTGATTTACAAGTGAATGAAAATAAAACTTTACTGGAAACAGAAGACGACTTATTCCAAATAAAAGCCTTGACACCAGAACCTCTTGATATAGTTCCTGATTCTGAAGATTTTGATCCATTTGATACATCTTTTGCGAGTAACCTTGCTCCTGGTAAAACCGAAGTCAAACTTTTGGAATCGGAATTTTTAAACTAAATTATTAAAATTAAAAATGGCTTACAATCCATTCTTAAGTTTGAATGAGCCATCTGAGCCAGTTACAACAGAAGCTCTTAATCCTTTTATGATAACTGACAATGAAAGTAGTGAGTTAACATCAAATGACAATCCATTCGCTACGAGTAACCCATTTTCGGATTTCGGTAACAACTACGAACCCCCAGTTGGTGATACTGTACCAACAGACATCTTTGGTAATGCAGAACCCATAAATATGGGAGCTAAACAGTTTGACGAAAACGATTCAATGAATATTTTCAATCAATACGTTGAACCAACGACGGGTACTGAAAAATTAATAAAACCAACAGAGTTAGAGTTAATCACAACAAATGTTGACGACTCTTTTACAAAACCTCAAGAAGTTGACAATCAAGGAGTCATACGACCAGTTCCGCAAGAAACTCAGAATTTAATTCTTAGTGTAACCGGTCAGATGGAGTTTACAAGTTCACATTTGCTAAACCGTATTCCACCAACAAGAACTCCTAGTCCAGTCTCAGTGCGTGACTTACATTCTCCAAGCCCTACGCCCGAACCCGATATGTTGGAAGAGTGCCCTGCACCGGATAATACTATTGAATTGACGCGGTCAAAACCAATGCGACCTCCCCCCGCTCGGCCGCCTCGACCTGCGCCACCACCAAGGCCACAAGCTCCTCCACCACAACAATTACCAACACGGCCACAGCCACCACAACCACCACATCAACCACAAGATGATATAAACCTTTTCGACGCACCTGCTCCAGTTGTAGTCAAACCTACAAAAGAAGCTATACTAAGCTTATATTCCGCCCCTAAAAAAGAAGAAAAACCCATAGATTTTCTGAGTGATGATATTATGGACATGACTTCTAATTTTACCTCCTCTTCTACTACAACTACAACAACTGTAACGAATGTAGTTTCGTCGAGTTTAATATTTGCAGATTCTGCGAGTATTGTAAAGGAATCTACTGATATACAAGATAAAATTAATGAACCGGTGGTTCCAGATAATGAAAAAACTGACACTGGCAATTCGTTTATGGATACCTCAAACACATTTAATGAAATGCAAACTGAACATAATGTAATTGAAACTGTTACGCCCCCATCGAATAATGAAATTATAGAAGAACAACACTCTCCTCCTGGCTATGAAAAAAATCCTTTTGATACTGAAGATGAGAATATTACGGATACAGTATTACCGCAGACCACCAATGTATTTGCGGTCAATATGGACGATAACTTCCCCCATTCTGTTGATAATATGCCGATAGAAACTGATGCGTTTAATAATTCTGCTCAAGTGATAGACACGAGTGAACCTATGGACGTAGGTTCTACACCGTTCGGAACGGCGACAAACATATTTGACAATAGTTTCGTTGAGACTCCTTCTATACAGCATGTGGATAATTCTGCTGATTTTGGTTGGGGTCAACCAGAGCCAATGGCTGAGGAGGCATTTCCAGAATCTCAAGATGCATTTGATGCGTTCTCGGCAAAATTCGATTCAGCTGGTGGAAACCATATGGCTACTGGTAAGTTCATTGTTATTTTTTTTAATATGAGATGTTTCCTACTTTAAAGACTAGAATTTAAATACTGAATATTATTAAAATATAAGTTAACATTTTAGATGCTTGGGGAGACGATGGCAGTTCGGATGCCCCACCAAGCGGTTTCGAATCGGAAGCGTTTGATGCTTTCCTGCAAATGGAGGCTCCTCCCCCGCCGGCTGCAACACCTCGGCTTGATCACCAATTATCAGCTGACTCTGGCGACGACACCTTTTCTGTCGTTATAAGGTAAATTTTGCGAAAATTCTTAATATGAAATATTTTATCGCTGCAAAAGAACTATTTTATTGTTTTCTTTTGTTTTTCAGGCCAAAGGATATAGGGGCGACAGAAAGCGCTGCTGTGCCGGTACTAGCGCCACCACCACGCCCGCAGGCAATGCCTGAGTCTCCACGAGCCAACCCCTTCGACAAAAGTGCAGTCGATACCTTGCAGCAACAGTTTGCTGCAGAACAGCGTAAGTAGCATGCAATTACTTTTAACCTAATTATGAAACTAAAAGGGGTAGAACAATTTTAATTTTACAACACGGGCAGGACTTGAACCGGACCTCACGGCGTTCCGTGCTGTTGCTCTTGCCAATTGAACTACCGTGTCAATTAATCATTATTATCATCATCTATAGTTTACGCGACTAGTCCAAATTTAAATAAAACACTTTACGGTTTAAACGGGATATAAATTTGTTAAATTTATTTATGTATTTAACGTGTTTTAATCTGTTGTAGTGTTTTATTTATGCTAGGTTATATATTACTAGCTGTGCCCGCGACTTCGTTCGCGTGGAATAGTGTAGTGGTGTAGATTTTTTAATTATTTAGGCTGTTTATTAATTTATGTAATTGCGTATTTATCGCAGATAGTAGCAGTAGCCTTAATATATGTTGTAAGTGCTACTTTGCCGCAACACTCTCACCTCACATCACTCCTACTCTAACTCCCACTCCACTCCCACTCCCACTCCCACACCTATCCCCAAAGAGCCAAAGAAGAAAGTTTCATTGTTATAGCTTCCAAAACCACGAATTTCCATACAAACTTTCACCCCCCTTTTAACCCCTTACAACCCCTTTTCACAATTAAAATCCTATCCTATCCTATCCTATGTCCTTCCTCAGGGTCTAGACCATATGTGTACCTACCAAATTTCATTCAAATCCGTTCAATAGTTTTGGCGTGAAAGAGTAACAGACAGACAGAGTTACTTTCGCATTTATAACATAAGTAAGGAGGTAAGGGTAAATTAGTTATCGCGATACAATAAATCGAGTGTTGTTACAGCGGAGTTAAGTCGGGGTCGCTCCGGTAGTGGTGGTGAAACGCCCCCAACTCCATTGTTCGATGACGATGTATCCGTCCCTCTGGAAGACTTCCCTCGCACGAAGTACACCGGACCCGGTTGGGAGATGCATCTGCGACAGCCGAATAAGAAAAAGATTACTGGTCAACGGTAACTATCATTATTATGAGCTGTCACATGGTCCTTTTTTTTAAATAAATAATAAGCACGGGTTTTAATAAACATAAGTCATAAAAATAAGTTATCATATTTTCCCCTTGATTTTACGAGGGTTTAGTTAAAAGACATGCGACAAAAGAGGTTTTACTAAAGTTTAAGTAAGGATTCAGAGTGAATGTAGCTTTCTAATATTCTATAATTATTGTTCTTACCTATAATATATCATTAAGCTCCATCATCATTCTACCATGTAGGTTCTGGAAAAAAGTATTCGTGCGCATAGTAACACAGGGTGACAATCCAGTGGTTCAACTGCTGAACAACGCTGGTGATAACGAACCTCTGCAGGAGCTACCACTACAGGCGTGCTACTCTGTATCGGATATTGCGGCACAGCAGTTCGACCAGTTCGGAAAGATCTTCACCGTTAAACTACAATACGTCTTCTATAAGGAAAGGCCTGGCGTTCGGTAATTGCTTTTCAATGTTTATCAAATTTAGATAAAAACGTCGAAATTTGAAATATCTACTTTTTGAAGACTATAATAAAGTTAGGAATTAAAAATGTACATTAGTAATTCATGTTTTTTTTCCAATTAAGCTAATAAAAAAAAAAAAAAAGTTACAATGATTATGTGTTTGTAAGTGAAGATTTTGCAAAACGTTAACTACTTTGTGTTTATCCTATTGGTTATATTTGGAAAAATTCCCTTCAAAAACTTCAGGAAATCGTTGGCTAACAAGATTGTTTTCCGCAGGCCAGGCCAGGTGACGAAGGCAGAACGCATCACGAACAAGTTGTCGCAATTTGCAGCTTACGCTATACAAGGCGACTACCAAGGAGTGAAGGAGTTTGGTAGTGATCTACGAAAGCTTGGTCTGCCAGTCGAGCACGCTCCACAGGTAAAACATTGATATATTCATTAAGTCCTAAGGCCTAAAAAGTGTTTATGAACATAGAGAAAATTAAAAAAATATTATTACCTTAATTAGAGTTCTATCAAGAAATCACCTACTGCTAGTAGTTAACGTTTTAGATCCGTATTTTCAAATAATATATTTCGCGTTTTAAACCGTTAAAGTTTCGAATTAATTTAGTTATAAGGTAATTACTTGACGTTCAAAATCATTTGATATATTTGTACTTAGGTGTCTCAACTATTCAAGCTGGGTTCATTGAACTATGAGCATGTGAAGGAATTCTCGTGTATAATTGAAGAGTCGCTTTTCCGAATTTCCGCGCACCGAGATCGCGCTCTCACGTACAAGATGGAAGAGGTAAGGAAATGTCACATTACCTTTTTTAATAATATGCTTTTTAACATATTGTAAATATTACATTTAACTATAAATACTACATTCATTCTTAACGTTGAAAATCACCAATGCTTTGCAAGGGCTTACCTAAATTTAGAGATACTTATGACTAACGTCTACAATTAGTTAGGAACTGATTTATGTGAAATTACAATTTTATTTCTTGAAATATGAAATCGCTCGAAGGGCAATGTCAATCGAAGAAAGATCGGGGGGGGGGAAAAAAAATTTTTTTGGGGGGGGGGGGGGGGGGAAAAAAAAAAAACCAAAAAAAAAAAAAAACACCGCCGGGGCCCCCCCCCCAAAAAAAAAAAAAAAAACCAAAAAGGGGGGGGGGGGGGCACCCCCCCCCCCAAAAAACCGGGGGGGGGGGGGAAAACCCCCCCCTATTGGGGGGAAACCCGGGACGACCAGCAGCACCGCCGGCCCGGGGGAATTGCCAAAAAAGAGAGGGGAAATTTTATTAGCTGGAAAAGTTTAAGCAATAATGTAATAATTCTATCGCTAGTAGATATAATCGGTGATGGTAGAATGTTTTTAAATAAATAAACTACTACTAGAAATAGTTTTCGAATGCTCACGCGTGATTCGAACCCGAAATATCATGATGAGCTGTGCGCTAACCACTAGTCCAGAGTTATATCTTGTTAAATACCACAGGTGCAACTGACAGCTGTCGATGAGTTGTATGTGGAGCAAGACGCAGAGGGCTCAGTTCTTAAGCAGATAGCTCGCGTCCGTCTCTTCTTCCTGGGTTTTCTTAGCGGTAAGCTATTCTCTTATATTACACAAAGGATATATAATACACTTTACTGTTTGATCATTGCATACAGCCATACCCAAAGTAACTTTAAATACGATAGAACTGATTAAAACAAAATTATTATGGGTGTAAAGTGTGGGTGTAAGACTTCGCGTGATGATTTTAATCCATTAAATTTGTTTCCTTTGAATAAACTTTGACGGTCTACTTGGTGTAATGGTAGTGTGACCTGTTGATTATTTGGTTAGGTCGGTGGTTCGATTCCCACCGAGTCCAACATTTTTTAAATAATTGAAACTTTTTCTGACACAATATGTTGGACTTCGTCTGGAAATCTGTATATCAAGTGGGTGGTAAGAATATCGAAATTCCGTTTGGGTCACAAACCATCATATGAAAAAGCCGGCAATTTTACGTAATCTCTTTTCGGCGCTGATCGATTGTATTAATAGATAAATAGTTAATCAAACTTCTGGACAGAACGAAACGATTTTTTTTAGCAACTTTGCAAAACATTATTTAATTAATATTAAGTTTTACCAAAATTCAAACTTCTCGTGCTTATCGCAAAGCTAAACAACACGCTTAACTATTGAGCTTCATAGGAGGTCCCCGGAAACTATACAGTCGACAGATTCCTACATTTAATTGCTGTCTATAGCTATTTAAATATTTTTTACTTCTATGAAAATGATTTTAATAACGGCTTGTTTCTATCTCACCGCACAAAAGCGGGTCAATAAACATTTCATGAATAAACGACCTGAAAACCGTGACCCAGTGACAATTCAGTACATTCATACAAAATGGTATATTTCAACTATATATTTTTGTATATAGAGTCGAGGTCATCATTTAGTTACTCAACAGATGTAAATTGTATAGTACCTAAATAAAAATCTGTAACCTAGTAAATTGTGTAAAGCTTTCACGGCCATCGTTTAGCATACCATTGTCTTTCTGGCTGTTCGGCCGATGTGAGCGAGAAGAGGTTCTCGACGTTGCTTGTGCGGATTGGGAGATGTTAACTCTTCGTGCTTGAATTGGCGACAACTCATAATTCTTCAAGCATTCTTGATGATGCCGTCCGTATGGGTCTAGAACCTCTTCTCGCTCACATCTGCCGAACAGCCCGAAAGACATTGATATGCTGTAATCTAGTAGTCTATATTTTTTGGCATAGTATGTATAGATCGGTGTATTACAGGGTTTCAGCTAGATTGTCACTTTTTTAATGATAAAGGAGGACAGACAAGCATGTGGTCCACTTGATCGTAGGTGATATACCCCAGCCTATAGCATCTAGACAAGATGCGCGGTCGACTTATAAAAATAGCAAACGAAAGCAAAAGCTTTGGATATTCGGTAATTCACAAACTGAAACCGAAACGCGATTAAGCTTCTCGGCTTTTTCATCTACGAACGGTGGTTAGTGACCCGGACGAAATTTCCAGGCGAAGTCCACCATGCTTCAGAAAAATTATAAATTGATTAGAAAAAATGTTGGTCCCAGTGGGGAACGAACCCAACATCCGTTGATTACATTATACCAACGAGCCCGTCATAATTATTAAAGTCTGTGAATCTGTTTAGGCCTGAAAGTGTATCTGTTCCTGTTTCTGTACACACTGATCAACTTTTTCTTAATCGTATATGTCAGTATAAATAGTGGTTATTTGGTCACATTTTTTATTTATATTTACTATTCGTATTAAGAATCTATGTTAATGCGAATATATTAAAAAAGCAACTTAAAGACGATAACGCTATTTAGTTCCGTTAAAAGTAATCTCTCTAGCGCAATATAATTTCGATATGTATACTTAAGAACTTGACAAATTTTCAAGTTTTTATCATTTTAAATTGTAAAATTTACGTTTAGGAATGCCGGACATAGAGTTAGGGGTAAACGATCTACGGCGACAAGGCAAGGAAGTGGTGGGTAGACACGATATCATCCCCGTCGTGACGGAAGAGTGGATTCGCGTTGAGAATCAAGAGTTCCACGCCTGCGTACAACCTGAAGAGTTTGACAAGTGTCAGATTATCAAGTGAGTGTTATCACTCGAAAGAAAGAAAAATGTATGAGATTATGACATCACATGAAGACGTACTTGTCAATAATACGGTGTGGTGTAACTATATAACACTAGGATACTTAGGACATTTCTAATGTCCTATGATCTAAAAACAGTTATAGTGAAAAAGACTTAAATACGAAATATATTCAGTACTTAATACGTAATATTCTCTCGCGACCACAGGTGCTGTAAAGCTGTATCCCAAAACGTCCGGTTTAAAGTGTCTTTATATGCCAGTGGTACTTAAACACGAGTGTACCACTTCTACAAAGTATAGACATTACTAGAAAAAAAAAAAATAAACAGGCCGATCCTTCTATTCTTTTTCTTTTTATATTTTTCCCCAATTTATTTTAAACAGGTTCAAGCCACCAGATGCTTGCTACATAGAGCTAATGCGATTTCGCGTACGACCCCCAAAGAATAGAGAATTGCCCCTCCAGCTCAAAGCTGTCTGGTGCGTTACTGGTAACAAGGTTGGTATCTATTCGTTTCGTTCAACGGGATTTTATAAAAAAAAAAAACTAATGCCGTGATGATCTCATGCTAGAAGAAAACAGACAAAAATACTCTACGTCTATTATTTTTAAGTTCATAATTATATTATTTCTTAATAAATTTAAAACCGATCGATTTTATTTATAGGCCAGTACCTAGTTGATCATATTTCTGTGCCCTACCCGGCCGAAACTATTTATAGCTTCCCCGAAGTTAGAACTCACGACCAACTTAACAAAACATGTCTTAGGCAACACAACACACGACAAGTCGTCAAAGTAAATCCTATATTAAAATCGAAAAGTGTAAAGGGTTTGCTGTGTTAGGTGGAGTTGCGTGCGGACGTCCTAGTTCCAGGCTTCGCGTCCCGTAAACTAGGTCAGGTTCCCTGCGAGGACGTGTCAATACGTTTTCCGATACCCGAGTGCTGGATCTACCTGTTCCGTGTGGAAAAACATTTCCGCTATGGCTCCGTTAAGTCCGCTCACAGGTTTGTACTTTGTATTGCCAAGTTTTATTGAAAGGTCGCTTCATTTGTTTTGGGCATCTGGCGTTATGAACCGGAAAATCCTAAATTCAAACATACTTTTTCTAAATAGTATTAATTCTTTTGATAATACTATTTTTGAAAAAAGAAAATTCTACTTTGCTCTCATTAAATGTAAGCCAAAAAATAATTCAAAATTTTAAGAATCATGTGTATTTTGAAGAATAATGTGGCAGATTTAATTAAAAATTACAAAAAAATTACACTTTATAGACGCACCGGCAAGATTAAGGGGATTGAAAGGTTTTTGGGCGCCGTGGATACTCTTCAGGAGTCCTTGATCGAAGTCACGTCTGGTCAAGCCAAGTATGAGCACCAGCATCGCGCTATTGTCTGGCGCATGCCACGATTACCAAAGGAAGGCCAAGGTAAGCTACCCATAACCTAAAGTTGAACTTTGGAATCCCCTCATAATTGAGGTAAAAAAAAACTAAAGTATTTGTGAGCAAACATTACTAACGTAACATTTACTTTATTACACATAATGGTGGTAAAACGAATTAAAATAACTCAGATGAAATTTTGAAAACAGCCACGCCATTTTGTTTCTGTGTAGGTATTTTCAGTGGCTCTAGGCTTAGTTTCAAAATACCACTGTCTATATAATATGGGTTATGTAATAAATTCTTGCAGGCGCCTACACGACGCACAACCTCGTTTGTCGTATGGCACTAACGTCGTACGACCAAATCCCGGAGGAATTGGCGAAATTTGCGTATGTTGAGTTCACGATGCCCGCGACGCAAGTCTCCCATATGACCGTCCGTTCGGTCTCGCTTCAGAACCACGACGGAGATCCACCCGAGAAATATGTTCGGTACTTGGCACGGCACGAGTATCAGTTAGTATCTTTAGAATTATTAATCAGACCTTTATTCGTTTGATAATTATCTAGAATGTAAATTAAGGGTTGAAAGAAAATGTTACATTTTTCTTTGAAAGTTTTCTTTTATATTTTGTATTGAATGTTTCAACCCTAAGTTCTTTAAAACGAATGTCTTTTAAATGTCCATAAAGCTTATAATAAAAAAAGATTTCTTAAATAAATCTTTTGATAAATTTTGGAGGTTGGCACGTTTAAATGATTTCAAAATAGCAGGTTTTTAATTATTTAAATAAAGAACATTATTTATTTGAATTTGATGTCTAATTTTACTTATCCAGGGTGGGCATTGAACGCACGAGTGGCACACAGACTGCAGCATATACGCTGGCTACTACAGCCCCAGAACCCAAACGGGAACAACCGCCACAATCCCCACAACCGGCACCGCCGTCTTCGGACTCCGATTCCGACTAAACAGGTCCCGGGTTCGATTCTTCCACGTGTCTATTATGAAGGCCACTTAGCACATCCATTTCGCTGATGTGTTAGATGCAAAATTATAGAATTTAAAATCAAATTTTTTTTTGGGGTGCGGGACATTTAATAGACGACATTGTATGACGTCTTTCTATTACTCCTGTCGTTATTTATACACAGTATAATACCTCTTATAATATTGTTTCACGCGTTTCATCTGTCTATATATTTTGTTGGATATATTGTTATACGCTCTTCCACTTTTTGACAGGTTTGTAAGTAGTCGTCATTTTGACACTATACAATTTTTGTTGAACTGTGCCTACACACTTTTAGACTATTTTACGAAAGACATATGACACAGCCTCGAGAGAGAGAGTAAAGAAGAGAAAGAGAAGTTATACATAATATACGTAAGAATATGTATCATGTTGTATGTATTAATGAATTAAACATAGTAAAAAGAGTATTTAGTATTTATATAATCGGTATTTATCAGCCTATCTTAAGAGTTCCATATATATTAAAGCTTAAAAACTTGTAGTCGAAACTGTGAGAGGTATACTATATATATATTAATGGCTCTACTTAGATATATTACAATTAATTGGAAAATCGGACGGTCCCACCGCTATCTTAATAACTATTTAATCCGTAATGTGTGAATATCTTAGACAAATTGCGCATGTTCCAAATTCGAAAATCATTAAATATAGATAGCTTAGAATTAAGCACAATAACTTAACATTCATGTTATGTTAAAAAATAATTTTCACTAACAATACATATGATTGGATATTAATAGGGGGTGAATTTAATGGTCCAAATGTTTTCTTGTAAAGTTTCTAAATCTGTTGACTATAGCAAAAACATATATGTTAAAGTTTATTCATTAAAATGTACATATAACATTAGATATTTAGTCGTAGTTCGGGATTAGTTGTGGGGACAAATAACAATAATTTTCATAATATTTGCTATTATTACATTCGAGAGTAGGCTGCATCCCAGGGCACGGAACATACATCTAATTTAGCAAGCGATGTTTGGGGTCTATCAACTGCGTGTTTTTGTTAAAAATAGGTCGTGAGTGCAACTCGCTTGGATGTTATTTGAATGATCCTAAAGCTTTAGGGACGATGAAATATCACTCCTTATGAAATAGTTTATATTGAGCTTCAGAAGACAAAGCTAACATAAAATTTATAAGAGGAGCACAAAACTAGTGTGCCTGTATCATAACATACAAATAAGGTTATAGAATTTATAATGAATAGAGGCGTATGGCATATGAAAGTTATAATCAATGTATAAGCTTGGACATATTTCACTAGATCGTGTTGTTACATTATAAACTGTTACTTACTAGATATGATTTTCATGAGAGAATTTGGTATGGACACGTGGCTTAAGAGTAAACGCAAAATCACGAACGTCTGAGAAATGAAATAAGGCGAAACAATGGGCGGTAGTTTTATTTACCTACCCTCGTGATCGTCTTTTATCCTTATTAAAGTTCTAAGACGTGACTCGCCATCTTCTGCCCTGCAACAATTCTCTATGTACCTAGATGTTTGAAACATAACAGAAATGTATAAAGTTACATAATATAATGTTTATTGTGTCGACAGGTAGCTCTCTGGTAGATGTCTATTTGCAAATACGTATGAATATTTTGATAGAGATTTAAACTTATAGATCCTCTTCGTATATAATTCTTTATATATACATATTACATGATAATTATGGGAAAGAGTAAACTCCTCATATCTTTATATTCTCTATCAAAACAAAATACGTATAATTATTGTTAGGTATAATCGTGCAATAATAGAGTAAGTTCTGCTGATAGCTGTCGGCTGACATTCGCGAGCCCTATGTTTTGTTGTTAATAAAATAATCGCAACTTGATGCTGTTTTATTTGAATATCTATCCATTTCATATAACAAGTACTCAATACTTGTAAGCCATATAGTCTGTGCTTTAGTGGGTTAATTGAGTTAGTGTAAGCGTTTTGGGAAGGCTTGTTTTCCAGAAAACATTGAATTTTCAGGTTAGCAAACCGTGGTAATCTAGTAATCTTTTACGGTCTGCGAGAAGAGTAATAAAAACAGATATCGTTAACAACTGCAAGGGACTATACTGAAGAGGTAAATACACTTAAATTTTTAAATGTGCGCATAAAATCAACTTTTCCTTATGGTAAAACAAAACTTTATGGTAAAGAAAAACAAAAGAAACAATAAAAATAAAGGTAGTAGGACAAACGGCAGCTATAAACATTCGAATGGAAAGAGAAACCCAATAATACAAAGAGGTATGTATGAAATTCACAGAAGCGTGACAAAAGGTAACAACAGTATTTTAACTACCAATCTATGTATTTGACTGAAGACAGATAAAGGGACTGAAGGAACGTGAATTAGGTAAATAAGATAAGTATTTATAACGTATAAGCATTATTCAAAAATAAATATTAAATAAATACAGAGACACGTATTTATTTCTATTATGTCAAAGAAAAATTGCCTTAAATATTAAAAAAAAATGTGAACACATGCATAAAGACAAATATTACAATGCAATGTTAATAAAACGTAGACACAGCTGCGTATTTTAATACCTAACTACATATAACAGAGTCACGGACATTCCTAAGAGCTTTAATTCAAAAGCGGAGGTTACTGGGCGAAAATCGCGTAACAGGTGACACACTTTTATTGTAGGGGCAACACTTTTTTTCTGAGCATGCGCGGTTCGAGTGCTCCGCGTCTGCGCCCCGCTGGATGTACTGGCTGCAGGGCGACTTCGGGCCGCGGCAGGTACACAGCCGTCCGGCCACCGCCGCGACCATCGCTGTCAGCCGTGACCACAACGACCATAATATCCATCACTGCCGATTCGCCCACCGATTACACATACGCACACCAGCTCATCACTGCGATCGACATCTATAAATACATAATCGATGTGCATACCATTCGCGAGAAGATAAATTAGTGGGACAGCTGAAAGCACGTGTGACATCAGCCCCTGCAGGTTAGTCAGACTGGAGATGTTCGTGTCATTGAACTCGTGCTAACCTATTAACCTACTCCAATGAACTATTAACATTTAGTCCTGTTGCTTTGTTATGCCATTTTTATCCAAACCCTGTTAATGTATGTAAATGTCAAGCGTTCTTATCGGATTACATCAAACTAGATTTCACTAAGTTTGAATAAGTCTTCGTAAAATCGATAAAGTTTACGAATATTTATATATATTGGGATCAATAGGTGCTAAAACTTGTAGTGGATTTATTTTTTTATGCATAATTTATTGAAATATTGGTTTATGAAAGTAATTGTATCTTATAGACTCTACGTACTAAACCTGATAACAATGCTACCACGGTTACACCTAACAAATAGTTTTTTTTACACGATCCAATGGTTCGAAGCTCTCACTAAAAAGATATATTGCTTTTCCAGGGTATTATGTCGATGGGAATTAATTCAAATGCGTTAAGTCAAATGAGAGCCTGAGTTCAATCAACGAGAGTGTTGGTCCAGGCTTATGGCAGCCAGCGGCGGCAGCGAGCGGCGGTCGCGCCGGGGTCCTGCACCTATAGCTTCGTTCGACCACGACGTTTCTGACGAGGTATTTTTTTTATGACAGCAAAGAATAAAAATTCACGGGACTCAATGAAATGCGAAATGTCTGTAACATACATCATGAGAGGCCATTGGAAGTCCCATAGTTTAGATTAGTTAGTTTTATTCTTCATCTGTGCAGCCGATATACTTTCCTAACAACGTTATTATTTCTATTCCAGTCAAGTCCGGAGACAAAGCAGGCATTCCGATTGCCTGAAATTCGCGAGGACCCTTCGGGCACTAGTAGTGCTACGGCCGAATCTCTCGCACCACCTGAACTACGAGCTCGCTCCCACTCATCGCCCGCTGTACATGCTGCCTTGCAGGCACCCACTGCACCACGTATTGACATTTCACGGGCCTCAAGCTCCAGCCATCATGATTCTCGCGACAGCTCTCCTGAGCTAGCACTGTTCGCAGGCACAGGTTCAGGTGAAGAAGCTAGAGCTAAATTAGACATCGGATTTAGAGAAGACGGTGCTTTAGACTTGCGTTCGTCGACAGAAGAACTCGCTTTTTTGGAAAATCCTCCTGGCAGTACTGAAACTAAGGCACCTACAACAGCGCCACCTTCTCGGAGACATTCACGTAAAGACAGCCAAGGTTCTGAAACTGCGTTACTGGGGGTGTCAGGTCGCACTAGTAGACTTTCCAGTGTAGGATCACAATGCTCGGCTCATTCGGCTTTGTCAGGCTTCAGCCACGTAAGTCACGTCTCAAGACTCTCAGTAGTCTCTGGGATGTCTCGGTCTCCTTCACCCCACAAAATGTTGTTAGAAACCTCATTTTGTGGTCCGAAACCAATAGAAAACGACCCTGAAATTTGTGCTGCTGCAGTAGAAGAGCGACTATTAGAAATCGCAAAAATGTCTACTGAAACTGTAACACCTACACCGCCAGTAGATGCACGAGACCGCCGGGAAATTCAAACGGAAGTTACAGTAGAAAGTTCCAGTGTACGGTCGAGCAGTTCAGCTCGGGTTATTTCTCCAATTACTCCAGCTACCACACCATCTCCTTTACAAAAGCCTGCAGCAGTGGCGGTCCCAACCATAGCATTGACAACAGTGTCTCCTGTCGAGTCAGTCACAACACTAAAACTTGCAGCACAACCCACGACGGTCCCAGCAGATGAAGAAAAGAGATTAAAAGAAACAAGAAATCGTGCCCGTGTTGAAGAACGGCGAGCGAGGTCGAAGGACCGTCGGGATCATTCCGAACCGGAAGTTTATAAAACCTCAAATAGATCAAAAGACATCATTCGCATCAAACTTAAGTCCGATGATGCATATGATGATGACGATGATGATGAAAGCGATAGAACTCTGGTAGGGGGAGAACCACTTCGAAAGCCTGTTAGTTTGGAATTGAATGATAATTGCGTGCGAACAACCCAACCAAAGGATCCAGTTACACTTAGTCCACAAACCACGCGACGCCCGAGAGATAGTAGAACGCCTTCACCAAGTGGTGCCCCTGTATCACGAAAATCATCGTTTTGCTCTTTATTTAAATCAAAAGAAACTATAGCTTCTCCGGACTCACCGTCGGACGTTTTAAAACGTAAAAAAAGTTTAAATGAAGGGCGGTCTCGGAGTAAAAGCAGAGATAGGTCAGTAACACCAACTTCGGCTGGAAAAATAAAAGGATCAGTTTTATCGTTATTTAAAACACCACGAAAAAGTGCGACATCACCATCACCGAGCTCGAGAGATGGTTCGCCAGTTGTACAATCACAGCGTCAATTTCCCCAAATGCCTGTTGACCGTCCAAAGGGGGAAAAACTAAAATATTACGAAGATCCAAAAGAAGGCATTATTCATATCCCTTTGCGCACACCCCCTGATGAATTAGATACTACTAGTGACAAGGTGGAGTCGGTAGCTCGTGAAGTTCCTCGTCCGTCTTCTGCGCCACAAGTAAGGTCCATGCCAGAGAGACCGGTGTCAGTGGCTTCGGCGCCTCTAGCTAAGCCTACCCAGAGAACTGTTCTGCCTGACGGCAGCATTATCATCCCACTTCATTCGCCTACAGAAAAAACTTCAGTTAAATCGATAAAACCAGATGTAGAACCAACGCCAAAAACTTCAACACCTACAGAAGTAATAAAAGCGGACCAATTCTTACGCGAAACAAAAATAATAAACGATAATTCTAAATCGATAGAAATAGAGAAACATACTAGCAACGACTTATGCGCAAGTACAAAATCGTCAACTCCGATTGATCCAGTAAAAACAAAACGCAAAGAGCGCTTGATATTTACGACACATGTAGGGAGCAGAGATGAGCAAGTCTTTAGCACTCAATTTAGTATAACAAAGACTCCGAGCGTCACCAGTGAGATTTCGGGGTCAATACCAAGTTTTCCAGAATGTGAGGAAGTCCGAGTAAATCCAGTTGAGCCAGAACCTGTACCTACCCGTGCAAGCAGCGTCAACGGCGGTAGTGGTGTTATAGGACGTATAGATGAGAACAGAGTAGACACAGTGGATAGCATTGAAAGCGCTATTTTAGACGGTTCCCAACCGGGCACACCGCAAGACACAGGAAGAGACTCGTCAGAATCGGAAGGCGGTTCCGACGTGCTAACACGCGGTGGAAGCGATGTCGAGCGGCGCGGACTCGTGATACAAGAGTCGTTTGAAGAGCTTCCTTATGTACCAACTACACTGCCGCAAGAACGATCATTGGCGGTCCCTATAGTGCCGGTGCGTGACCGGGGTGGTGTGCGCGTTGCAGGTTTGCAGCGGCCTCGGGCGGCACCTTCCGCTCTCGGGCCTTTACCAGCTCCTCCTACAACCACTGTTCCGGTTTCCTCACCGGCTACTGTTAGTTCTGTAGTAATGTCTATGGCAGCCGAGAGCAGCGAACGTTTACGAATCCGTCTGCCTCGTCGACCGCGAGCTGCCTCAACTTCAGCAGCACCGCCGCGGCCAGAACGGGCAAGAACCCGAAGCGGTAGTGAAGGTAGGCACAAAATAATCAGGATGCAGACTCAGAATGTCAGATTCCTCTAACAAAAAATAGTCTATTTAAGTTTGACTTGGTCAACAACACCTTCATTTAACATCTTTACTTAATTTCTAGTGGGAACATCGCGAAAGTCGGAGTGGATCGACTTTTCAGAGGTGCCGGAGCGACGCAAACAGCCAAAACGAATACAAACACTACCAAGTGGTACGAGGGAGCCCGTCGTGTTCAGTTACGTGCCGCCCGAGCATTGCCGCTGCGAATGTCACACTCATCCACCAGATCACGAGCACCCGACATCGCCACATGACGACGAGCTGCCCTTGCTGCAACACGATGCACAACTCATTACAATTAGGTAATCAGGGGATTCCAGTGGTAAATTTGCATACTATGTATCTAGACTAATATTATACATAAAATGTATTTTTGTATTAGTTAAACCATTTATTTTTTGATGCCAATAATAACTATTATATGCGGACGAAGTCGCTAACACAGCTATTTTAGTAAGAAGATTTAAACATTTTTTTTCTTGGGATTCACTTTATAAAAAAGCACAAGCGTTTTAAAAACAAATGAATATGTCAACAGCCAGTAGGTATAATTTAAAGATAGAGATTACTAAATAATTATAATTTGTATATATCTACCTCACAGCACGTCATCAGCGGAGTGTGATGCGGAGGAACCACCTACACATACACATAGGTTGGATCTGCACATAGCACCTTTCACCGCTGACTTCGATCTTCACAACCACGATGACCATATCGTAAGTTATGCGTATACGTAAAGAAAATTTACAAGGGCGGGACTTAAACCGGAATCCACCAGTTTATTAGTGCACCAGCACGAACGCCAGTGCCAGTGCAAATCCACATCGTAAGTAAATCAATCAAAAAAGATTTTTGTTTAGGCCACTATGTGCAATAACGTGTGAAAAATATCAGTTATTTCAAAATGGTATCGTAAATATATTTTTATATTTGATACAAACAAGCTAAATTTCGGAGTCACACAGATGTGACTAATAACATTATTTGTCCACAGGCCCACCCGCACTGACTGAGGTGGCTCTAGATTTGCCTTCCAACCGTGCGAAGCCACGTTTTTACTTCTACGAGTTTAAACTTTTATAAATATTCTCTATTGACTCAAACTGAGATGTTATCATTTTTAAGATGTAAATTTACCCGTTAGATGATATATTTATAGCGTCGTTTGACTCCTACTAACTAGCTACCGTTGACCTTGCATTTTTGATGTTTGTTATTGTTAGTCTTTATTTAAGTTGTCGTGTTCGTAGCCGTCGTGGCTTTCGAACTTTCGAGTACGAAGACGCGAAGAGATTTTATTGAATCTCACCGTTTGTGTCTCACTAATCGCGGTAAGTTTTATTTGACTCTTTCGTAGATGTTAAAGTTATCGTGAAATTAAAATATCATTAATAATTTATTAGTCCGTCACGTTTGTCCGGCCCAGTATTACCTAATAAAATTTGCTCTTTGGCTTTTAATTTTGTCCCGAAAGTGTGAACTTTTATCGCTATAATTGTATGAAAACGATAATCTATTTTACGATTTGCCGACAAAGAACGTGATTTCATAGTAGAACTTGCTCAAACTATTGTTGCTTGTAATAAGGAGCCTTCACTTTAGTTAGAGAAAATTTACTAAACATTATAAATTAGAGATTATACGAAATATATCAATTTAGTATTCGAGCAATAGTTACATTAAAGGCTGTGTTTGTTCGTAACTTTTACTGAGAACGCATTTATGATTTAAGCCATCGTCTTTTGTTTAAAATCAGAATCGATTTTACGTTAGATTGAAATTAATAAAAAAAAAATGAAACTATCGTTTATATATATATAAGGCCAAATGCCCAATATCGGTAAGAATTTAATATTTATGTGAAGTGGGCCATTTCAAAGTTCCATTAGCTTTTAGCATTCGCCCCTTTAACACGTAAGAAACTTTGTTGCAATAAGATGTTAATGCGCTATTTATATTTCTTCGATCTTTTGCCACTTTCTGAATTTCACTTAAGCTTTTATTAATATAAAAAGATTGTAGATACATTTTAACTCCAGTTATCGTGTCTACGATAATTATTGGATCATTATCAGTGTCCAGCGAATTGGCATGTTTAAATGTAAAATATTTAAATTCTGTAAAAAATGTATATGTACCAATGTTACGGACTCTGCAGATTAGAAAGTCTGAGATTTAAAAAAATATAATATATAAATACATTAAATTTTTTGCTTTCCACATTGTGTTTCATTTCGAATGTGTGACATTTTTATTTCCTCTTAATAAAAGACGTATGGAACAGACACCTGGTAAGATGCAGACAGCAAGTAGTTGATCAGATCCGTGACACGTCCAGGTGATGCTAGTTTCCCGAGATTAGAAACTAGGGCTAATCGCACTCGAAGCAAGCGTTGAACCATTCAGCTGAGGCAGTAAGTCTACCAGACTACTATTTCATTTCGTTGATCAATACTAATATTATAAAGCTGGGGAGTTTGTCTAAACTCGTTAATCTCAGAAACAACTGGTTCGAATTAAGGTTCTTTTTGTTAGATAAAACATTTATCGTACAAAAAAAAACAGGGAAATGTCAAAAAGATTAACTCGCAAGAACGACGTCGTGGCTACTACAGTATAGGTGTCATTCATGAAGCTGCGGAGGGTGTTTGCAAAAATAATTAACATGATGTTCAAAATCTATTTCACGCGGACAAAGTCGCGGGCACAGCTACATTTATTTATATATCTCCCTAGATGAATTTCTTATAAGAAACAAGTGTAATAAATAGAAAAACAATTTATTTCTTAGTTTCCATACAAATGAGAATTGTATTTTATAAATGCGGAATATTTAAATAACTTTACAAAACTGTTGACTTATTGATAATTAAGATGACCACTGAACAAAATTAACATATAGATTCCAATTTCTGTGTCCGACTAGTTGCCTTCAGTTGGTTCCGGATACTTTTCATAATATTAGACATACAGTTTTTAAGTAACACTTCACATAATTATCACAAAATTGTAAATAAATCTAATAAGTCGAGAAAAAATAACTGTGTTCTATATGGTCATATAAAAGTGTAAAGCGCATTGTGTTCGGCAGTCATCTGTTTAGGGCTGTTTACTTGAAGATCTTGCCCTGGTTGAACTTGCGACCGTTGGAGTCGTTGCCAGTCCAGGAGAAGTAGTCTTGGACCATCTTTTTGGCCTCCTCACTGGCAGGGTCCAGCTTGCGCCATGAGTATGACTCATAATCGATCTGAAATCAATCAATGCTTTTTTAAAACCATTTCTAGTTATATCCTAGTAAAGCTTGAAGTCAAGTTGATGCAATGTAACATAGTTGATTTTAGACTACAGTTTACCCTTTCACTCTAAAGGGAATAATTTTTCCCTTCTACAAAATCGATAATATAGTGATTCTTCAATTATTATTAAATCAATTTTTTTTTAATGAATGTCAAAATGAAACGTATGAAATTATAGGAAATCCATATACTATGATTTTTTAGTGTCTTACTTTACACCCAAAATAGATAAAATATTGTGTTTTATTCAAATATTTAGTCTCAGCCATGTTATGGTCCTGGTAAGGTAATATTTTCACATCTGAAATCCCTTTTTTAGGATTCACTGTAGTTGCTTGTCCCTATCCCAACGATTGTTGTTTTGGCATGTCAGGCTGACCAAGCCTTTATATATACATAATAAAATATTCCTTACACTGGCATAAGCCTTAAATAAATTAAATGTTGCTCAAATCATGAAGTAGGTAGGATCTCGACCCCCTCTTATCACTACAAAGTACTAGGAGCATACCTGCCAATCGGGTGACAGTGGGAAGGCGAGCTCCTGTCCACGCCAAACCCACACTCCAGAGATAGAAGAGTCATCGTCAGAACCGAACAGACAGACAGACGCGAAAGCCTGCTTGCGCATCTTGTCCAACCGCTGGAACATTCCTGTGCACAAGAACAAAGTTTAAAAATAAAGAATGAACAATGATGTCAGATATATTTTACTTTAAAAGCCAAATGTTAAAGGCTCATATCTATAAAGGGAAATAATCTATACAAAGGATCACGATAGACATTTTTGGTAACAGAAGAATATATATACTATTATTTTTATATACCCACAGAAATTGCAAGATGGAAACAAGAAATAAATATTCTACTGACCTGTAATGAGGTTACAGCTCATGAACACCTTGGAAAGTTCTTCAGGGTATTTGTACTCTGCAAACCAGATAGAATAGTGTTCTGGGTCAAACTTCTCCCAGAAGTAGGGAATGGACTTCGCTTCATCCTCATTTGAGTAGCACCGTTTGAAGTCGTCCATGTTGAATGTTCTATAAAGAAGAGTCTGCAGTTGAGTAAGGAACAGATAAAACTTTGGGACAAAAAGAAGCACCAATATTTAATAATAGTGAAAACATTGTCTCTCCTATAGGAATCACATTTCTGTCTGTTTCAGTGATCAATTTAAATTAAAGGCAACTAATTTATCACCTGTGCTCTTTCCTAACAAAATAATGTTTCCTCAGGATTTCACATGCTAAACAAAATTTGTAGGCAATGTTTAAAGTGTAACTATATAAAATGTTTTAAGTGAATATATATTTAAAACATCTTTTACCTATATTATATCCAGAATAAAACACTCACCCTTTAGGCATAGCATCAAAAGGATCCTTTGACTCTTTAGGTTTCTCCTCAACTTCATCAATTAGTTCAGGCTCCTTGACCTCCTTCTCCTTCTTGGGTTGCTCTTTCTTTTCCTTTTTCTCTTTCTTTGGACCGTCCTGCTGTAATTGTGCATTTTACTATGACAATCTTGCTTATTATGGAAGAAGTTTTGTTACATTACTTTATGGAGATGGTATTGTACATAAAGTATGCACATGCACTTAAATAATAAATTTAAACCTATAAAACAAGACTCCTCTTTATACATACAACCTGTTCTCAAATTAAGGGTAGTAATAATTATACTTTTGTATTAATGTTTTTAAGTAACTTAATAATATTTTAAAAGCTCAGTTCCTGGAATATATTCAACATTTAGTTTACACTAAATACATGATGAAATAAAATACAAAGCTTAAATAAGCCTTACCTTCTTGTCCTTGGTGAGCTCTTGGTACTTCTTAGGATCAAAAGTGGGTGGTGCAGCACACAGGTTGATTGTACCAACAACAGCCAACACTTGAGGCTGGTTAGCCAGAGTGAGGAACCAACGTTGGACATTCACAAGAGGTCCACGCAGGCTAGGATCTAAGACATGCTGAAATATTATATAGAAAACCATTAAAAGATAAGTTCACCATACTTAAATTTTTAAAGGTACCTGAGCACCTGAATTACCTGATAGTGACTATTATTAGGCACAATTACAAAGACAGTATAATATTGTATACAGTAGATAAATGATTATTCTGTTATTTACCCTTTGCAAATGATATATTAAAAATATAAATACCTGGAAGGAGTGTATAAGGGTGCAGAAGACGATGATGTCAGCTAAGGAGACTCGTTCAGTGACAAGGAAAGTTCTAGACAACAGATGACTATCAAGCACTTTCAGGGCAGCCAATAAGTCATTCTTTGCACGATCAACATTCTGTAAAGTGTTAAAAGCTAAATTAGTACTCATAAAGTGATTATCTATTTTAGGCCCTATGTTGTTACTGTAAATCTAACCTTTTAAGTCTATACTTAATATATATTTTTTTAAGTTTAAAATATAACATCTGTGAATAAATGATAGCCAAAGAATATGATGTTTGATAAATTTTTATTAGCTTCTCCAAGCTCAAGAAACATTTATTCCTGGATTAAACTGTATTAAACATAAATAAAGGTATTGCCAACCTGTTTGTTGAACTGCATAATACCAAGATAGGGGAAGACCCAGGCACAGGAGGCTGGTAAAAGTTCACTGTCAGCCCATGAAGCCCATTGGCATATAGCAGCTTGGGTCTTCAGGTCGGATCCTCGGAGGGACTCATTTGATACTATTAAAATAAATAGCTCATGAGATAATGTTCTTTGTGACTATGACTCTGATTTTAAACATGTTATTATTTATGGAATAAGGTAACTTTGAAATGCAATAAGAAGTAGTAGCAAAGTCTTGGTTAATGCTTTAAAATTTCGTGTTAAAACTCAAAACAAATTCCATCAGTTTTCAGTTAGGTATACTTAAAGGTTAGAATTGTAAGGAAAATGTTAAACTAGCAATAAAATAATTACCATAGTAGGCAATGGCGTTGCTCTCGGTGAGAAGCACTTTTCCATCGGCGCTTTCGTATGCTGGAACCTAAAATTATCAGCAAACATTACACGTCACCGTCAAAAACATCTGTACACGAAACACTATCACTTCACGAAGCACTAATTGAACACTCACTTTGCCGGCCGGGAATTTCTTCAAGAATTCCTGCGACTTGTTGGTTTCCCCAAAAACAAAGTTTGGAGACACTTTGACATCAGCTGCAGAATATTGTGCGGCGATCAACGCCTTAAAGGCACGGAAGTTTTCCGGATAAGTGTAAAGTACCTACGAGAAATAAATACATATTGTATTAATCTAATAAAAGAAGGCGTTATCCTATTCATAGAATCAAACGATATATCTTGATTGCATAGATTTTAAGAGACAAAATTTAACCAACCCCGGCCGCCATGGTTGACATCTACGGAAAGAGAATTCTCATGGGTGAGGGGGAGCAAAAATAGACAAAAGTCGTTGTCATTGTCAATGTCAACAGATGACTGCTATTTTTTGCATACGTTTTTTTACATAGTATAATTATTAATATATCATCAAAAATAGTATCATTTTTTTGCAACTGTCAAAAATACCTAGTGGCTCATCTAGGTTTTGTTATAATCTAGTATTAAAAGGGATGACAATTAAATCTATGGGTGTATCAATGTCAACACTGTCAATAACTTATTCAATCCGTCATCCGTCATTCAAAAATCTGAAATCTCAACACCTACCTAATCGATCTAATCCCAGAATTTTTAATACGAATTAAGCAGCTTTGTGCAAAAACTCCTGTATTGTTTTAATTGATTATTTAGCTTTAATAATTACTAATTCCCACGTAATTTTGTTATACTTCGATTCTTAGTGAAATTTGTGTGTGTTTTTAATATAGATATTTAGAAGTAAATCACTAGAAATGGTAAGTGAAGAAACGCTACCGTTTATAGGCCTATTTCTAGCCCTGATGTCCTAAATTTTAGAATAATGGATTAGAAAATATATGATACAAATTAAGTTAACTAATTTATTGTTACTTTTGAAATAAAGCAGTTTTTAATTGAAAACTGGCGCCTCTGGTTACGGCAGCATGGTTAACAGTGAAGAGCCTTAAAGAAAATTTTTATTAGAAGTTGGGACCTAATAAATGACTGTACGACTGATTACTATCCATAGGCTCAATTATCTTATAATCCTCTATAAGTATGAGTCTTATTTAGGCCTATTTCTTTAAATTATTTTTATAAAAAAGTCATTACAAGAGTAAAATTATTCTTACATTTGATTTTTTTGCAAATATACTACTATATAATATGATATTTACAATATACTGTTAACAGAAATAATTATCTGGCAATAATAATAATAATTTTCTGGTTACTATTTCCTACATTTTGTCTAGAAGTATGCAGTGAAAATGTGTTTTGTTCATATTATAACACTTCAAGGTTTTTATGAACATCAAGCCACCTCTGTTTCATAAATCATTGGAATTTTTCAGGGCAACGAAAATTCAATTCCTATGGAACTATGTTCAAATTGTAAGTATTGTTTTTTTTTTGTTGATGCATTACCTTCTCTTTGTCACTTGTGTTCTATCAAAAAGTCTGAAGAAGCTCTGAATAGGATTTCTGCTAAATAATTAGATGCCCAGTTTGAAAACTGAATGGATTGTACTATAGTTGTGTGTTTGTATGTTGACCATGCGGTAATTTGGGGTGTTGTTTCAGCTCGTGTTAACTGCATTGATTTTAAGGTGGAAAACTGTGAGTGTCACTCACTGATGGTCATAACATTACCACACTACAGTGCACATTACACTCAATGTATAGAATAGTCAATTTAATCACAGGTGGAGTAGCTCCCTACTACCCACCTACACAGTGGTATTAGGCAGTAGACGTAGGCACACTTACACTGAATACAATTTTTAACATCTGAAAGAAACAATACAACTAGATGAGGCACGCAGCACTTGAAAAGTAAAAAGTATTATTTTGACATAACATACTACAGCTGCAGTGGGAAAATAATGATTTTATATGTATTCATTATGAAAATGAAGAAGTTTTACAACATATTTGTTTAAGATACTGGATATAATATATATAGTAAATATTAAATTATTTCTAATAATATTTTATAGTTATTTAGCATTTTCAGTAACAGGTAATTGGAATTAATTTATGCATATTAAAAATTATTTGTTAAAGATAATTTAGTTAAAAGCCAGTAATTTGAATATTAAATAAATTAAATGCAAATCACACAGTTAGCATACACAGAATACCGAATACAAAAAGGTTAGAAGTTGAATAAAATTTTTTTGTAGTGGCACTGAGCTTTCAAGGTAGCTGTTAGGTTAATAGGTCTGTAAATATAGCTTAGTTAATGATTAAATTACACACCGCCTCGAGGTTAATTTCATCGGTCACAATCTCTGAAACCAAAAGGAGTAGGTTAATCGTTCTTACACAAACATTGTATGTTTTTGATCCTTATCTCATGTAAATGTTTGGTTTTCGATAGCGTAGGTTATTGCAGGTATCCTAAATATTGGCGATATTTGTATGATCCCCACAGCCTGGAAAATGAAATTGCATATTTTAATTTGCTTCTGTTGTCAGCTAATTTACCTCGATGTGTATTATTGGAAGTATTTGTTCGTGTAAATGTGCGGTGTGCTTTGAATGATGCTGCGGCATAAAATCATACACGGTCATCTCATTATCATATAGTGTGTGACATATAGTTATATATAGCTCGCTTTGTGCACGGGAGTATAGTATCGCTATTCGCTTGTGTATGTTAATAATAGAATGGCGAGACCCAGTCGTTTTCGACTTCAATAAACAAGTGATGGAATAAATACCGAACTAATCATGCAGGGGGAAGGCGCTAAATGTTTTACCGTTTTTCTCGTAACTCGTAAATTGTATTTAGTCTGCAATAAAACTAGGTGACCGTGGTACATTACGAAAACAATGATGTGCAAAACTGAGTCAGTCATTTTTCATAAGAACAATATGAAGACCATATTAATCAAACAATATAATTTCCATGCGCAGAATGTAATAAACTTATTTTTAAAGCGCAAGGATGATTTTTATATATTATGTACTTACTTGTATTCAATTGTTTCCGCGTGAGTTTTCCTCCGTTGAAGCTATAACGTCAAAAAGGTCACTTAATTTCTCGGTCTACCGTCGGAAGTTTTATAAAAATGCGCGATGAATATTTTGCGATTGCCCATCAAGATGACTGGAATACGAACGCGATCTCGTCAGGGCAGTAATTAGTTCTGCCTGTAGCCCCTAGAAGTAGTCCCGTAGTGCGTAGCGAATATTTGTATGTGTGCTGTTGTCCACTGTCCAGTCGATGCGGACGAGATCCGGAGGCTGGGCAAGCGGTTCCGCAAGCTGGACTTGGACAACTCGGGTGCGCTGTCCATCGACGAGTTCATGTCACTGCCCGAATTACAGCAGAATCCACTCGTTCAAAGGGTGATAGCGATCTTTGACGCCGATGGCAATGGAGAGGTATATTATGATACGTTTGATATAAAATAATAGCTGACTCGGTAAACGTTGATAAAAGGGTAACAATTTTGGGTTGTATGTATTTTTTTAAAGCCACGTTATAGAAAAATATTTTGATGGCCAAGAAAAAAAATCATAAGCAGCTTATTATCTGTGGCCGTCATAATATCCATTCCGGACATTGATCTTTCCAACTTTATTGTTAGCACGAACAGCGTAATTTTACGCCAATCTTAGCTTAGAAAGGATTTATTATACGTTTTTGATGACATATTTACGTAGCTCCCGTAAATAATATCGATAGTGTTCTTTTTTTAATGATAATGTGACGTCAAATAAACGATTCAATCGTTGATTGTGGTGGAAACTGATTTCAGGTTGACTTCAAGGAGTTCATCCAAGGCGTGTCGCAGTTCAGCGTCAAGGGTGACAAGCTTTCCAAGCTGAGGTTCGCCTTTCGCATCTACGATATGGATAACGATGGTTACATATCTAATGGCGAACTATTTCAGGTATGGACACTTAAATTATTTTGCACAGTTTTTGCACACGATGGCACTATATAAATTAAAAGTCGATTATAAACTGATCGATTAAAAAAATTTACGACTCAGGGTCTCTGTTACCTTACTTAGCCTTACGACTGTTGATGTCGGTAGGACTCGAATTTATAATCGTCTTTTAATTTATTTCAGGTATATCTGAATACTTATGTTAAAGACTTCTTTTTCGCGTGATACTAAGAGCTATTTAGTGTTCACAAAAAAAGCTACAAAAACACGTATGTGTAAATAACCTAAAATACTTTTTTATCCTATAGCATTAGCATGGATATATATTTCCTGTGTCGATACAGGTACTGAAGATGATGGTGGGAAACAACTTAAAGGACACGCAGCTGCAACAAATTGTTGATAAGACCATCTTGTTCGCGGACAAAGATGAGGATGGCAAGATTTCCTTTGATGAATTCTGCTCTGTGGTTGGCAACACAGATATACATAAGAAGATGGTGGTTGACGTTTAGGCGATAGCTGCCGTGAACTCACACCGAACACGTCAACACCGACCTTGCAATAAGGATTATTTGTTAAAATATCTAATGTCAATCCAGCGACCAAGTCTGCTGAACCTACATACAGTGTTACGAAAAAACAATGACATAAAAGAAAACATTTTTAACGATTTAAACGGAGAATATGTTAGTTGACTTATTTTTTATTTATTTTAGCTGGGACTTCCCTCGAAATCACGGCTACTGCAAAGCATCTGAATCGTAGAGTCGCAGTACAAATTAAAAATAAGCTAACTGACATATTTCGCGTTTTAAACCGTTGACAGTGTCTTGTTTAAGTGTGTACTACTCGCGTAAACTACGGACAATACTTAATGACAGCCGTTAACCGAACGTCGAGTCAATATTTGATATTAATTCTTATTGAGCTTCAAAATTATTTTTTGTTTAAAATACAATTGGCAAGACTCATTGCAGATTCGTAAAAGCACTAAGAGATTGATAAATAAGGGGAGAGAGAATGAAATAGCAAAAACTTTTTCAAGAACACATTGTTAACATGCAAAAATGCACTTCCTAATTAAATTTTGCAGACTTGGGACCCAGTAAGGATATGCTGAATTGTCTAAAACCGTCAATACCTTAGTTGCAAGTTCGATGTCACCCGGTTCAAACAGACACAATTTGAACAGCTGTTTCATCCACTCTCATAGTTTCAAGAATGAGACAGCTTTACCCATCTGAACTAATTTCTTTATTATGGCCGGGATTGGCGTAAATAGAGTGGCCCTACTTGTGCGTCTTTCATTCGGCTTTTATCACACAATATGATTATAACCCCTCCTTCGCCCCCCAACATTAAGTACCGTCATATTTAATTTAAACACTTAAGGCTTAAAATGCAAAATATATTAGTTAACTTGGTTTAACTACGGCCCGATGTTTCGGATACTTTGCAGTAACCGTGGTGGAGGCACTGAAGGATATCCCTAATGTCAAAGTCCAAACGGTACGCTAACGCCATCTGTTCCGTTATTGATATTTAGATCCAGCCAGTTTCCACAAACATCGGATCGTAAAAAGAATGAATTAAATATAAGTTAACTAATATTTTTCCCATTTTAAATAGTTGAGTGTTTTATTTAAATGTGTACTAAACTACGGACAATACTTGACTTCATATATATATTTTTTTCTTTTACTTATAAACATCTAATAATATAAATTAAAGATTTATTTAGGGATTATTAATTTATGTTATTAGATGTTTATCATTTTACTGTTAATACGTAGTTACGGTTAACCTCCCAACGGGAGATAATGTCAAAGCTTGTCCACCACCTTTTAACATGTGACATATATATAGCCTTAAAGAAAGGACAGAAGTAGGTCCACCATAATGTTATCTTGTTCGTCCTCAAATCTCTATTGCTCTAGCTAGACACTTCTAATCGCGCGTCCTTCGCTCGTGTTCACAATAATTATTATATTACCAATCTACGTCTTTTGTTACCATTTATCAAGAAGTCGCTCGAAATTGTGTTTAAAATCATCTTGTAAATATTAATTTTTGCGCTTTTGCGCAAGCGATTGTATAAAACTTTATTTACTAGCAAATATAGATATTTATTTTTTATTATCGATTATTTTTTAAGTATGAATTGTGCATTTATAAAAGTACAAAGTTACGGTGACGAGCGACGGACGCACAAAACCTATCACTAAATAATATAAGACATACATAATATTTACTTTACACTAGTTAACTGTAGTTTATGTTTTGTTGCGGTAATTTAATTGTATTGTTATTTAGTGTTTTATATTTATTTAGGTGTCGGTCATGTTTACCTTTATAAGATCATACCGTGAAGACATTGACGACAGTGTATCCAGTTAGCTGAATATTTCAAAGATTTCGTATTATTGTTTTCACTTGAAAAATATTATTAAAATTTTTAAACAAATATAATCAGCATATATATGTTCGTGATCTTATAAAATAAGCAATTAAATTCCACATTATTATAACCTTGTAACGTAGCTGTCTCTCATATATTTAAGGCGACCCTATTAAGATACAAAATTCGGTAAACTCAGGCAACTGGCATTTAAAAAATTGTCTGTTTTTGAGCCTTTTAAAGCCAATCTGATACAAATCAATCACTAATGTATTTGCTAAAATTTTATAATTAACTCACATTTATAATATTGTATAAATATATTTATTTGTGTTCCAGATCCTGAAACCCATAAAATAATCCCAAGAGTTACCCAGTTTGTGCCATCCATTGTTCCTTCTGCAATCCTCTCCCAGGAGTCATAATAATATTAACGATAACTAAAATTTGTGCAATGTTACTTTAAACAACGTCCCTTTACTCTAATTCTGTTTATGTCTGCGGTCTTTCGTAGACGCCGTAGAACGTGTCCAGCGTAACGCGTTACACCCCAAGATACCTTGGAATGTCAAGCAATGTGTATACAAGCTACGGCGTTTATCGAGCCCGCTCCTAGGAATAATTTTAAGCATATTTTATACTTATATAGACGTCAGTCAACCTTTCGAATTTATTTATAATGAATGTAAAGATTGCGTTGCTGAAGTACTAATCAAGTTATGTTTTTTATTTAATGCAATAATGTTGAAAAAAAAAACAAAAAAATCTTAAAGTACTTAACTATTGTGTACCTATAACAGTTTTCTAACATATGGACACGTTTTGTAACTTTTTCGTTTAAGATTTAAATGTAGCGCGGTTTAATTTAAGCAGACATTTTAGCACAATTCGATAAAATGCATTAGGTAGATTCGTAGACGGTTAGACGCACGAAAGTAAACTCTAGTCACATTATACATGAATATTCTATCCAAATTTTCACATTTCTGTTAAGAGTATTTGTTTTTAATGCTTTAATCAACTGTATAGCTTTATCTATTCAAGAGTACAATTTAACGAAGCTTCCACAAGGCATCCTTAAGTAAGACGTAAATCTGTAGATATTTGCTGTTCCACAATTAATGTTGTAATCTATAAAATGCAATGTGCCTTTATATTGGTGTGCTCTTACACTAAGCAATACATTAACCATGGCATTGAATAAGATCTGTGCACTCGGCGTCATCCTTCGTTTCATTTAACTTGTATCTATGTATATTGTGTCGTACTTGTGTGTGTGAAGTGTACTGCGTATGTGCATCGTCTCTGTGTTGCTACTCAGGGGGGGAACAAAAATTGGTCCTCCAATACATCAAGGAATAGTACTTTTTTAATAAAATTATACTTGTAGTTACAATTTGTTATTTCTATATATTAAGATTTAAAATTTTCAATATTAATTAAAAATCAATAAACAATGTACTTGATAAAGCCAGAGACGATGCTGAAATAATGATAAATTATTAAAGGAGAAGTAATTAGTCAAATAGTAGTCGGATCTTTTATCTCCATTGTTAGATAGCGTGTCCTGTTCTTAACTGGAACTGATTATAAGTTTTATTAAATTTTCAAATTTCCTACTTGGTTTTATTTCTTTACCTTGAATAAAAGTTTGTATTGGGTACGTTTAACACATTAAACAAGATTGTAACAGGATTAGAAAGATATGCTGATGTAAACTCAAATACCTCTAAATATTTTATTACCTATTCATATTTTTTCTATAACTAGACAAATCTTGTGGCTATTCCTAACAATTTAGTATAATCTGCACCCTTGGCATGAGTTTTCTCCTTGAGAATTGTCCTTAGTATTGTGGGAATGGGTACATGTATTCTTGTACCCAAGGGAGTCCCACTGTCATCAATCAGAACAACATTATTGCTATCAAACTTTGGTACTTTAACTTTCTGTGTCTGCTTAAGGCCAACAAGAATACCTTTCTTTTTTTGCCCTTTAATAGCTACGAGTACTCTGTCTCCAATCATACCAACACCTGAAATGAAAAATATTATATAGCTTGGTTAACTTTGATTTAATATTTGTTGGATTTAATTATATAACAAATAAAAACTAATAGATATTAAATGGCCATCAATCCATATACCACTGATTTGAAATTCTATATATTTACTAAGTTTAACTTACGTCGTTTATTGTAAACACAAATGATTTTAGGAGGTTTGCCTTCAGCCATAGCTCTCTTTCCGATTTCCGAGTTATCTACAACCCGCAGTCGAGTAAGTAATCTCACTTCATTTAAACATGGGGACGTGTGAAATCCTCGGGAAATATTAGTTGTTATCTTATTTATAAGAGTTTTAAACATTTTTATAAATAATATATTATACGGGTAAAAGCTATGAGGTTATATTTACAAAATACAACAAAACGTCAAAACTCAAAGTTTAATTCCAATGGACCGTCAATTGTCAAAATTGTATAAGATCCAAGGTCTGTGGTTAGATATATTTTTTGTTACTGGTAACTGAATCTTTGACGAAATGATTTAGTTATAAGTTCGAATTTCTTTATTCTTAGTTCGCCACAACAAGCATTTCCACGACATAATTATCAAACGAACTACTTTTAATTAAATAAACCATTCCATCATTTTAATTTTAAGATCTATTTTTAGTTCGTTGATCGCGAACGACACAATGTATACGATGGCATAGACCGTAGCGTCTGGTTTGTGGTATTATTTCACCTTGATTCAATGATCATAGGAAACTCCTGAAATAATTATGCATAAATCAACTGCAAGCCGCCAACGTCAGAAACAACAATATTCCTTTTAAATTCGAACATATTTTTAAAACATTGATTTTAAAACACTTTTTGTATCTTAACTATCAACGATCCAGAAGATTCTACTTATAACCCGTTCCACGATATATACTTATTTTTAAATAAAATACTTTAACAGTTTAAAACGCGATATATTTTACTTTAACTTTTTTGCAAATTACTTTTAACTACGGCCCAATTCGTATGCGTTGCAGCAGTCGTGGTCACGGGGAGACACACCCATTTTATTAATGTTTAACTAACTCTCGCTATTTTTTTCTAAAAGTGAGTTATTCGTTATGGAAATCTCAGGCTTGACCAAAAAAAATGTTTTTCTGTATAGGTCCAGTCTTTTAACGTTATCGGTTTAACCATTTTCTTTTACTATCCCTGTTAAAAGATGCTCACTCACTATGAAGGTACAAATTCATCAACAGAGCAGAACTAACACGAAACAAAAAATACTAAAGAATAATTAATATTCTACTGATAATTACCACAAAGATTAAGAAGAATAGGTAATGTTTTCATATTTTGTAAGTACTAACACAATATCATCAACTTGTGTGGTTCTCGTAGTCAACTCGTTTACTAATAACAATTGGTCGTAATTGTTATTAGTTAACTTAATCAGATTTACTAAATATCACTTAACAGAATAATATTATTTATTCCTTTTGATCGATGATATTAATATTACAATCAAACATATAGCATATACCTACCTAATGCTTATCTAATAAAATATATATTATCTGTAAGGCTGTACCGGCAGCACACATTAGATATATTTATTAAATACATATATAGTTTAACGTATTAAACGCTAACCACTGTTAGACATTCGAACCAAAGAATAATAATATTTAAATCGCTTAGACTAGATTATATCTGCCCGTTTATTTTTACAATTCTTCATGACAGCATTATACCCAAGGCATGCTCGCGACTTCAACCGCTTAGTTATTTTGGGCATTACAATTAATTTTGCAAACCTCCTCCTTACCTTTATAAATTACCTATAGCTGTGTCCCACGACGTCGTCCGCGTCCCGTCGTTCTGGCAAGTTGATCTTACAAGATAGACATATACTTAGGTATAATGTCATGAAAACTTTTCTCAGAGGGAGCATTTAAAACGCAAACGCAACGGAAACCCACGAATAATTTTCCTCGATTTTCCAAATTTTGCATTGTTTTTTCGCTCCTATTTGTCATAGTGTAATCTTTTATAGTGTAAAGCCTTCCTCGATAATATATGCTCTAACCAACACAAACAAAAATTTTCGAATTCGATAAACGTGCTCATCTCAGGAACGTATGAATATAATATATAGGTTTTTTTTCTCTGTATGAACAAAGAAAAAAACCTATATATTATATTGAAATAATTGAATATTGATGGATAGCAGCCGGCAAAGATTATGTTGCCCTGCAGAATCAAATTCACATTGTGTTTTGTTGTTTGTAGCGTCACATGATAGCATTTCTTTATCCATACGCAATTCAACGCATTATCAAATATACTTACTATAAATAATATCGCTGTAAAAAATTATAATATATATCATAAAAATTACAGTCTTATTATAGATTATTTATTGTCAATCATCGGTCTACATCCAGAAACATTTATAGGTATTGTAGTAGGTATTGCACTATATGATGTTTTTACTTTCCCGACGGGAAAAGCGGATTGCGTATTGGAACGCTATGTCGAACTATCGTTTAATCGTATATTAAATTATTACTTTTCTCATTACCTGCCATCGTGTTCTACTTGAATAAAGTTACTGATTAGAGTAGGCAGAGTGTTTACGAATAATTGAATAAAATACAAACAGGTGTATAAATTAAATAGAGATATTTTCAATTGTGCTTTTATAAGACTTTAACTCCTCTACTGCTTATGACTTAGGTACTAGCTGTTTCAGCGACTTCGTCCGCGTAGAATAGTTATTTTGGGCATCCAAATTCGTTTTTGCAAACCCCTTCATTTTTATAAACTTAAGCTGTTACACTACGTCGGACGCATCTCGTCCCGTTGTTTTTGCAAGTTAATCTTAAAAGATAGACATATATGTATAGCGTCGCAGGGTTTTTTAGATCATTTAAAAAGGAATCATTCTCTCATAAATATTTTTTGAGTATCTCCGCCCGTTTTTGCAGCGTCCGCCTCAGAAACCCATAATGATAAATAATTTTCCAATTTTTTTCTCATTTCTCGCTGTATCTTCGCTTGTATTAGTCACAGAGCGATGTTTTATAGCCTGTAGCCTCCCTCGATAAATGCTTTGACCAACACAAAAATAACGTTTCAATTCAAACTCGTAGTTCCTGAGATAAGCGCGTTCAAACAAACAAACAAACTCTTCAGCTTTATATATTAGTATAGATAGATGTGTGAATAGTACATATTATAATAGCTTAGAGGTAAAAGTTTTAATAGTAAATATATATACATCGAATACTTTCTGGAAAGATGTCACTGAATTTTTTATATTTTTAAAGACTTGCAAAAGAAATAAAGTACTAGTTGCTAATCCATAGATGTTTTGTTTTAAATTGCCAATTTTTGTGACCTTTTTCTTTGTTGAAATATTATAAGTACCTACACTGTAAAAAATGAGGTGTACTTACTTTGTGTTCTTTAGCCAGACCAGATTTTTTAAAACGTCAATACTTTCCTAAAGTCCAAAATTCAAATATCGAATTGACAAAACGATTTCAAAGTGGGCATCAATAGAAATAACGAGGATACAGACAGCGAAGTCTCAACGCCGCGGTTCGCTCGGCTAAGATGACACTCGTTAGGAAGCGCCAATTTCCTCGCGAAATCGAATTTTTTATTGCAACCGTATTGATTACAGGCGATTGAGCGTTCGTTAGAGCTTTCGTCAATGATTAAAGGTAACTCAATAAGGAGATTAAAAGACAAAAGAGTGTTGGGTTCACGTCATTAGGGGCGAATGCGACGCCTCAAAGCGTGTTCTTTTAGCATCCGCCGCATTGTGGTTTTGTCAGAAGCGTATTGTGCGCTTGTCCAAACAGCGCGGATCACTTCCGGATCCATTACTGCTGGATATCTGTGTGGGAACAATGAGGGCCTAATGTTTTGCTCGCAGTGTCAACAATAGTTATGTATAGCCCGATGATATTGATTTGATAATGTTTGTGGTTAGAACATTTTGTCCGTCGAAATAATTTAATTAATTTAAAATTTGTGCTGTAAGAAGGATAGATTTGTAATGCAATAAGTGTTACCTACACTACTTACTTTAGTGTATATTACAGAATATTAAAATACATCTATCCTTTATTTTTAATAGTGTAGAAAGAATAATTTCAAACCAAGCCTATATAAATAGTAATAATAATTACTACAACGGGTGTTGGCGTGTAAAATTTAAATATTTTTTTCTTAGTAAGTGCAAGGTGTAGTAATATTAGCATACTTAATAAGTATTAATAATAAAGTATCGTATTTATTGACTTCTTCGCGCTTACTTAGTGACATTAGCATACTCTCCCTTCAAAGAAAAGTATTTTTTTCTCAAATGTTTACATAAAGCCGGTGCAGAGCTAAAGAGAAGCTATTGACCCTACATTTTACAGTGTAAACATTTTACTGTTGAGAATTAGCTCATTTATCACTATAAAATAATTAAATTTTATCCTTCCAAAGGTCCTAAGCTCATTAATTTTCTTGCAAAATACTATAATTATATAACATAAACCACTTTAGAATTAGTTGTTAGGTAAGCTCAGCTGGCATTAATCAGGCCTTACATTATTTGTAAACCTAATCTCTACTGCATTGAAACACAATTACATTAAGGTTTATTGAAACCGAATGCGCGCAGGAGACGGACGTAATATCGTCATCTCAACTGCATTCATACGCAAAACTGTCGCCATTTTGAAAGAGGTGGAATCAAATAATCGAGAAATAATTTAATCAACATCTCTCCGCATTATTTCGCTTCTAAACCGCGGGTTTACGGTGGTTTTTGGCTTACGTGCTGTGAGAGGGTGGCGAAAAAATTGTTGTCGTGTATGCAAACGCCTTATGGGTGGTTCTGGCCCCCTCCTTGCGGTCGCGAATTAAAATTGCATAATTCACGCCGTACGCTCACTCCCATAGTAATGCTTAATGATCTACGTTTAGCTTCGTACTTAACAATCTATAGAAAAAATAGTCGACGAAATTTTTAAAAAAGAGAAAAAATAAAACATAATTAGGCTTTGAATGGCGAGACGTTTAAAATATAGTAAATGTTGGTTAAGCTGTAGCTTTAAGTAAAAAAACATATATATGCATTATAGTATATTGTACAATTATTTCTAAAAGGAATTCGTACCCAATAGTAAACGAGAATACAATCGAGTAATCCAGTAAGACTACGCTGTCACCCAGTGACATATTACATGGAATACTGAAAATATTGTCTACTCAATTCCTAGTTGTGGCCAAGCCCACCATAAAAAAAAAAAAATGTAACCAAGACTTGTACATTACTTTTTTAAATATTGTGCGGAT